GCCGACGGCGGTCACGTCGACGTCCGTGTAAAGGCAGGGAAGGAAGCGCCAGCAGTTGAAGACGCTGAAAGTGCTGTGGTGCGCCGGCTGCACCGGGTGCCAGAACGGCCGCCCGAGTTCGTCATAGTAGCCGGTTCCAGCGCATATCATCCCAGGAGACCCGGGACCAGGACGGTACCAGCAGAATCCCTCGGCGGGGCTAACAACCCCGTCGCGGTACCGCCACACCCGGCCGGCCGTCTCCTGGCCATAGCCCCCGGCGGAGCTTGGCGGAGGGGTTGCCGAACCGGTCGGCGACGGGGGGACGCCGTCGTCTTCGACGATCTGGAGCTCGTTGACGACAAAGAGGAAGCTGAAGTAGGATGCGGGCAGGGTTCTCTCCTGCTTGCTGTGTGTTTCTTTGGGCCTGTGGTCTTTGTCCCTCTTGTCGCTCTTCTTCGAGTGCTTGTGGCCACCGCTCCGCTAGTCGGCCTTGTCAGCTATTTCTTTTCGATTCAGAACATGACGACCTTGGACTTACATTCGCGTGGATCGGAAACATTCCTGTTTCCTTCTAGCAACAAGGAATTCTAGTGCTGGACTTTTGAAAATTGAACCGAATTCTGGTTCAAGCTGGCAGAGTTTCGCGACTGTTTCGCAAGATTCAAGTAATCTCGTCAGAAATGACAGAGATGGAAAACTGCCAGGTATTATGCAGCCACCGCGAAAAGGCGTGACGGGATGCCGCCGCAGCCCAAACAGGTGATTGCATGTTCTTCAGCACGGCAGGAAGACTCGGGGCATGCGGCCGTAACCGTCCTCGCGGTATCCAGTCCGATTCGGGCTCGTCACTTGTCGGGAGATCATCTCAGCCCAACCTGGCATCGTTGACGCCTTGTGACTGCCATGCCTCTGGCAAAAAGACGAGAGAAGTCCTGATCTACCTTCCAATTCCTGATGACAGCGACGGCCCAGGGCCCAGTGGTCACATGCCGTCTGGCTTGCATTGAGCCACGTTTTTTTTCGGTGAAGAATGACTGCATGTCAACCCCCCCCGGACGAGCGATGAAGGAATTCCAAGATCCAAGGCGCGGACTTTTGCGGTGATGGTGGACTTGTTGTTTCTCGGCTCTGCGCGCTCTTGTGCCGCTGTTGTGCCGCTGCAACCCAGCGAATCGAACGCAGACGGAGCCGTCGATGCTGGCGTCTTAACGCGACGAGGTCAGCCAGTGCGGTATGCGAGGCTGTTATCGGGTGAGAAGTGGGTAGATGACCTCCACGTCTTTCTGCAAATCACTGCAAGAACCCCGTCATTGCCGGTGTCGTTTGCAGAAGCTCGAGCTGTCCGCATGGGTGTGGTTGACACCCTCGAACCTGAGTTCAGAATGACTTGCATGACGGCAGGCCAACGACGACTAGCGCCTAGTTAGTGACGCCGACACCCCCGTGGATAACCAATTGAGAAGCCGGATGGAGTTGAAACGTTGGCCCATGCGGCTTCTCGGAGTCTGACACTGTTCGAGCTGTCAGAGCTCGGCAAAGGGACCGCTCGGTGTCAGTGGGGGATTCAGAGGAGGCCTGGTTGGTTACCGAACGGAGCAAGTCGACCTTAAAACCGTGGCCAATGGCGGCCGTATCGATGCCGGTGTGCTTGAGCGGCCATATCTACTCGAGTAGGAACAAAGACGCCGCGAGGACACCCGCGTATCTGTCATGATGATCGCTCGCGTTGATGGCCCGGACGAGCGGTTGACGATTAGGCTTCTGCCGTCAGGTCATGGAGCCTAACGAGCGCCGAGTCGAATACTGTACCGAACGATACCCCGCAGCGACAACTGGATCAGCTTGGCTCGACGGAGAAATTGGTTAGACGTGGCATGTTCTGCAGGGCTGTTGGAGAATTGTGCTGTGCCCAAACAAGGCGGCAGCCTGAAGGGCGGTGGGGAGCAGTAATGAGCACGCAATTGAAGGCCCCAAGTCGTCGAGTTCGGTGCACGATTCCTCGCCAAATTCATAGTAACACTGTCGGCATTCAGCGAGCCATAACGAGGACGCACGAAAAGGCCCCAAAGTGCGGCTTGAACAGTAAGAGGGAATGCGCCATATATATCAAGACCCACGCCCCTGAACACCGGATAACACTTTGAAGAAGCATTCGATCCTCCAATTCCGCCGCCAGATATCTGTCCCTCGCCGTTTTTGTTGGGAAGAGACGTCAGAAAGCCAGGGTCGCGGACCCGCGTTGTGCGTGATACAGGGCGAGGATACCGGTGGCGATGGAGCCCAATGACGCGCGAATGTTGGGAACGTTGACCGGTTGATCTCAATGACAGCAGTCAAGGCCGTCACGATAGATTGCCGCTGCCGTGATCATTCGTTGGTGTCCTCTGAAGGTTAGCCGCCCTGACATACTGAGCCAACAAAGGCCCACAGCGTTGAGCGTTCTCGTATTCGCCCGCCGTGGCCAGTAACCTGCGGGAGCCGGATCGCGAGCACCTATCGGAGAGGCGAGTTGTGGGCAATTGTCGCACCGGTCAGTCACGGTGCGGGGGTATCCCAGAACTGACCCTTTGCCGGTGTTGGTTTGCCAGCCAACAACCTGTTGGTGCGGCCTGATACGAGGGAGGGAATCTGTCGCACACGCTCCTGGAAGCTGCAGCGACCTGCAGCCGAAAACATAAGCTTCTGCTCTTCTTGTTCGAAACGACCGACGAAAGACAGTGTTGTAGGCAAAGACAAGAAACAGTTGCCGGTGCTGCGGCGCGGGAACGAAGCAATGTGCAGTGTAAGTGATGCGGTTCGTATGACGTTGGATTTAGCAGCGTTTAGCGCATTTTGGGCTCAAGGGAACAATGTGGTCCGTTCTCATTGTCCATGATTAATCTGATTCCTCCCACTTCTTGGCCCCGACCGCCTGAAATCTTCCAGGTATCGCAGCTCACCATTGGGATCTTCCTTGCCTTCTTGTATCACAGAAACACTTCCTTCGCTTCCCTTCTCCAATCAGACGCAATCACTGCGCCGTGCGCGCCCTCTTGGACGACCTCTCCTGCCCCTCGTCCGCAGCAACTTCTTCGGCGGCGCCGCTGTCGCCAAGACCCGCCACCTGGAGCGCTTCCTTGATGAGGCGCTTCTCGCCGAGCCTAACCTCAACGGCCATCTTCTGCCGCGACGTCAAATTCCCAGACGCTAACAAAGCCTCGTCTTCTTCGGGCGTTGTCGGGTACTGCGTCAGCAGCTTCTGCAGCGTGGACACCACGACGTGCTGGTAAACCTCGTCGCGCTTCCTCTTGTCGGGGATGAGATCGCCCCGGACCTTCTTGATCGCCTTCAAGACACCCTTCAATTGCTCTTCAAGCTCGGCAGATACCTCCTGCACCTTTGCGGGCGTCGTAAGACGGCCCTCCGAGTCCGGCTCGCCGGATTCACGCTCCAGGACAAAGACGTCCTCGAGGTCTTCGGGGTCCACCTGCTCTGCCTATGTTCTTGTTAACACCCTTGTCGTCTGGATCAGTTTCGGTTCAGAACATACCACCTGCTTCCAAACATCGTCGGTAAGCTTTAGTTGCTCGTTCAGAATAGACTGGATGAGGTCCCACGGGATCTCAACCACGTCGTAGCGAGAGTGCTTGGGGGTCACGTAGCCGTATCTTCTAAGCAGCTCGGAGTTGGGGTGGGGCCCGTAGTAGTTCAGAATCTCCTCTCCGGCCTTGATGGTTCGGAGCGCGGTGACACTAAGGTCGTCCTCTCCGTGGTTGACATGCGCCTAGTTTCTGTCAGCAAATGCTTGGCTGGAGCGACTGAGAGCGGCTACGAACATTAAACTCGGCGTCAGCGTTCAAAATGTCGGCCATCGGCACCATGCCCAGCATCGTCTTGCCCTCACGGTCCTCGACCCATTCCTCATCTTCCTGCTCGGGTTCCTCCTCGTTCTCCAGATCGAAAGCATACGCCATGATGATGCTTCCCATACGGTGAGCCAGCTGCAGCAGCTCTGCCTCGCCAAGCGGCGAAACACCTTGAGGAAAGAAAATGGTCGGGTTGGCTGAGATGACGGACAAAATCCGCGACCGGAACATCTCATCCGCCTCATCCTTGCCAATCTTGGACAGCACCGCGCTTCCTTTTAGATACTCGAGATCTGAAGTCTCCCAGAACATGAGCGTGTCAAACTTCTCAGGCAGAACCTCAAAATACGGCTTCCAAGGGGAGGCATCGCCTTGAAGGTACTCATAGAGCATCACCAAGATGAGAGAACCCCATGAGTCTAGGGGCTCGTTCTCCATGTCCTCATCATCTCCATCGTTTCCGGTGAAAACCTGGGGGATCTTCTTCGGGAGCTCCGAAGTCTCGATGTTGATGATGCTTTTTCTGGGAATGGTGAAAAGGACTGTCTCGGGTGCAATGTCTTTGGTTGCGACTTTGCATTTATTAGCTTTTGAACGGGCTGGGGTGTACGCAAGTAAGTCTCACCAATTCCTCGTCCGGCGTTCTGGCCTCTCAAGTCAACGATCTGAATGTCATTGTGGAATGTGGCGCCCTGCAAGGACTTGAACCACGACAAAAACCTTTGGGATGCCGCCTGAAACTCATCGGCTGCCGCCATCTTGTGCTTGAGATGATAACGAATCTGATTAAGAACGAGACTTCTTGGTATTGTAAGCAGTATTTACCTGTGTGTATCTGCTTATGAGGATGATGTGGATCGGGCTGTTGTGAGTCGTCTTACGCTTCACGTGGTTGAAGATCTGGAGACCAAAATTTTCAATGTGGTGTATGTACCGTGCGCAACATCCTTTAGCGCACGCACACCGTGTTCGCCAGGCCGACCCACTTTCTTGGTCAAAACAAAGTCGGGAACTGAACTCATTCAGCTTATCCACTTCAAGCTCTAGATTGAAAGTCTCTCATCGCCCAAATGTAACACAAATAAGTTGAGACCCATCTTTTTTACGTAGTTACCTAACTGTAACTTCAGATTCAAGACTCTAAGAGACGAACGCCGAGTTTAGCTAGCCACTCCCTGCTTCTTTGCACTGGTCGAAGGGCTCGTTTCCATGTCCTCGTCATCTCCGATCTCTCCACAGATACACGTCTCAAAGACTCTTAAAGAAGAGCGCTGAATCATTTACAACCTCTTCTGGCTTTGATGAAGATTATGAGATTATGTATGGCGATAAACACTATGTCTATAGCCTCGGCGAAGAATGATTATCTCGTCTGCCCTCTCGTGGGTGTTGGGTTCGAGTAATAACTTTACTCTCCCGGATAGCAGCCATAAAGTAATATAATTGATATCATCCCCAACAGACGCAGTTGACCACTGGGGTTCCTCCGTTCAGTGCTGTTACTATGAAGCACCGTCGAATTATGAACCTGTTGGTTTTTTACTATTTTTCTATCTTTACAAACATTCTTCTTTTCCTGTCTTGATGTAAAGGTCTTGGAGGGTGTAATAAAATGGTCCTATGGATGGGCGGATCAGTCTTTAGTCTTGGAAACCTCGGTTTTACATGGCACCTGAATGTTGCCAACACCCAACTTGTCGGCTGAGATGCAGGAAGGCATCAGTCACACTAGAATCTCGACAACCAGACTTTGATTTGTTTCACAGACATAAAAGTCTGAGCAGAGGAGGATGCCACATACATAAAACTATCCCAGCGGTGCCCAAGAGTAGAAACTAGGTCGAAAGACTTTAGACAAAACGCGAGTTCTGTTTGAACCAAGACCAGAATCAAACGCCAATGGAAGCAGCAAGCATTGCATTTAACAAGTATCCATCAACTATACTCTATGGTATATAACAAGATAGATCAACCATGAGTCTAGACATGTTCCAATATTGGGATACCAAACTTGATATCTTCTAGGCTGATTCCTCAGTCTTCTGCGGCTTCTGGCCTGCAACACTATGATAAAGGACGTATGAGTGGATCGAAGTGTTCAGCAGATCCTTCCGTACGCCAATCAAGAATATCTCAACTTCTTCAGCAGTCCACCCTAAGCCTCGTGTAAGGGGCCCAACAGTGATCGCATGCAGACCATCATAAAGGACAGCCTTACAATAAGCACCGATCTTTCTCAACTCCTGCCGTTTAGGCCATTCACCAACCGGCACCTTTTTTATATCATGAACTTGTCCCACAAAGCCAACATCTTTCAGGCGTTGGGGGTTGACGTCTGCTGGGTTCGCCTTGATACCAAATTTACCAAGCCCCTGCCAAATAAGATCCGTCATCTTCGTCAGGGCATAAGTAGGAGGCATAGTGCCATCATCACAATTGAAGTCCCATTTCATCTCCTGGAGTTCAATCCAGCCACCTGGCTTGAGAACTCTACGACCTTTAGAGAAATTCGAATAGCGTCAGATAGCAACTCACCTGTAAGCCTGATTGAGAAGCTTCGTCCAGTCTTTGATACCCGGGCCCATGTTTCGCAGATGGATGTAGTCGATTGAATCATCCGGATACAGCCACTCTGCTTCGGCATCATCAATAATGAAAGATACGTTTACAGGCACATATGAAGGCTGAATAGGACTGAGGTCAATGCCAGTGACCTCAGCTTCTGGGTACTCGTCGCCCACTACATGTGGAGTTAGTTGCTTTAGAACCTGACTAGTTATTAATATGCAACTTACTGTCAATGGTCCAGATACCAGTACCGGTACCGATATCCAGGATTTTCTGAGGATTATTCAACGGGGCGTTGTGCAGTGCCCCCTCACAAAGGGTGACAATCATGGCATGCTTCATGTCTTCTCGTTCTTGTTCAGGATCATCATTAGGGAATGCATATCGTCCTTCCTTAAACTTATGATAACGCCGCGTATTTTCGAAATTGTAATCGCGAACGCTCGATGCTAGCGAGGAGGTAGAATTAGAGCTTGCGTCGGAGGCAGTTTCATAGCCATCTCCTTCGTATCCCTCGTCATGAGCCTCTATCGTCGATTCGGGAAGTAGGTCTGCAACCGGCAATGTAGTTTCGTGATTTGTAGCTTCTGGTGACTGGGAAGGAGAAGGAGATTTTGGAGCAGCCCGCTGTTCCGCCATATTGGAATTAGATGGGATGGAGACTTCTTGTTGTGGAGGCACAGACCATAGACTTTGGGGGAAATGTTACTCATATACTGTTACCCTGCGTACAACCAGGAAGCGCGACTGTTGAGGGGAAGAGAGAAGGTAGCTAACAAAGGAACCAACGCATCACCCCACCCGGACTAGGCAATACATCCGCGGATGGGTACCTCTCCGGGGTTTGCGTCCTCATCATCCACATTTCATGGCCACCATCGAATGAGAGGCAAAATTTCCAGCTGACCTTGTTTCTTCGTCGTGGGGGCACAGCATCCTACATACTGCTCGCATCGCTCGCCAGTTCCATCAATCGGTCTACCTTTCCCGATCAGTATGCATCTGTGGCAGCACAGCTCCATTTCAGCAAACACCTCCGAGGATTTAGGTACAGACATGGTAAAACAACGCATTCATATTTACAAGGATGCTTATTGGCCAGGGGCGTAGGTTCCAGGTACGGAGGCCATTCAACCGCATCGGCATCGAATGTACCGATTGATCCGCATTGATAGATTCTGAAAGACTGCAAGTAGCTGATTGCTAGCAATGACAACATGGAGTATATCCAATCTTTGGATTTGTTGCCTCGCTAAAACTTTTGCTTCCGACCGATATTTGTCGCAGTATTCCTTCAATGACAAACTGAAGCACGGCCATCGTCTAATCAGTCCATTTCTAACAATAATGGGAATATAAAAGAGCGCCATTCTGCACGAAAATTAAAACGGCACCTCTTATTCAGTCAAAAAATTTGCTCTAGACAGATACACCATGTGGTTTTTGGCCGGCAACACTGTGGTAAAACACGTATGAGTGAATAGATTTGTCGATCAGATGCTTCCGCACGTCCACCAATAGAAGCTCCACTGCTTCAGGACTCCATCCCAAGCCTCTAGTAAGGGGTCCAATAGTAACTGCGTGGAGTCCATCGTAGAGAACTGCTTGACAGTATATCCCAATCATTTTTAGTTCTGGTCTTCTGGGCCATTCGCCGACTGGAACCTTCCGAATTTCATTGACTTGATTCAGGAAGCCAGCATCTCTTAGGCGTTGCGGATTGGCATCTGCAATGTCTGCTTCGATCCCAAACATCGCAAGGCCTTCCCAGACGAGACCCATCATTCTTGTCAACGCATAGTCAGGAGGCATCGTGCCGTCATCACAGTTAAAGTTCCACTTCATCTCCTGAAGCTCGATCCAGCCGCCTGGCTTGAGAACCCTACAGCAGTCAGATATAGAAACTACGCAAGGTCTCTATAGAAGGTATCAGGTGCATCCGGGAATTGAAGCAATGATGGAGAATATAGCTAGAGCAGAGCGACTAGGGGGGACGTAGGTTTTTGAAAAGCGTTAACTGAAAAACAGAACTCACCTGTATGCCTGAGCTAGAAGTTTTGTCCAGTCCTTGATAGCAGCGCCCATGTTCCGTATGTGAATATAGTCAACTGAGTTGTCTGGATATAACCACTCCGCCTCAGCGTCATCAATCACAAAAAAAACGTTGGACGGCACGTATGATGGTTGGATAGGGCTGAGATCAATGCCGGTGATGGTCGCTGCCGGGTACTCGTCACCCACTGAATGAGGCCGGGGCATCTGTTTAGTTTGCTTCAGTCAATAGGCTGCAAAGATGTAACGCACTATCGATAGCCCAGATGCCGGTGCCAGTGCCGATATCCAGGATGCTCTGGGGATTCTCCAGAGGCGCGCTGTGCAGTGCATCTCCGCATAGAGCGAGTACCAAGACGTGTTTCATATCCTCCCGTGCCTGCTCTTCATCGTCATTGGGGAACACATACCGGCCTTCCTTGAATTTGTGGTATCGTCGGTCATTCTCGAAAGTGAAGGCGCGGACAGTAGAGGCCAGTGAGATGATGTTCGACCCTGCATCAGAAGCAGAATAGTAACCATCGTCTTCAGCCTCAATAAATGCTATGTGTGGATGACCCGCAACCTCCGGAGGCCCTGTAGGAGGTACTAATACATCTTGATGTTCTTCCATGGATTGAAAGAAGGCGACGAGCACAGAGTAAATGTGGCGAAGAAGACGATGGAGTTGAATCCTCAGCGCGTAACGGAGGAGTGATGAGGATAAGGGGAAGTGAAATCAATTGACGGACCAATAGACCAACAGTATCACCCCATCCTTGCGAACTTGGCAGGCCAGACGCGGAGAGATATTTCACCGTACTTCCGACCTTACTCGCCCACTTCAACCTTCTCCGACGAATCATACTCGGTCAAGATCACAGGGGGGCGATTAGCCATGTTCGCGATCACATTGTCATCGGATAGAATACACTTCACACAGTTCACACACTCAATGACCATCAAACTTTCTTTGTAATGATTGCTTTTACCTAGTTCGTGATCATTGAGGAATCCGTTATCATTTACACAGGGCCTGGCGCTTCGGGGCCGTTTAATTGGATCTCCAAAGCAACGATGCACAGGAAATGGAAAGAGTAGCTTAGTTATGACTTTCGAGAATGGCTACCCCGCATATCATATAGAGTAGAGATTGAAAAATGTCGATATAAGATATTTCCATTATTTTGTGTCCCTTGTCGCTGACTTACTTAGACAATTTCGACTTCGAATATTCGAATGTCTTATCAAACCGTAGTTTACACCACTACGACAAAGTCAGCGTTTTGGAATATTTGTACCCAAGACAAGATTGTAACCTACTTCGCCGCAGCTAATCGGTTCATACTTCGGTGGGTTCTTTTCATCCGTACAAGTCGGCAAGACGGAGCACTGCTCGTTGTGGTTGAACCCAAAGAAAAAAGGCATTGAGTACCGATCCTCGGGCGCGTGGTTAAAGACCCGGTGCACCGTCGATTGAAAACGATCGTTGGACAGCCTCTGGAAAAAGTCGCCAATGTTGATGACGAAGGTGTCGGGGACCGGCGGCACTTTGATCCATTGGCCGTCTTTTGTGAGAACCTGGAGTCCACCAACGGTGTCTTGCCAAAGGAGGGTGAAGCACTGCAGGTCGGTGTGTGCACCAATACCGACATCGATGATAGCATCTTGCGCTTCAGTGTTCTTGGGGTAGTAGTTGACAACACTGTCGCTGTGGAGAGCGTAAACTGGGTGAGTATCGACATGTTAAAGGGCTAGCAAAACAACATACCTTCCGGGATATGTGATGACGTTATCAAAGTAGTTCTCCGGTACATCCAACGCCAAAGCGAATATCCTGATGAGACTTCTCGCAAGAGTTAGACAACTTTGCCAATAGGTGACCATGTCGTCTTTGAAGCCGGGCAAATGGCTCGTTCCCTCCCACACAAAGTCCTCATGCTTCATCCATGGCTTCACTGCCTCGGGCACGGCATTCGGGTCCTTGGTCTCTGGATCATGCCGGGGATCATAACGAAAGCTGAAACCCTCTCGGTGGTCCTTGGTTTCCGTTGGCGAGATCTGCGCAGCGCGCTTTTCTGTCCACCCGTTGAAAAACTTGGATTTCTTCTGTGCAACGAGCGCCTTCTTCTCATTGGGCTGCGAGAAAAAGGTTTGTGCCTGCTTGAATGCGGCGTCAATTGTCGCTTTTGGGATGCCATGATTCTTGATGTAGAAAAAGCCCGTATTTTCAGCCGCGTTACGAATGGTGGCGGCGAGGGCCTTGCGTTCTGACTCGCTGCCACGGATGTTGGAGAGGTCGATGACAGGGACCTCAGAGGCGTCGCAGTCTCGGGGCGGAGTCCTCAAAACGTCGCGATATACGGTGCCATAGGCAGACATGAGCTCGAGCTTGTAGCTCTCTGGAGCTGTAGTGGTCACCGTGGTGGACATTGTGGCGCCTGTTCTCTTCGCGAACTTGAGTCCAGGTAGCTTTTTCGGGGCAAGGAATTTGCGCTCGCAACTGTGTCTTTTGAGAGGTGAAGTTCTCGTGAGAATGTTTCGACACAGTGGCGATATTAATCTTCTGGTGTTCGTCCTAAGTCACGCCGATAAGCTGGCTTAGAAGGCAGTGCACACGATCGTTATTTGCTTTAAGCCGTCTAGTGTAGAGGGCTGCAGACTGAGTGAGTCTGAGGCTCAGTAAACAACGTCTCCGCTTTCCGCCGTAGTTAGCCGGAGATCGCCTAGTTATGGTTGAAAAGAGATTGCACGATAGCTGAAGATAATGGCGTGCGATGTGGTTCGTTGGGGGCAGGTCAGTTCTTATCGGTCGGGACCCTGGGCCGACAACGGACCGTGTGGAGTACGGGGCTCATCCCGGTTCTCGGAGAGAGGCAGGATCTCTTTCCGGAGACTCTTTTCCTGCGGGTTTCCCATTGCCTAGAAACTTGGCAGAACAAGCTTCTTGATCTGTCCGACTTTCGAACACGGAGTTCCCCGAGTTCAAGTACAAGTCTCATGTAGGCCATCACTACTTCCATCCTTCGTCGAGTTAGTCGTAGTGTCTTATCTGAGAGTATGCTTTTTACGGCTTCCACAGCGGTCGTTCTAACTCAACTGCCAAATAACCCCTGCAGTGCTTATCTCCCCCACAACACCCGCTCGCCTCCGGTATCTTGAGTTGATCACTATCGCAGGTGATCATGACTCCGTAGCCAATATGATTACGAATAATATTAGACCGAAGTGAGATTTGGTATAAGTCCCTGCCTTTGCCTTTTTATTTTCGTTTAAACGTCCATAGTGAAGCATTTTACACGGGTGGGTGGGCATCGTTTCTTCACCAAGCCGTTCCGCTGGGATTTCCGAAGACTGCCAAAAACCAATTGCTGGATTCAGCAGCCCGGCATGGGCCTTCTAAACCGTCTCCGCGTGCCGCAGGCCTCTGGAACATCCGAAGTCCACGGTCGCGATGCCCTCCTTTCAAACGACGACCTACGGCCTCTGAAACTCGCCGACCGCACCTGGACTCAATGGACCTACTTTACTTTCTGGTTCTCTGCTACCGCCACCGTTTCGAACTGGTACGCCTCTTCGACTGCGCAGGCTCTGGGCCTTTCTATGTGGGAGTCTCTCGCTTGCGCCTTCGGAGGCCAATGTCTCATCGCCCTCATCATCACTCTTAATGGCCGACCCGGAAGTTGTTACCACGTTGGTTACCCTGTCATATGCAGATCTGCTTTCGGCGTTTATGGTGCATGGTGGCCGACTTTCAATCGCGCCGTCATGGCTATCGTTTGGAACGGAGTAAATGCGGTGCAGGGCGGTCAGTGTATCTACGTTATGCTGCATGCCATCATCCCGGGCATCGCGGACATTCCGAACACAATGGGTGAGGGCTCGGCGCTCACCTCAGCGGGAATGATTGGCTTTGTCATTTTCTGGCTTGCTACCTGCGCCTTCCTCGTTATCCCCGTCCCCAAGATGCGTGGACTCGTCTACGCCAAGCTTTGCGTCTTCATTGTTTCGGCTGTGGCCATGCTCGTTTGGACGGCAACGAAAGCTGGCGGTCTCGGGCCTGTCGTGCGTCAAGGTGGTACGGCGACGGGCTCAAAGAGGGCGTGGCTCATTGTCCAGTTTTTCATGCTTGGCGCGGCGAACTGCGCGACCTTTGCCAGCAACGCCGCAGATTTCCAGCGGTACGCGAAGAAGAAGAACGATGTCATCGTCGGAAACCTGTTTTGCTTTCCTGTTGCCAACTTCATCGTCGCGGCGGTGGGCAATTTGGTTTGCGCCTCCAGCGAATTGATTTTTGGGGAGCTCATCTGGAACCCTGTCACGTTACTGGACACTCTTCAGACGACGGAGTATACCGCGGCAAACCGGGCCGGATGTTTCATCATTGCTGGCTGCTTTGCCTATTGCTGCATCTTCAGTTCCATCTTTGAGAACTCTTTGCCTGCGGGTAACGATATTGCGGCTCTGTTTCCCAAATATCTTACTGTCAGAAGGGGTTTCTTCGTCTGTGCAGTCATCTCCTTTGCGATCAACCCCTGGTTCCTATTGGTAAGTCACAAGAAAATGACTCCGTCCTTGTCTCAGCACTAACAGAGAAAAGGGCTCCGCTTCCATCTTCGTATCCTTCCTCTCGTCTTACCAGATCTTTCTCTCTGCCATCACTGGAGTCTTGCTCGTCAACTATTACATCATCGGCCGCGGCCGCATCCACATCCCGGACTGCTTCAGTTCGGCAAAGTCAGGGGCATACCATTACTCCCACGGATGGAACATCCGCGCCTATGTCGCCTACATTATTGGCATAATCCCTAATTTCTATGGCTTCCTCAACAATATGGGAGTCTCGGCCCCTGTAGGCGTTACCAGGTTCTACTTCTTCGCCTACTGGGTCGGTCTGGCTCTGTCTGGCTTGTCGTTTTGGCTCATGTGCAAAATCTGGCCGCCGCCAATCATGGAGGCCAAGTGGGTTGAACCAAAGGATTATGTAAGGCCTGAGGAGTTGGAAGGTGATGGCCAAGTGATTGAGGCTATTGACATACCGCGGGAGGGCTCATTAGCAGATCACGAAAAGGGGGTTAGCGAGAAAACAGTGAGGGTGTAAATTAGAGGAGGGCACATTTACAGCAATGAAATGCTGAGAGATTCACAAGCTGCAGAATGTCCTCCAGTGATCCTTGAAATATTGGAAAACCATTATAAAGATGGATCCATCTTATGCTGTTCTTCTATTGCGGTCTGAGAACCACTTTAGCACACTGGAAGCACCGTCTCTTTCTACGCAATGCTCAGCTCAAAGGTGAAGTCAAACGGCTCAGTGTAGCACCTGTACTGCTCGAAAGGCCTTGGTCCTACGGTGGCCGATCCAATCCCGTTGTTGTCGTAATCGAGATGCAAGACCGTCATGTTCAGAGGTTTAAGATCATGAGGGTGCTCTGCGTCATCCAAGTCGAAGGGCATGTAACGCAATGCCGTAAAGCTGAAAGGCTCAGGCTCAGCTCTTTTCACGTTGAGCGTAACACCATCATTGCCATTGGTGACCTGAAGCCACCGCAGGTCTTCGCGGTTGCCGTTCTCCTGTGGATAGTCGTAATGGGTGAATAGGTCCTCCACTGTGGACTCGTAGCGTCCGATTCGACACCCTTCTTTTGTGTCCTTATAGTTCTCCCCGGGTCCCCGGCCGAACCACGCAACTTCATCGAACTCAACGGGCAAAACAGCCATGAGACCAATGCGGGGAAGGACCTCGGTGACGTTACCAACAAAGTCACCGCGAGCGTGGACGGTGAGGCCATCAGATGAAACGGTGTATGTCAAATCCGCTTCCACGCCCCATTCAAGAGCCTTAGGGGCGACTCGAACCTGGTAGTTGACAATGAAGCCGTCATCGCCTTGTTGCCAGCGAACATCGCGAACCTGTGTGTGCATGCTGCCGACCCGTTCCTCCTCCCAGATAGGGCCATCGCCCCAATATGCAGCATCGTTCTGGGTTAGGGCGCGGTAGAAGTAGAGCTCGGGTCCGCGCTGAAACACGTCGACGTCGTCCACTTTCCAGGTAACGTTTCCTTGAAGAAGGTCAAAGTCAAAAGATGCATCGCCGTTCTTTATCACGAGATGTGTTCTCTCCTGCTTTACCTCGAGATTTTGCGATTGTCGGACTTGTACAGGAGAGTTGTACCGACGTGTTCGGTTAGTCGTTGCTGGAGCGTTGAGATGGAGCTGGTCCCAAGCCACGACGTGACCCTCCGCTGCCCAAACCGTATCATTCTTTAACGTGAACTCGACGGTAATCCATGCCTCATCAGAGAAGCTCGAATTCCCTGTGGGCAGATTGACAGCGCGCTGTTCCCCAGCCGGGATACTTGGCAGCTCCAAGGCACGAGAAGTAGTGGGTTCTTCCCATCCTGGACTATGTGCCACGAAGCATCGAGCTCAGTGACGTCGAGGAAGTCATAGTGATTGGTGACAACCATCTGGCGTCCGTCTTCGGAGAGCTTCACTGTCACTGGCTGAATTGCTTTGGCATAATCAATGAGCGAAGGCATGGGAGTGTGGTCGGAGAGAACGAGCCCGTCCATGATGAAGTCGGCGTCGTTGGGTTCGTCACCGAAATCTCCACCGTAAGCGTAATACTCGAGGTCACCTTCTTTCTTGAGGAGTCCATGGTTGCTCCATTCCCACACGAGTCCGCCCTGAATCAAGGGCTCCGATCGGAAGAGCTCGATGTACTCCTTCAAACCACCTGGACCGTTGCCCATCGCGCTATGACCATCACGTCAATTGACCGTCGGAGAATAGAAAGACAGCAACTTACTGTGCGTATTCACACAAAATGAAGGGTTTGTCCGTATGATTGCTGAGGAACTTGACAATGCTTTCCGGTGTTGAATACATCTGGCTGTAAATATCAACCGACTCGGCTTCACGGTCGGGCTCATAATGAGTGATGCGACTCGGATCCCGCTGCTTGATCCACTTCGCCATGGCATCTAGGTTCTTGCCATAGAAGCACTCGTTGCCAAGCGACCAGATGATGACCGACGCATGGTTCTTGTATCTTTCGACAACGGCGTGGGCTCTGTCAACGTATGCATCCTCCCAATCGGGATTCTGCGAAGTCCACTCTGCCATCGCCTCCTTGGTCTCCTCGACCTTGTCAAACCCATGGCACTCGAGATCCGCCTCGGAGATAACATAGAAGCCGATCTCATCCGCAACGTCGAAGAAATCCGGATGTGGGGGCTGGTGGGCGGTGCGGATGGCGTTGATGTTGGAGCGCTTCATCGTGATGAGATCGGCTCTCATATTCTCATAAGGAACGGTCCTGCCAGAGATATGGTGGTGCTCGTGCCTGTTGACGCCATAGATGGTAATAGCCTTTCCGTTGACGAGGAAGTTGGAACCACTAATCTCGACGCGACGAAGTCCAACTCGTTGGCTGATGGTTCGGCCGTTGAATGTGACGAGAAGGGTGTAGAGCGTGGGCGTTTCAGCGGACCATAGATGGAGATTCTCGCCTTCGATCTTGTGTTCGTATATTTCAGAAGATGTACCAGACCACTCGTCAAGTGTGGTACCGTCAGGAGAGAGTAGTTTAACCGTCATGGTTCCTGGTTGGCCTTGGATCGTCGCGTTGAGCTTGAGAGTACCACTCTCGAAGGAGTCATCAACCTCAGTATTGACAAAATAGTCGACAATCGAAGAGCGAGGGAAAGGAACAAGGTAAACATCTCGAAAGATACCCGACATCCACCACTGGTCTTGATCCTCAATGTATGAGCCATCAGACCACTGATAGACACGAGCAGCCAGCGAGTTGGCCTCGCCAGGAGTGAGATAGTCAGTAATGTCGAACTCGTGGGAATTACGGCTTCCTTGGCTGTAACCGACCTCCTCGCCGTTCACCCAAACGTGAAAAGCGCTGTCGACGCCTTCGAAACGTAAGCGGATCTGCTGGTCCTCGTCCCAGTCTCCCGGCACTTCAAACTCCCGCCAATACGATCCAGTCGGGTTGATGTAGGAGACATTAGGCGGTGTGACAGGAAAAGGGTAGTCAATGTTGGTGTAGTGAGGTATACCGTAGCCCTGACGCTGCCACATGCTAGGGACCTCGATGTCGTCCCACGAGGTTACGTTTGCCGTCTCCCAAACGGGAGCTTCAAATGGGCTCGGGTCATAGTGGAATTTCCAAGTCCCATTGAGACTGAGAAACTCGCTCTGCTCGCGATTGAATGACAGGGCAGACTCTTCGCTGGCGTACGAGTAGAAGTGTGCGCGGGGAGCTAGAGTGTTTCGGTGCAGGACGTTCAGATTTGTCCAATCCGGCACAGACGTCGGGAACACCCCCAAACTGGAAATGAGGTCCATGATATCCGCAAGAGAGTCAAATTTGCGACGACGCTCATTTCAATAACCTCCTCATTAATGGCAAACATAATGGCTCTTATATCTGCTTATAATGTCACCAAGCGGAGTCTCATCGGTGTTTTCTTTACATCCGGCTTGGCCTATGTCACGATCATGCCCGCTGCGCCAAGAGACATGCTTCCCTCTGACCTCCTTTGTGCGCCTAAGTCCAAGCTCACCGATCGCCGGCTCTCCTACCGCGGGGCTCATGTTAGCAGTTATAACAACCCAGAGTAACATCGGGGATGGGAGAGTCTCGTTCACGCGGTCTTGCTGTTCGAGTTGCAGCTCGAAAGGCTGGGCAGCGGGGGGGACGTCCAAGAACTGGAGTAAATATGCATATTTTGTGGTTTCCCCACCATGACGGTTGTACGTCGTTGGGTCCGGGTCCGACACCCCCGCGATCCATTGACGGAGCGGGGAATGAAGTAACGTTGGGTGTGGTCTGATGGCCACCGGCTCATCTTGACCCCTGGTCTGTAAGCTTGATTCACTTGAGGGGTGGGTTTTTGATGGTCGATCGAGGACCGGCTAATTTTAGCCTTGTCGGGGTATTTACTCCCGAACAATCACCCGGCTAACCTTATCCTTACACCATCTAGGCATAGCTCAGACTTTGGAAGTGCTCAACATAATGATAGATGACAGTAGTAATTGCGGTCAGAGTATGCTGCTAACACATCTTCGTAACACTTCAGGCTCAGATACCGGGCTGCAAATTGTTCGTCATGAAAAACACTGTCATTCAGATGCAATTCGCAAAAAAAGAATGAACTGGTGACTCGAGTTTTGGGAACACTAATGGCACCGGTCCATTGCAATCAGAAGACACATGCTTAATACATCTTATTCTGTTACTGCCGCGTCTACGATGCTAGCTACAACATCTATGATTTCTTCCCCTGAGAAAATCAGCTACCGCGCACTCTGTCCTGACATAGTTCTTGACCTGATGTGGCAAAATAAATCAACTGCCCCTGTGGAGATGGTAACGATCCTATCAACCGTCTTACATGGGGCTACACTTCTTCATGTAAATGTCGTAGCAACTGCTGCATGGGTATTGGTCCATCCAATATAACGAGTCGTAACCAGTCTTGTAATATTGTATACCGAGATTTCGTGGCAGAAGCTTGTGCTGCTGTGGTATAAGAACCCAAGTATTGAGCTGTCGTTAAGACCATGTAGTCGCCCCCTCAAAAATAAAAGTGTCCTGCATATTCTCTAGCCTGGAACGCGGAAAGGAAGGATGACATGATTATCTTTATTGACGTCTATGTCTTCTACGTAAGTAGTGAGATGACGGGTCCCTCATGCTATGCAAATGCCTGCAGATCCAGACTCTGCCTGCCACCATTGCATATAATACACACACTTGACGCCTGGCTATTCCTTGTTCTTTGTTCCCCAGAAAGCAACGCGCTAAAACTGCGAAACCGTCGTGACGTGTACTACTGCGTCGACGTATAGTCGATTCTCGACGGTACAGGCAGTGCTGGGCTTCAGCTTGAACATGCCGTTCGGTCCCATTGAAAATGGCTCCGTATTATCGAGTCTGACTTTGAGCTTCCCTGTCGCGAGGGAGCATATGCGAACCTTGTCTGCTTCCGCAGACCACTGGTGCGAATCGCCTGGTTTGATGACGATGACGTTGAAGGATATGTCCTCAGATACTGTGACAGCTTGATTGGTCGTCAGGTATGAGTTGGAAAACGCTACATCTAGTACAAGGTTAGAGAGGTGTAGCGTGCTTGGCAGTGAATGGGCACTTACTAGTGGGTGATGCGCCACGCTCGTCGCGAAGCCTGCCGGGAGCCACTTCCCAATCTTCCATCTCAAGCATGTTGGACGGCATCAAGTTGCCATTGAGGGAGGTGACAGCGAGAGCTGGAGCGTTGGACGGGCTGGGCTCGGTGGCAACCTTTGCTACAGCTAGCGAGTGCCTTGTGACTCGTCGCGAGTGGCCGCCTGGAGGAGAGCTTTTGCTGTTGTGAGCCGGAGGCACATATGATGAGCGACTCTTTGGTGGTGACTGAGGTCCTTGAACAGCAGAGTACGGCAAAGGGTATGTATCCGCGGAAGCATCGGTAGACGGTGGTGGAGAGGGTGCGGCAATAGGTGGTGCGGCGTGAGTGGCTACTGACCGGGACGCATGGACATTGGTGGATAAGGATGAGCAATTGTTCTTCTCTCTCCGGAAGTTCGATCGCCACTGGCAACCGGCACATGCCTTGTTTCCGATCTCCTTCAAGAAGGGGGAGCCGCGTCGGCCAAGACAATGCACGGTTGAAGAAAGTTTTCGAAAGGGTTTGTATCCTGACGACAAACGGAGCACGCCATGGGTGCTTCATCGCCAGTCAGATAGATGAGCAGGGCGACCGTGGCCAGGGGAGCTAGATGGCCGACTCCTGTATACTTGAGCCGCCACGGCTGTGGTAACAGGCGTTTTCGAGGAAGCTTCAACAAAGCCTTGATATCCGGTCTTTCTGTTGGAATCTTGTACGCAGGTGAGAGATGTGCTGACAGGTAAGTCAATAGGTCCATACTGTCTGGGACGGGCCGGGTCGGCTGGCTGCTGGGTGCCGAGTGGGAAGGTTGGCTTTGGCCCAGTAATAAATCATGTGATGGGGACGGTTTGCGTGCTGTCCAACGCTTCGGGAGCGTGACTACGCGGGTTTTGGGAACTGCCGTAGGCGTTGCATTGGGGGCTTGCGAGGCCGCGGCCTTGGCTCCTGCCGTTGCAGGTTCCGGCATAGGAGGCTCGTCGCCTCGAAGAGGGTTCTGCGACACCACAATGGGAGGAGAGTACCTGGCGCCCGCTTTCTTATAGTAGTCAACGAAACTCAATGTACCGTCGAGGTTGTCGTTGAACTTGGAGCTCCGGTGTTTGCCCTAAGGGTGTCAGCGTTGCGTCCTTGTTGGTACGGAGCGGCATGTCGGACAGGGGAGCTTGAGGGCACTCACGCAAAAGTGGGCGCCGAGCGCGTTCATCTTGGGAAATATTGTGCGGCAGTTGCGCACCGGGCAAATGAGTGGGTAGTCTGGATCGGAGTGCAGTTGGTAGTTTGTGGGCAGAATGGTACCACATGAGGACTCGATGCCTTGAGATGTCCGCCATTGCAAATAACCGCGGGAGTCTGCACCTTTTGTGAAACTGAATTCAAGCGATTCTTGTGGGAAGAGCTGGCATGTGTGTTAGCAACAATGTTCCCACAGGGGATTGAAGAGATTCTCTTACATTGTCCGCTTGCGTGGCAGTTGACGCAGGTTCTGATTCCAAGATGTTGCTTTCGCGACCCTCTATTGTCTCGTCATCGTCCGTGGCATCCCCATCTGCATCAGCTCCATTCTCATCATCAGTTCTTTCATCGGATGAGTCAATGATCTGGGCTTCATTGGGCCTCGAAGTCCTTGATGGAGGCATGTTGGTCTCTTCCGTGCTCCTTAAAACGGTAGATTTTAGTCCGTTGGTCCTACTTACAGAGCCGGCTTTCAGCAGGTCCAGCTCGGCGGTAACAGAGACTGGTGTCGACACTCCTTCGGAGGGTGCCTTGGTAGGGACGTCTGGAAGCGGGATGGCAGTCATCCGTCGCTTGGCCTCGTTGCCAGTCAGGCTTCCGGGCAAAGAACGCTTCCTCGAGGCCGTAGCACCATTTACTACCGAATCACCTACGCTTCCATTAGCACATGAGTCATCCTCCAACCTGATCCTGCAGAACTTGTTACAGCCTAGCCCACCGAAGCTGAAGTGCGGAAAGCATGCTGCAGCAAGGCAGCTGCTGGTGGGCCTCCGGAAGAAGTCATACTCACCGCTAAGCCAATCCTTTCCTCGGTCGGCGGTTTCCACGCCCCGAGTTGAGCCTGTAATACCACTCGCTACAGGTGCGATTCCACCTGATTCCCAAGACTCTTGCAATGCCTGGATCTTGGCATGTGCCGCGAGTGTCTTCTTCCTGCCACTCATATCGGCATCAGGAGTTTCCTCGGAAGATGGCGCCTCAGGCTTGATGGCCAACGGGCCCTCCGGCTCAGGCTGCACAATGTCGCTGACGACTTGCGTAGGTTCCGGGCTGCGGGGTCTTGAGTCGTCGGCAGTGTCTGGGCCTGGTGGGCGGTCGATGGGGTCTATGGCCGGAACGATGTCTGGAGTGGAATTGCTTTGAGCCGGAGCTGAGGAAGGCGTTACCACAGATCCGATAGAACCCCTCCCGCCAAGAAGAGAAGTCGCCCAGGGCGGTGGTGCTTGCCCGTGAGGGCTTGGCTTCACAAACGGTTTGGCCGCTCCGGTCCTCTTCATCTTCCTTCCAGACGCTTCCCCGGCGCTCGAGGCTGACGAGGGCGACACGTTGCGAAGAGCATTGTTTGCTGCAGGTGCTGTCGAGGCAACGACGTCTTGTGCCGCGTTGTTTGCGTGAGGGTGCTGCAGCCCGGGTGACGGGGCGAGCTGAGCGTTGGATGCCATTGTGAGATTCCTTTGATGTCGGTGATGATGCGCCGCCCGCCCACCGGGCTAAGATGCCGGACTGGGGGTGCTGCGGAGGGATCACTCCGAGTGTTGGCCCATTCAAGAACCGCTGCGCATCGAGATTCAATCAGACACCGTGCTAGAGTGAGAGCACTGACTTGGAACTTGGAGCTGGTGATTTCCGGCTTCAAACCGTGAGACGAGGGCAAGTTTGAGAGCAAAGAATGAAGAGTCAAGATAGTCGAGATGGCGACGCGAAACGCGACTGAAGTGGCAGGGACCAAGCAAGGTACTTCGACATGTCAAAATGGCAGAGAGGTACATTGTAAGTGCCACCCCACTTAAGCACTTCTTTCGCTCACTACTTTAGCTAGGGAAAAGCAAGCGCCAACACTGGCTGCACCTTGGTAGCCCCTTTTCAATCTTTGGTTGAACCATCAATCATGGAGGGATCTCAAAAACGCAATAAAGTCTATGAGGCTCTCCGAGGAGTATGAGCTTGATTTCAAAATTGCTGCCCAAAACTTGAGTGAGATGCCGCAAGTTAACATTGGCAGAAGTTTGAATCGAGTTATGGCCGTCTCACACGCGGAGTGGAAGAACTCGGTCTCATGGATGGCTAGTATGGATTTGTACAAGATATTCTACACTCTAGATAGCCGCGCAGCATCCGCGCCCCGACGGCCATGATACACATCATCCCATTCTCCTCCCCGCTCACTCCCGGCTGGGACACTCTCGGCCACCCCCGCGGCCCATTTACCGCTTGGCCTTGCCGGCCTTCTTGGCCTGCTTCTGCGCCTTCTGCTTGCTCTTCTTGTTCTTGGCCACGACGGCGGCGTTCCTCTGCTCCTGCAGCCTCTTGGACGCCGCAATCGTCCACTCGTCCACCTCCATCGCCGCGAACTTGGCCTGCGCCGCGCGCTGCCCGGCCATCGTGCGCTCCTTGGCGTACCGCCTCTGCCGCAGCTTGGCCTTGCGGCTCATGCCCCCGACGCGGAGCTTCACGAGCCGTCCGATGCGCCAGTTGTCCTCGCGGTACGAGTAGTCGTCGCGCAGCTTCAGCACCCTCGCCGGCTCCGTCGGCGCGCCTTTGGCCGTCCGGGCCGAGGGCCGGACAATCTGGGTCGGGATGCCCGAGGCGGAGACGGCGGGCGTCTCGGCGGGCTTGACGATCGGGTGCGCAGACATGTTGAGCTTGCGCTTGCGCTCGGCGTGCGTCGGGTAGGGCAGGACGTCGTCCTTGTTGAAGACGACGCCGATGTACTTGCGGTCTGGGTGGCGCGCGGGATCGCGGTAGTATTTGACGTAGCCCGTGGCCATGGCGTGGATCGTGTGGTCGCGGCCCATGATGCAGTTCTCGCCGGGCCACCAGAGGGAGCCGCGCTGCTTGTAGATGATGTTGCCGGGGATGACATACTGGTCTGTTTGATGCGTTAGCGGGAAGTTATCCCAGACGGCGACGGGGTCCTCAATCGAGCTCGACGAGGGGCAAGGGCAAGAACATACCACCCGTGCGCTTGGCTCCCAGCTTCTTCGGTATCGTACGCTTGGGCGCGAGCTTGTAGGCACCCTGCGACTTGACGGAGGCGTATCTGCGTCCGGCCACGAGGGCGTTGGCGGCGTCGGCCCGGAGCAGCTGCGCGGCGGTCGACGTCGAGGACTGGATCGGGGCGGTCGTCCGCAGGAGACCGGCGGCAGCGGCCCTCAGGGGCTGCTGCAATTGGAAAAGACGCATGAGGTGTGCTTCGTGGACGAGCGGCCCATTCGTCGTCGGTTCGTCAATGGCCAGCAGCGATTTCGCGTCCGGTCGAAGCTTTGCACTGCACCTTGGATTGGCGAGGCACAAGGGAGAATGAGCTGAGAGTATTTTTCCGGCTGAGTCAGCTGGCCGCGATAACGATAAGCACTCGGGGAGGGTGTGGGTCCGCCTTCTTCTGAGGTGGTCTTTTGGACAGCTAGGCGCATTGGGCGGGCTCGGCGACATTGAGCGGAAGACAAATACCTTTGGCAACCACTGCGAACGACCGACGACGCTTCGACCCGGAAATCGCAAGTAAAAAAGACGCCTCGAGGCATCCGATACCACAGTCGTCAAGATGCGCTTCTTCGCCTCCCTCCCGTTGGTCCTCCTGACCCTGATCAGCTCGGCCCAGGCCCAGTTCGGCTTCTTTGATCAAATGTTCGGCGGCCAGCAGCAGCAACAGCAGCCCCAGAACGTCCCCAGCGACCCCTCGCAGTACCAGCAAAGATACGACGGATGTATGTTATCTCGCCTCTCTCTTGTGCTGTCCAAGAAGCAAAGCTAATCCTCCCAGCCTACTGCGAACACTACCTCTGCCCCGACACCCTCGCCTGCGTCCACTTCCCCCACCACTGCCCCTGCCCCTGGCCTGCGAACCAAGACAAGGTCGAGCTCACCGAAGGCAGCCGGATCTGCGTTTCGAAAGGTGGATTCGCTGCTGGCGAGGCGGCGAGGAAGGTTGAGCTGGCGCGCAAGGGCCTGTTGTAAAGGGCGGAGCTGGATGAGCCGAGTCAAAACCGGATACCCACGAGCGGCCAAGTATCTAGAAGAAGCATTGCAGGGCGCACATAAAACAGCTGATTTTTTTTTTTTCAAGTTGGGCCGCACGGCAGAGGCGGCGGGACGATGGGTTTCACACAACGAATGACATGGAGTTGATAGGACAATTCAGACTCTATTGGAAGTGCCAATTTCTGGCCGAAGCAAAAAGCCTACTGATTCGTGCTGACATGCTCCCATCCACTGGCGTAGACGCCGCCGGCCGAGGACGTGGCGTGCGCTGCAGCGATGGCGGCTCGCGACGATTACAGACACGGAGGCCCCGGAACGCCGCCCAACCCATTCGTGATATCCACCCAGAACTCCTTCGTGTGCCACGCCGTTGCCGGATGCTAATCTCGATCTCGAACCCCAAAAGCGTGAACAGTGCGTGAAAATGCTCGTAATGCGTCCCCCCTGCCGTCGCGTCCCCTCTCCTTGCCGCCGCGGCGGGCCGGCCAAATAACAGCGCTGCCAGCCGATCAAGCCTGGCCGTTGGTGGCCTGACTGGGCCGGGGAAGAGCAGGGACCTGAGACGGGCGGGCGCCGCCCTCGTCATCATCCTCCTCCTCGAGTAATTCTTCGGGTGGCCCAACAAGTGGGCCACATCCTTCATTTCGTAGTGCTTCTTGCGCAACTCCTCGAAACGGCGGTGCTTCTCGCGCTCCTCGGGCGAAAGGCCGGCCAGTTCGTCATCGTCGCCATGTGCGCTGGCGCTGTCGTCGACGTGGACGGCCTTGAGGGCTTTTTCCTTGGACGACTCGCTCTCCGGGACCGCCTCCTCCGGCTCGCCAAGCGACATGATAGGGATATCATCTTCCACGCTAGGACCAACGCGAGCCGTGCGAGGCTTCCTCTCAATGTTGGAGCCCTCCATCTCCTCGTCGTCCGAGGGGTCTTCGGTGGGGTCGTAGTGCTTGGCATAGGGGGTCTTGGGCTCGTCAATCTTCATGGTCGAGGTGCGCTCCTGCTCCGTCAGGTAGAGGTTGGCCTCGTCCCACTTGAGGCGCTGGGACGACTCGAGGTCCTGCTCGTCGTCGCCCTGGTGGGAGGGGGTGTGGCTGGATTGACGGCGCAAGCCGGACGGGCGGGCGGCGGAGGATGAGCGGCGGTGGCCGGCGTTGTACTGGGTGTTGACGAGGGTGAGCTCCTTCTCGGTGAGGGGAGCTTCGTCGGGCGGCGAGGTGGGCGGGGATCTTTGGTATGAGTTCTTGAGAATGCCTGCGGCGAGGACGGTGGTTAGCTCTGGCGATACCGACTGGCCGGGCGCGGGCGCAGCACTACTCACCTCTGGGACGCTTGGGATGGGGACCGGGAGGGGAATGGGTCGGGGACTGCGTTCGACGGCGGCGGCCATTTTGAAGGTGTTTGCGATGCCGGGCTAGTGCGAAGGGATTGCTGGTAGTGAGGTTGACAAGTACGAGCGTGATGCAAATCTCGTGAGTTGTGTCGGTCGGGGTTTGTACGCTAGTTGTGGTTGTTTATGAGGTGGGTTGAGGGACGAAAATAGCGGGGTTTTGGAAACCTGGTGACGAAAGTCGACGGGTTTTGTTCTGGGGCCTGAGGATGACGGGGTGGTGGTGGTGGTGGTGGTGGTTCGTGACCTGCAGGGTGCGGGTGCGGGTGCGCCGACCAGGGTCCGGTGGTTTTGGTGGCCTGGGTGAATGGGCGGGTCGCTTCTCGTTTGGTCTTTTCTTTTCTGCTGCTGCTGCTGCTTCCCAGAACGACGGAAGGGGCTCGTGATGTTTGTGAAACACGGAGGGATGGGACTTTACAGGATGGAGATTGTCGGGTGTCTCGAGGGAATGCGTAGAGGTTGTCGGGACAATCTGGTACACGCAGTGGTGCGATAGAGGAGGAGGTTGGGGCAAGGAAGGAAATGGAAGATTGTGAGCGACTTTTGTCAGGAATGGAATGTCACACAAATGGCTGGCTGGTGGGTGTGATGGGCGGCGGTGTGGTGGCAGGGCGAGGTGAGGTGGGCAGTCGGGGCAGGTGAGCAGAGCGCGGCTTTTGGAGGCTGTCGTCTTGTCTTATATCGCAGTACCACAGCACTCCAACAGCTGGTCGGCTTGGGTAGGCGGGGGAGGGTGCTTGCAGGGACACAGCTCCCATCCTCATCCACACCACACACACACACGCACACACACACACACACAGACACACATCCTCTCTCTCTTTCTCTCGCGGGTGCGCTTGCTCTCTCCACCATCTTCAGTCGTCAATGCCACATGGGTTCCATGGATGCCAGAAGCAGGTGCCCGTTGCAGTGCTGCCAGCTCGTGATGGGAGTGGGTTCACTTCACATCACTTCATCCAGGTGCAGCGCTGGGGGGTCAGCTTAGGTAGTGTTCCAACACACCATAGGTCCCCGGCCGTCAGTCACATCTCACCAGCTGAGGTTACATTCGCAGGCTTGTTTTTCGACATGCAGATACAAGGACGGACAAATGCAGACGCAGACATCTGGCAAGGCGGGGACCGGCTGGGACGTAAGGGTAGGTAGTCGTGTGAGTGGTGTGTATATGTACACATAGTAGGCGCCAGTAGGCACCATGTACTCCGTAGGTAGTACCTATGCTATCGTATCATGGTGCCGTAGTACCTAGTTTACCTCTGGTATTAGTGCGGGGGACGGGGAGGCTGGGATGGCCATGGAATGGGTTCAAGCACCTATTTTCCCCCGGGGGCTATTGCTCCCTCTCGCACCTGGCTGCCAACTCTTCCACGGCCGCGTCTTCCGCGCCGGCGCGCGCGTCTAGTCAGTAGTCAGTCTAGGTAGTCAGCGATAATGATGGGGGGTGACGTCGGGTGTCGTTGCAGCGTTGGGTTGATTTTTTTCCCTCTCTTTTTCGTCTCCCCATTGCTGAAGCAGGTAAGGCACTGATCCAAGCCGGACGATGCAGAGCCGGGACGCATCAACATCAGACTTTGGGGTCCATTCGCTGCTCCGATGCCAGCAGTCTCCCCTCGCCCGTATCTTGGAGCTTGTTTCGACTACATTGGCCCGTAGCGAGGTTGGGCCTGCTCGGGCGCGTTTGGGCTCGGAACCGCAGTGAGGCGAGGGCCGCCATGCGTCGGGCACGGCGAGTGGTGGAAGCGCAGGATAACTGACTGGACTTAAAGCCTGGGCAGGGTACCCAGCACCTCCGTTGCATTACCTAGGTGAGTAAGCCCCTCTGTACTTGTGTACCTCTGCAGTGTATGCTGTGCCTGGCCTGGCACTCGACTGACTGCGTAGGTACTGTAAGAGGAGGTAGGTACGGTAGGCAAGGTAATGTTGATTCCTCAGGCTGGCAGGTGTGGACCCCTGGCGGCTTCCCCGACGTTTGGTTGGCTTGGTGGGTTCCTCTGCTTGGACTGCATGGATTGTGCATTGGATCGCGATCGGCCGCAGTCAGAGACGGACCCACGGGAAGGAAGAGGCGATGTGATGAGATGGAGGGAGCGGCCTCTGAGTTGCGGCGGCTGCTGCTGCTTGGTGCACCGCCCAAAAAAAAAAAAAAGTCCTATTTCCAGATCTGCATTGTTTTCGCAGCCTCTCTTGTATTTTTGGCCTCTTACACACGTCGTGATGCGCCTGCGCCACTCCTCCACTCGCTTCCGACTCATTTCCTTCCTTCTTCAGCTCAACTCCTTCTTGTCTGGTCCAGTCCACAAAACTTGTTTGATTTCCACTCCGCTGACTCGAGGAATGTCGCGCTGGTCCGTCGCCCTCTTCAACGTCCACACCCCATTTGACCGACGTCAACCGCAAATGGTGTGGTGTACTGTGCCTAGGTAGTAGCATATGGGGGAAATGGACTCCGCTGTAGGCCAGTATCACAACTCCAGCCACACAACGAAGCCATTTTAGTATAGTTCCATTTCCCCTCATTCACATTCGCGATCCTCCAACCCAACCTCGACTGCTCGTAGTTGGACCCCTTCTCCTAGACACCTAGATCCTCTCTTGACCTCTTTTTCTCCGGCTCTATGTACTACGTCAATGCACCGGAGTCCCCTCCATCGTGACGACGTCATCCGGCATGCATCACCCCTCGTCACCTCCAGCGACACCATCACTCAATGTACGATTCTGCACTACGACTTGCTTTCTCTTCTCTCAACTTGGGACCCCTCACTTGCTTGCAGCAAACGGCGACTATCGTCTCAAATCGTGACCTCATGCCGCATGCACAATGGACTCTCGCACACACACCAACACACACAAAGTCAACCATGGCTGACCAACTAATCACAATCCCCCAAGCTCGTGCGTTCCTGCACTCCAGCTTGGAACAAGACATCACGTTATCTAACTCAATCTGCCGTTGTATCTTGGGGATCGGGGACTCTCACAGCAACTGGAGCTAGGACCGAAGCTAATCGGCCCATTCGCCCACGATCACGCACGCCGCAGCGTTCCGTCATCGAACGCCGTGGCCCCGGCGCGACCCACTAGCTTCCCGCCGCATGGCACCATCATTCCGGAATCCGGGGTGCATTGCTCCCAGCGCTTGTGGCTTCCCCTCTTGTTCTCGTCGTCACTACCGGTAGGGAAGTATGTAGCGTGCCACTATGTAACGTCGAGCGCAGTCGATTCTCATTCCTCCATGACGGCGGCCGAATCTTCAGCACTCGCTGGACTGCTGAACCTCACTCTCAACCTGTTGTGTACAGGCCAGAGGCACTGAGCACCCTACCAAGCATTCCTCCGGTGGCGTTCCGTCTCATCTCCCCGAAACGTCGGTTCCCTCAACACATTTGTTCGCAGCGTTGCTTTGACTCCCGATAAACAAAAAACCACCCACTCCACCTTTATCCTTCCGCCAACCCACACGGCCCGGTCTCGACCCCCGTTACCCTTTCCTCATCCGGCCGTTCGTCGGTCGTTTTGATGGCCCGCAAGGATCCTCCGTAGTGCCGCACCATCGGTGTTCTGAAGCCCCACGTCTGGAATCGTCCCTCAAGCTGAGGCGGGCTGCTGTAATCGGATGAACAACAAACAAACAAACAAATGAACAATGCTGCAACGGCTGGGCCTTGACGGCTTCTTGTTGTTTCAGTCTTGGGTGACCATATCTTAGTAGCTAGTAGGTTTATTGGAAATGTTCAGCTGAGGCGATTACTTTCGAGGCCATGTGACAAACATCTGTGACGGCCTCTTAGTGACTATTTGCCGCTTACCAGTTCACCAGCCAGATGACAGCGCCTTGCCCCGAAGTGCAACAATCAAAGGCCTTCCGAGAAGCTCCGAGAAGCTCAAATCAACATTTTCACATCAAAAAACCAATCTCTTTTTTTCCCCTCCAATTAGTCGCTTGAAACCCATTTCATCGTAGGCCGAAACTGGGCATCTGTGCACATCCTCGCAATTTTATAATTAAAGTTTTTAGGCTCAAGATTAGTGTGGACGATACCACATGGTCAATTGGCTTTATCGTGAGTTAAATCCGACATCGAGGCAGTGTGCAGAGTGTCCCTTCATCTTGCCTGTACACTTGACGCGTGCAGTACTGCAGGCTCACGATTCGGATTCATGGAACTGCTGATGTCGTCTTCTCGGCGCTATTTCCCAATGAGCCCATCGACTGGCGACAGCCAGCAGTCACTCAACGGCAGCTTTGGCCATGGGTGCAAATGACTTCCACATCCCAAGACTCTCACATGTGACCCGTGGGCGCCGTTCTAGTTCACTTACAGTCACAACGACCGTTGTCGACCGCCATTGAGCCCTTGCGCATCGTCCTTTTCTTCCAGACCGCAAACTACGAGCTGAATCTCCCCTATCCTTTCCGAGGCGGGCCAGCCTTGACAGTGACAGTCACTGGCTCCCCGTCTGCCTTTGCCTGGCGAAGCACCGCCTGGAACTCTCCCCCGTCCACAAGATCCTTCAACACAATCTCCCGCGTCCTCTGCAGTCCCTCCAGCTCATCAAGCCTCTCCAACGTGGCTTCGAGCAGCTCGTCAAAGCCCTCCTGCGAGCAAATCTCGCGGAAAGCGTTGTGCATCGGGACGGAGTCGGCCCGCACCATGGAGTTGGAGTCGATGGAGAAGATGTTGAAATGGTCGTGCTTCTGGATAAAGTCCGCCCGCGTCATGAGCTGCCGCGCCTCGTGGAGCGGTATCTCCGGCAGCTTGCCGTCGAGCCTCTCCTCCCGCGACATGGCCTTCTCCTTGTCGATCAGCGCCTTGGCCAACAGGAACGCCGTGGTGGCGTAGTCCTGCTGGTCCTCCGCCTCCGGGTCCATGTCGCCGCCCAGGATCCAGCACTGGCCCAGCAGCCACCGCTTCTCCCGCTTGCAGATGGCGTCGCACGTCGCCAGCATGTCCTTGGACCGGGCCACGTGGTCCAGGAACCGGACGCGCCCGCCGACCTTTTGGTAGACGCGGTCCAGCACGTCCTCGGCCACGTCCTCGTGGAACACCTTTTTGCGGAACTCCCGCAGCGCCGCGACGGCCGGGCGCCGGGTCACGTCGTGGACGTCCGTCACGGCCATGCGCGTGGCCTGCCACTTGAGGTGCTCGGTCGTGCTGTGGTCGTCGCTGGTGAAGACGACGGTGACGAGGCGGCTGGCGGCCCACATCTCGGCGCGCTGCTGGATGAGGTCGAGCAGGTTCCGCCCGTCCTCGTCGTCTCGGAGGACGTGGATGCGGTTGATGATGAGGATCAGCGGCTTCCGGATGTGTCTCTGCCGCAGCAGCGCCACCTTTTCCATCTTGTTGAAGGCTCTCTCGATGTCGAGGATGGCCGTTGTGTCGCGGGGTCCCTTGAAGTTGAACAGGCTTCCTATGTAGTCCTCGTGGAACTCGAAATCGAGGGCTTTCCCGAGGCGCAGCCGGAAGACCTCGAGGTCGCCGTGGGCCTCCAACATGGCGATGCCAACGCCGTTGATCCGCCGCATCGCTTTGAGAATCATCGAGGTCTTGCCGGTGCCCTTCTCGCCTGTGATCAGGTGGTACTGGCCGCGAACGCTCCCGTCAACGATGCCGTCAATGAGGTCCTGTTCCTTTCTCGGGATCCACTCGTTTTCGCCCTCGAACCCCGTCAGGTCATCCGCAGATTGAAGCTTGTGGGGAGCAACGTGTCGGCCCATGGCGGTCAGCTCCGGCGTCGAGAAGCCCACGCCAAAAGCATTGTCCATTTTTCGCAGGACGAGGTCTTTGTAGTAGGCATGGTAGGAGTATCCCGCCAATCCGAGGACAGCGACTGAGCCAAAGGCGGTCGCGCTGCCCTCTACGAGCCTCCAGAACGTGCCTTTCCAGCCATGAGGCTCTTCGCCATCATTCTCGTCCTTGCCTTTGCTACGACTAGACGAGGCCGAGGCGGGGTTTGCTTGTTCCACCAAAACGTAACGAGCCGGTGGTTGCGCTGTTCTGGTGGCGAGCGGGTATGCCTATGGTTTGTGTATGAGATCAGCCGGTTAAAGATCCAAGAAAGCGCCACCGGGCTCGATGTTTGCTGGCTGGGTCTTACCCTCCAATGTCGCGAGACCGGATATCGTCTAGCCATGTGCTTTCGTGACGAGGCTTTTGACTTGGCGCGGCGATTTGATCCAGGCGTGTGAGTTTGGAAGGCACACTGCACAGGATTGATCTGACTGCTGAAGCGATGCGGCCTGAAGAGTCGCCCTTTGTTGCCTAATTTACGGTCTCACAGCTTGGGTATGTAGTTCCCAGCCTTCATCCCAGCGGAGCTAGCTTCAACGACGTTGGAGAGTGGCTCGTGACGGATCAAGTGAATGGAAGGACAGACATAAAGTCTTTGCGGGTCCGTGAAATTACTGGCCACGAATCCCCTGTGCGCCCAGCTATGGATCCAGGGGTCTCGGGCCGCGAGTGTAATCGTGCCAAGGCCTATCTTGGCCGATTTTACCTTTGATGCAGCATCTAATTGTTCAATGATACTAGGTTCAGAACACGAGAATGACACTACTCAATTGCCTGCTTTGCATACGCGGGTGCTCAGACAGTTGGATTTGGCAGTAAGTTGGTTCTCTGAGACAGGAATGGCTCTCTACACGAAAGCGGATAGAGTGCCGGCAATACCCTCTTTTATTAGCTGACCCCAGCACACGCCATACTCGCACTGTTGTGCGTTTGATGCCTTGCACATTTCAGTCTAGAGCCTCTGATAATAAACGCAAACCAATCTCGAAAGTGTCGAAGGTTCTTGGTGAATTGTTTGACAGTTCCAAAGTTGCAACCAGGAACAATCAGTCGATTTGTGAACCGGGACTGTTATTAGGATGGGAGGTAAGGGTTACTATCAACGCGGTAAACCAAATAGCTATTCTACGAAGTTGATTTACGCAGATTCTCTCGGACAAGATTGTAGGTTGCATCGCAGATCTACACGCACACAGGCACCATGGCTATCGCCCCTGCGATCCAGGGGATTGCTCCAATACAACAACGGCGCCTCGGCTGCTGCGATGCTGTGGGAATAGTTGACAAGGCAGCCACTGCTTACTTGAAGAAAATTGGTTCTCTCATCAAGATCAGATAAGTTATCACGAGTTAAAACGCAAGGCAAGCATGAAAGGTCACACGTTATCAAAGGGAAAAGAAAACTTACATAAGTGTCATTTTTAGCTGGCTACATGGACATGTATATAGATTCTGGCAGTCAATGCAGTGAATGATTTGTTCTACATTTACCTTGGCAGACGACAACGGTTGCCGTTTATCTCCGGGATGAATCCCTCAATGCAGGTCTGCGGCTCAGTCAGCATGCGCGACGCAGCAAGGGTGAAAACTGAACATGGCAGCGGCTACGCCTGAAGTCCGCGGCTGCACTGCCCTGCAAGGCAGCCTTGCCGAAAAGGACTGATCTTTTGCCTGTTCCCAATCTCCCCTCCTCATCAATCCCTTTTCTCGTTTTCTCATGCAATTCGGAAGGATAGAATGTTTGGTATATGACAGCTTGATCTATTGCTACATCTCAACCACTTAGCATTACCAACATATAATGCTAGACCCTGATCTGACCACGGCCCCAGTAAAATGGAACGATTAAACGACCATGGCGAACAAAAAGCTCGCAGAGACAAGAGGGGTTGCAGCGAGCTTGGCCAGGACGACTCATACCCCAACCATGCGAAACGACGGAGAACATCAACCGAGCCCAGTCCCTACGACCGAGATCGATTACAGACCGAGTCCTTAAAAATACTTCAACATGTTGACTACACCGTGGGATGGATCTGCGCGCTCCCGATCGAGTTGGCTGCCAGTCAGGCTATGCTAGATGATACCCACGGCAGTCTACCTCCGAAAGAAAACGACGACAACACATACACCCTCGGGAATATTGGAAGCCATAATATCGTTATGGCTTGCCTGCCTTTAGGTCAATACGGGACCAACAATGCAGCGATCGTGGCAAACAACATGCATCGAAGCTTCCCCTCCATTCGCATACGGCTGATGGTCGGGATTGGCGGCGGTGTTCCTGGTGACGCTGATATTCGACTCGGTGATATTGTAGTCGGCAACAAGGTGATACAGTACGACTTGGGAAAGATCCTTGCGGGAGGTAGAATTCAACGCACCGGCATTATCAAAGAACCCCCGCCCCTTGTCCTGAAAGCCATCGCCCAGCTAAAGGCGCATCACCAACGAACGGTCAGCAAAGTGCCCTCTATTCTTAGAGACATGATTGAGCGGTATCCCACGCTATCAACATACGCATATCCAAGTTTATTCGAAGATAGACTGTTTCGCTCCACGTACGAACACGATCAACAGCCAGACTGCCATTACTGCGACCCTTCAGAATTGCGGGATCGACCTGCACGGTCCAATGAGGATCCCAGGATCCATTACGGTGGCATCGCATCGGGGAATCAGGTCGTGAAAAGCGCCAGAGACCGTGACCTCTTAGCCAAAGAGCTCGACATCGTATGTTTCGAGATGGAAGCGGCTGGTTTGATGGATGTTTTCCCTTGTCTTGTTATTCGAGGAATCTGCGATTATGCCGACTCCCATAAAAACAAACAATGGCAACCATATGCGGCAGCAACGGCAGCAGCTTTCGCAAAAGAACTTCTTGATGTTATCACTCCAAACGTCATGAGTGTTATGCCAGTCGCAGTGCAAGAGGTTCGGGCAGCGAGCACACCAATACTAACCAGTCAAAACCGTAAGTTACCCCTCTAGGCATTAGACTGACCTCGCTCACATGATCACAGACGAAGATTCGTCTCAAGTTTGCCGAACAGACTTCTTGGAATTGCTGCGTTTTGAGCAACTAGACTCTCGACACGCAACAATAAAAACAGCGCATCGACAAACCTGCTCATGGCTCCTGAAGCACGCATCTTACAAAGAATGGCTTGATCCCACCAAAGCAGCCCAGCATCATGGATTTTTATGGATCAGCGGGAAGCCTGGTGCTGGAAAGTCAACCTTGATGAAGTACGCATTCAGCAGCGCCAGGAAGCGACCTGACGCGAATACTGCATTCACTTCCTTCTTCTTCAATGCACGGGGAGAAGAACTGGAGAAGTCAACAGTAGGACTACACAGATCTCTGCTGCTTCAAATTCTCGAGCGGTTTCCGGACTTGCAATCTGTCCTCGATGATGCTGTCCTTGTCCCGCGAAACCAGACATGCTGTCCTACAACCGAAGTTCTCCGAGACCTTTTTCGCAACGCTGTAATGAACCTCGGCCATCGACGTTTGGTTTGCTTCGTTGACGCCCTTGACGAGTGTGACGAAGAGCAGGTACGAGAAATGGTGACATACTTCGAGGAACTAGGATACGAGGCTACGGCAGAGGGCGTCCATCTCCAGATTTGCTTCTCAAGTCGCCATTATCCTCATATCGAGATCCAAAACGGCCTGAAACTGACTCTTGAGAACCAACCCGGCCACGAGCAAGACTTGGAGAAATACGTTCGAAATTGCTTGCGGGTAGGCAAGCGTTCAGACGCTGAAGATATCAAAATCGGGGTCCTGGAAAAAGCCAATGGCGTCTTCATGTGGGTCGTCTTGGTAGTCGATATTTTGAACAAGGAATATGCACGGGGTCAAATTGCCGCGGCAAAGAGAAAACTGGGCGAGATTCCTAGTCGGCTAAGTGACTTGTTCAAAGACATTTTGAGGCGCGACAACGAAAACATGGACGACCTTCTGCTGTGTATTCAGTGGATACTCTACGCAAAGCGACCTCTATTACGAGAGGAATTTTACTTTGCAATGCTCTCCGAATTGCCAACCGAAGAACTTGCTATATACGACCCCAAAAAGATCACCGGCGATGATTTACACTTGTTTGTTATCAGCTCCTCAAAGGGACTAGCCGAGATCACAAAGTCAAAAAACGCAACTATACAGTTCATCCATGAATCTGTACGCGATTTCCTCATCAAAGACAATGGAATATTGGAGCTTTGGCCCCAACTTGGGGAGCAGTTCGAGAGCCTGAGCCATGGCAAACTGAAGCGGTGTTGCCATTCATACATCAATTTTGCAGCCTCGAAAATGGGAACTATGCATGACAGCGAGTCTCTTCCTAATGCAAATAAAGAAAAAGCGAAAGAGATCCGCCAAAACGTATTGGGACAATTTCCTTTTCTGGGATATGCAACGGAGCATGTGCTCCACCATAGCGATTTCGTTGCACTCGCTGTCTCACAGCTCGGCTTTCTTGAACAGTTTCCCCTTCCCATGTGGATTCGTTTCCATAACATGCTCGAAAAGCACGAAGTTCGGCGTTACACTTCAACAGCAGACCTTACGTACATTCTAGCGGAGAGGAATCTGGTCCGACTGCTAGAACTCCGTATGCAAACCCATCCTCAAATCCACGTCCAGGGAGAAAGATATGGGTTCCCGATACTCGCTGCCCTCGCCAACGGGCATTTTCCTGCAGCCAAAACACTTCTTGGGCAGGCTGCAAGCTCGAAAAACGTTGAAGATCTATTCACCGGTCTTGACAACCAGAAAAACTGGATGTTCCGAAAGACGCAACGGCCCCTTCATTGGGCCATTGAGAACAGGCAAACAGCCCTCGCTATAACTCTAATTCTCTCAAAAAGCATTGATATCCTCATGAAGGACGGGATGAAGCGCACGGCCATTCATTGGGCTGCTATCGTCGGTGATGAGACTGTCTTGGCTTTTCTACATGAAAAAATGACTGAACGTCATGAGGAAGATCTTACTGAGACGACACCCCCACCGATCACTCAAGCAAGCAATGTGGGAACAGCGAAGGCCCGTATTGAGAGGACCCGATGTCTTGACTCGCTGGACTATCATAGAGAATCGCCATTATCATTAGCTGCCGAAAAGGGCCACCAGACTATCATAAGAATGCTTCTAATGTGGGGGCATCTATCGATAATCCAGACAAAGACAACAACACAGCCCTTCACAGGGCTGCCTGGAATGGCTATACAGATACAGTCAAGCTGTTGATTGAGAAAGGCGCAGCTATCGATAATCCAGACAAAGACAACAACACAGCCCTTCACAGGGCTGCCTGGAATGGCTATACAGATACAGTCAAGCTGTTGATTGAGAAAGGCGCAGCTATCGATAATCCAGACAAAGACAACAACACAGCCCTTCACAAGGCTGCCCAGGGAGGCTATACAGATATAGTCAAGCTGTTAATTGAGAAAGGCGCAGCTATCAATAATCCAGACAAATACAACGACACGGCCCTTAACGAGGCTGCCTGGAATGGCTATACAGATATAGTCAAGCTGTTGATTGAGAAAGGCGCAGCTATCGATAATCCAGACAAATACAACTACACGGCCCTTAACAAGGCTGCCCAGGGAGGCTATACAGATATAGTCAAGCTGTTAATTGAGAAAGGCGCAGCTATCGATAATCCAAACAAAGACAACAACACGGCTCTTCATGAGGCTGCCTTAAGAGGCCATGCGGCTGTAGTTACTACTCTACTCGAAAACGGGGCTACAGTGTTTATCAACAGGAAGGGGTGGATGGGTAGAACGGCTCTAAACCAAGCTGTCAAAAATGGCCATGTAGCCACGATTACGGCCCTCCTTAATCACGGGGCCATCATTGACAGTACAGACGACGCCGGCCAGACACCGCTTTCGATTGCTGCTGCTTCACGCCGTAACGATATAGTAACACTTTTGAATTCGAAGGGTATAGAGCCACGGGTCTTTGCAGTCAGCACAAACACTAAGACAGGCCAAATATAGCCCATACTCCTCGCAAGGATAGTGCGATAACACTGTATGCGGGTCTGGGACTGGCAGTACCATCACCTGGCAACTGCATCGATCAGACGGCACGAGGTAGAAATAGCGGCAAATGCTTTGCCAGATCCGCCAAACCGGTTTGCCTGGATATCAATCCCAATTACAATGATGCCAAGTTAGCCGCAAATGACGATTGGTTTCTGGTTTGACTCGTTGTTGGAGGTGCGCCAGCAGCCCAGATCCTGACCCTTTCAATTCCCTTCCTTCACACCCCCTTTTTGATCATCACTTGATGTTTTGTTCTCGGACTTGACAGTAAAGTGGGGCGATAGGCGAATCGTGTCGAGACGCATTCAGCAGAACGACAGGTATTCATTCAGCTGATAGCATACGAACAATAAGATTTCTAAGCTTGATATTTGGGCATGTGCCGAGAAACCCAAAGTAGCATCTACAAACAATCATACATACAACTTGCGGCTCTGCATTGTGCACGGGGTTCAACTGTCACGATACTGGCGCACAAACTCATGCAGCTGCACGAGTGAGTCATGGCCGACCTTCTGCATGTACGCAGAGCTTTTGTCCCCCGAAATGGCGACCCGAATAATCGTACGGGCTGCCCAACATAGCTCGCTATTGTATCTGGCCATACCAATCTTCTCGAATGCTGCGGGATCCATGCGGCTGCGAATGCTCTCCCACATGTTTTCCCATCTGGATGTAGCACGTAGAAGTGCATGAGCGCTTGCGGGCAGAAGTCCCATGAGATTGGCCGAAAGAACCATGCCATTGAGTGCTTGTAATGTCAGTTGCCTTGAAAAGAACAGTGAATGAATAGAGGACACATACCGAAAATCAGTAACTGCAGGTCGGACCCGTTAATATCCTGGAAGGGGAAGCTTCCCGTGCCGCCCCAAGTCTCGCGCATCAATGCATCGACACAAAGTTTGACCGATGATATCCGTCTTGAGCCATCGATTTCGAGAGTGCGTGACGCCTCAAAGTATTCATTCGAGTCTTTTGAGTCCCAGAGTTCCAGGGGGCTCGGAAGGTCGCACGTCAACTCAGCAGGCGTCATCATCGGCGGCGAGTTGAACATGCCGCTCTGCTGCCAGTCTCCCAAAGCCGTCCATATGGCCAGTCTGCACAAACATCAACGGTCAGAGCGCGAAGTATGAATAGAACATTACCGACCTGATTTTAGACTCATTATGGACAAATTCTTCGTACTGGAATATAGGCGTGTGCCTGGTTTGCGCCAGACCCATACACCTCACTGCGGAGACAAGGGCAGGTAGTCGCTGAGTTCGGTTCTTCCTCCGTGATGCAACATCATTTCTGAAGAACTGAATACAGTGGATCATGAGAGCGGCTTGAAGCGTCTCCTGAACCTCAGTGGTGAACTCGGGAGAGGATCCAGGTGGCATCAATCTGCTCAAGCCACGGAAAATGTATTCTTCGGCAAGATCTAGCAAACCGCGAGCAGATAAAACATCATCGCTGGGCGGTGATCTCAGAGATCCGGAAAGTGCAACAGCCAAGAGCAAGAGTTTATTTGTCCTCTCAGTGCCAAAGGTCGGCCGGTGGACGATGGGGAAGTCATGGTGGCTCACCCGGAAGAATGTTGCAGCAAACTTGCATAAATTTTCCGCCGAAAAGACCGACTTCGTAGTATCTAGGTCAAAGGAGCCATTATACCAAGGGTCGGTGATTACCAAGCTGTTATGAAGCTCATGCAATTCCGACACAATCTCATCAGCGCGAGATCTCCAAGTTTCGGCATCGAACGAGCAAACCGTGGCGAAAGGTAGTGTGTTTGTCGAGAGTGTTTCCATGGGCTGAAATTCCATAAAATCAGGGAAAAAACTGGACGCGAAGCCGTACGGAAGGAAAGTAAAGTCCTCGTCAATCAGCATACTCGGAGCATGTTGAGGGAAGACAGTTTTTATGCTTGAGTCAATGCCATCGCCCTCAGTCCTGGAGGCCGCATCATTGGCTAGAAACTCGAGGATACTGTCCGAATTTGGATTTGTCAGGCCTAGAAGGAAGGCGACGGTGATTTTGGTGCGGTCTTTGTCATTGTCAGGCGTACCGACCGTCGTGGGAGCCAAGGACGAGGAGGCAGCGGAAGAAGTGTCGGTATTGACGGATGTTGTTTCCTCAAGCCTACGATAGGTGCAATGCAACTTCCGAGAGACACAGCGCTTGCAGGGATCACAGGTGTCGCATGATTGCTTGCTGTGGAAGCAAGCGTCGCAGGCACGGGGCTTCTGGCCACGCTTCAGGTTTGGGATTGTTTCTTGATCGTGCTTATTGGGACAGTGTATCGTGTGTTTCCGGCAGACGTCACTGTTGATGATGAGCAAGTTCATTGCCGCCTCGAATCATATGCAGAGAGTGGTGAAACTTTACATACCGTCTGGCAAATGCTTTGTCACAGTAAGAGCATTTATAGCGAGCTACCTGAACGTCTGCAGCTTATCAGCGGATGAACGAGCTGAGACCCTAACTCACCCAATAAATAAAGAATGAATTCGAATGATAAAACCAGATGAACAGTTACAAGGAACAGGGCTGTCTCCACACCCTCGGGGATACGGCTAGATCTCACCAGAACCGGTCGAAACAAGACACCCAGGTACTGGCCGAGCGTTGCTCCCCTAAGGAAAGAAACAGGCAATTACAAGCGAGACACATTACATAAGAGGAAATCAAAACGAATTGATCCCGGGAACTCAACCGTACTTACGAGTAGACTCGTGACGGCGTAAATGAGCGCTCCTCTGATACTGTTTCCCACAGGTGGCACAGGTATGGCGGTCGACGGAAGGAGCCGGCATTTCGTTTCCCGACAGCCGTTAGCGTCTTTTGCGCTCTGGCTAGGGGCCTTTCGTGTTCAGGGTCAATGAAATGAAATTGGAAAACTTCAAGCGGTTGGTCGCCGAGCGGTTCGGACGATAGGGCGAAGGATGTGAAGTTGGTGGGTTTTACCCGAACTTCTTGTCCGGAATGGCGCGGACGGCCTGAGACCCATTGAAGGGACATGCCCGTCCGCCCTGCCGAGTGGCCGGACAAATCTAAGGCCGTAGGCTAGTACCCCACATTGGCGTGTGACCAGTGAGGTGCAGGTGGGTTTTCACCTTATTCCAGAAGAAAGGACCCACTGCGAGCAGCGGATAAACTAACGCGAATTGGAAAGCAAGTTCATCGTGTAAGCCAGTGCAGCCGGCGTCGGCAAGCCAAGGGCCGCTTCGTCCGCCGACCAGACGGACGAGCCCTAGAGACTGATAAACTTGAGGAAATGGAATCTATGCCAAATGTTGTGGCAATGTCTACTTTGCTCCTTTTCTGTTCTTCTTCAAAACTTATTTTCACTCGTATTCTTCCGAACACTCTTGCTCTTTTATTACTTCAGTCGATTTTGCCCCTCACACAGCAGCAGCCCTTCACGAGTTGTATTACACGGAGCCTCTATTCCGTCTATTTAAGTTTCCTCTAAGCAAAACTTGCTTCGGTAGTAATGACAGGGCAGACAGGATTAAGATGTAAGTACACGCAAACATACATGCTGCACATGGCACTAGAGGCAAAGCATGGATGCATCCCCTTCAGCTAGAGCGTCGTCTGATTCGTTTCGAGGTTCTTTCAGATATGGCAGCTTTACATCCATTGATCTCGATTTTGAGATTGAGACCATTAGCGATAAGAGTGTCCAGGGTGCCGACGTCATTATTGAACGATACTCGAAGGGAGAAGCACTCAAAGTCAGCTTCGACAAGCGGAAGCCTCGTTGCAAAAAATAGCCTGCCATTCGAGAGCAGGATCATTAACGAACCATCAAATGCTGTCGAATATGCACTGTAAGAGACCTACAACCTCTGCCTGAGCCGCAACTGACACGTTCCGCCCCAGGACCACCGTCGACAAGATTATCAATTGGGCACGTCAAAGCTCCCTTTGGCCTCTTACCTTCGGTCTCGCATGCTGTGGTATTGAGATGATGCATGTCTCGATGCCGCGATACGACCAAGATCGTCTGGGTATCATTTTCCGAGCATCCCCTCGACAAGCCGACGTAATGATCGTGGCGGGAACGGTAACAAATAAGATGGCACCGGCTGTGCGTCAGTGTTATGACCAGATGCCGGACCCGAAATGGGTGATAAGCATGGGAAGCTGCGCGAATGGAGGAGGCTACTACCACTACAGCTACTCGGTCGTGAGAGGCGTGGACCGGATCATACCCGTCGATATCTATGTGCCTGGCTGTCCTCCAACGCCCGAGGCCCTGCTGCAAGGCGTGTTTCTCCTCCAAGCCAAGCAAAGACGAACCAAAATAAGTAGGATGTGGTATCGGAAGTAGTGGTCTCACCCTTTGTATCTTTCTTTCAATTCTTGGTTGTTTTCACCCATTGACCGTAAACGCTCCTTGTACATTTATGTTGCCTTCTGTTATGGCCCTTGTGCTATACTGCGCAATCTTGGGTTGGCGACTGACGGCTACCTTAACTTCGTGCTAGGCCGTCAGAGGGGACAGTAGGAGCCGAGGTATCTGCTGGGTGGATGCAACCTTCCATATGGTTCGAATTCACCAAAGACGTGTTGATTCAACCAGAAACTTTGGCATCTTCAGGATTGCTATTCTTGGCGACCCAAGACATAGCGCCCGGCCGATCAGGTGGGCGAGGAATTGGATTATACCACCACCTAGGATCAAGCTATTAGACACTTTCGGCTGTTAGACAAGGGTATTTTTAGACCTATTTGTGGATCGCATGCTTAAAGATGCTAGAGCTTTGGCTCATGATCCTCGCTCCCTGCCTTACATATCACCAGTCGTTACTCGACGAAGGGTTTCAATGCTGTGCAGAGGACCTGCAAATTCCTCTATGAAGATCGCTGCCAAGAAATCAGTGATGTAAGTGATGAATGATGGAGCTGTCACGAGCAGGTCAGGACAAACAACTGCCCCATAAAGCGAGATCTTCACTTACGAGAACCTTGTCATTATCTCCCGTTCTGCATTATCATCACGCTGCTGCCTAGTGCACCACCAATGCTGACAGGTCATAATAGGAGGTGGGTAATACACGGTCAGATCTATTGAGGCTTGACACATTACGACAGTCGATGAGGAATTACATAACTTGGCTTTTGAGGGCCGTCAGGCATGAGCGCTGTTGTTGGTGCGTCCATAGTAAAGCATGACGACACGGTCTTCCAGTAACTAGCCAAAAGCTGTGCACGGGCACTCAGTTGAAGCCCAACAGCGTCTCGGTTAGAATTAGAGTTTGTGTGCTTTCCGTATGAGCGCATTTAGCGCTTTTGACTTCTTGTGTCTTATTCGTGGGAGCACTACCGAAGAACTCAGACCCCCGATCCCGAAACCCCGGCGGGGTCTCGGTGGATGGGTTGGACCGTCGGAAGTCTACCAACGTTGGTTGGACGTCGACTTCACCCATTGAATCAACAGATTATGAAGTCCGCGATATGCAAGTTGAGGAATTCGCTATTCTGTGTGAGATATATAAACTGCATCTCTCAGCTTTTTTTTCAATTTGTACTTTCAACTTAACGAAGCTCAATATGGCAACAACTGTCCAGTCATTCGCAGACAAGGTTATTGCTGTCACTGGCGCCGGCGGTGGAATCGGACGGGCTACGGCCATCTACCTAGCCCATCGAGGTGCTTCTCTCGCAATCTCAGATTTGAATAAGGCCGCCGTGGACGCAGTTGCTGCTGAGGTTCTCCTCGACCACCCTAGTGCCAAGATTTTCGTCTCGGCCGTTGATGTCAGCAAGCCTAGCCAGGTCAAGTCGTGGATTGGCAAAACCATCGAGAATTTTGGCAAATTGGATGGTGCAGCGAATATTGCTGGTACCTTGGGCCTTGCGGAGACGGCTCCTCTGGCCGAACAATCGGATGAGGGCTGGAACATGATCCTCGACGTCAATCTCTCGGGTACTATGTACTGTCTACGTGAGGAACTCCAAGTCCTGACTGAGGGTGGTTCAATTGTGAACACTTCTAGCGTCCTGGGACTGAAGAGCTCGCCCTTGGAAGGAGGAGGCCCATATGTTGCCAGCAAGCATGCAGTTCTTGGATTGACCAGAACAGCCGCAAGGGAGTATGGACATAAGAACATCCGAGTCAACTGTGTCAATCCGTAAGTCAAAACGAGAGCCAGTAGGACATTCGGGGCACGGCTGACATGGAATATACAGTGGTGCTATTGATACTCCGATGATGGCACCAAGTGAGACAGGCCAGGATCTTATGGAACTAGTGGCTCCCCCTATCTCTAGAATGGGAAGCCCAGGAGAGGTGGCACAGTTGATTGGATTTCTTTTGGGAGACGAATCTCGTTACATTACCGGAACTTCTGTTATCATTGACGGAGGGTTACTTTGCTAGTCAGAGTAGCTTTATTGTGTCAACGGTGTTTGTTCTAGATTTCAGCTGCTGGCTGTAATACACACGCCGGCCCCTAGAGAACTAAGCCCTTCAAAGACGCGATTTGTCGCCCATTGTTGTTGAGAATGTATAAATGTGGCAATGAGCTGCTGCTCTGAACCTATATCCAATGGTTCATTGCCATGTTGATGAAGCCAGCATAAGGTCAAACATTCTAGCGCATGACAGAGTCGCCGAGGTAGCGTTGAGCTCCAGCCGGTGGCCATGACGTTGGTATCCAAGATAGAGGCATAGAGACCGTAGGGCAGCCCTGTTTCCAGAAACACAGTTTTAAGGTCAATTGAAACATTAATGTTACTTAAGTCCGGGGCACCCCAGCGGCTCATAAGATTCCCCCGTCGGCCCTATCATGTTCTCCGTTGGCTTTAGCGGCTTACCTGCAGGCTCCTGCCTTGGCCTCATGCGAGGTTCTGCAAGACGCGAATTATGCAATTGCGGTCAAAATTATGTTATTCACCTATCATCGCTTTGAATGCTGCACAACTTCTCGCACCAACTTGTATTTTGCAATGAACATTACAAACATGGCTCATCTCTTGAGCACTGAAACTTTCTCACCACGGCTTTCGCTATTCGTTGCATCATCTGCTGTGCTGCTAGTCTCTCTATTTGCCCTTTACCATCGGCTGCTTCCGAAGCCGATCCCCGGGATCCCTTAGAGCAAGGAAGCTACTCGGAGCCTACTTGGCGACATTTACAGGATTTGGAAGGAGTCTCCCAACAAGATATTCTCCTGGATTGTAGAAAAATCCCGTCACAGCGGCAGTCCCATCTTCCAAGTCTGGCTTGGGTCCTTCCGAAAGCCGACTGTTGTCATCGCAGATTTCAGGGAAGGGCAAAATATACTGATGCGCCGCAAGGAATTCGACCGGGCTGATTTTTCCAGCATTATCTAGTCAGGCGAGGCAAGGTCCTTTCACATTGTTCTTAAGACTAGACCGCAGTGGAAAGCCCAGCGCCGTCTGCTTCAGGACTTGATGACACCTGTGTTTCTCAACAAAGTTGCGGCTCGGACGCCTACAAGGGTGCTTTGCATTTTCTAGAGCTCTGGACGAAGAAAACACATATAGCCAACGGGAAGCCCTTTTCAGCAGATAACAATGTATTTTACGCTGCCTTGGACGAGTGCTTCAATTTCTAGAGCTCTTACCCCGCAAATTGCAAAGATCAGCTCGCTGTCGACTTGTAAGTACGGCCCTTACACGAAGAGGCGATTGGTGAGAGGGGACTCGATTTTACTATCGCGCCCATCGATACTTTAATCGAAACATCCTTGAAATCTGCTGAAAACAACAGCGGGGTGGCTTCAACTGGCTTTCCCAAGCTGGCATGGTCTGATGCCAAGCATCCGGCATGGGAGGATGATCAGACCTGATTTCATCAAAGGTCAAATCTTGGAGGCAGTCAAGAGATACAACACCATGGCAAGAGTCAGGGCGACAGTAGTGTTAAGTCAGCAATTGATCTGATGGTACAGAAAGAAAACAGTGTTGCCGAGAAGGAAGGCTGGCATGCTCCTAATTGGCTCGAGGTTCTGATAGATGAGGTAAAAACTGCTTTGTTGTGTTCATCATATGCTAGACTGACCTTACTTTCTTAGAATGGGTTTTATCACTGCCGGCCACGACACGAAGAGCACAACATTGTGCTGGGGATTGAAATTCATCTCGGACAACCCTGAAGTTCAACACACACTCCTCGAGAATCTCCACAACGCACACTTGACTGCTCAAACTGAGAAACGCCTCCCTTCACATAGCGAAATTAATGGTATAAGCATCCCATACTTGGATGCCGTTATTTAAAAGATGCTCCGACTTGCCCATACGATCCTGACTCAGGATCGACAATGCAACGAAGATATAGTCGTGTTAGGGCATTACCTTCCTAAAGGTACCCATGTTATGGTCCCTAATAAGGGTCCTAGGTTTACAGAGCCGGGATATCCAGTTGACGAAAGTTTGCATAGCCCTTTTTGTCAGTCAGCAGCTAAGAGTAGTGGCATACGAGTTTGGGATGATGAGTAGATGGACAAGCTCAAGCTTGAGCGCTGGCTTGTATAACAAGACCAGGGCATAGAAGAATACAGCGCGACCGCTGGCCACACCTTACCCTTTGATCTTGGCCTCCGAGGATGCTTTGGGCGCAAGTTAACATATATGGAGCTAAAGGTGTTGACAACACTTTGGTATGGGCTTTTGAGTTTCAGCAGTGCCCTCAGAGTCTATCAAGTTACGACTGTGTCGAGGCTTTGACACGTAAGCCTGTGCAGTGCTTCGTGCGCTTGAAAGTCAGGTGGTCAACTAGTCTTCACTGTACTACGCTCTCACTTATGTGCTTTTGTGCGAGTTCCCTTTTTTACGATACCTGCTAGCTTCCTGGGTTACAGCCATGCCGTGAAGTGATAATTCCGATGCAAGTAACAATAATAAACGTAGTCAACCTAGATCCGCTATGCTATCCGTCTTTTTGCAACCGGCGAGACCTACAGGCATACCTTTGCTTTAGGAAGAAATACGAACAGACAGGGTTTTGCCCCCAGCATGCAAAGCGCCAAGTGAAAACAAGGTTAATCTCTTCGTTGCTGGGGACTAAACCCATCTCACAACTGGTCAAGATAGTCCCTGCTCCAGTGTCAAGAACGCTCTCACCACTTCATCAGTTTCTCAAACGTAGCAACGAGCTCCTGCTGCTCGTTAGTTCCTATACAACCTCGGGTTTTTACCGGTCTCCCGAAGACTTACATTGAAATTGCAATTGCTCATTGTCTCGAACACGGCCTTGTTATTATGTAGACTCATGCTCCCGATACGAGGTGTCTTGATACCAAAGGCCACGCAAGCCATGAAGCGGGCATCATTTTTCGCCGTGCTGTTAGCAAGAGCTTGTCTTGCCTGGGCAGTCGCAGTCTTCGCTTTGTCTGCCGACTTTGCCTTCGAAGCGGTGGCTGCTAGGTCGTCGGCCTTGCTTGCCTCCTTTGCACACGCCGCTTTGCAGACACCCAGAATTTTCTTCATGGTCTGCTCGTCTAAAGCTTGAGGTATAAAATCTGGTAGTTTGACTTGATTATGAGTCTCGCACCAAGTGCAGTGGCCACATTCTTTGACCGACGCGTGGGTAGTGTCAGCAAAGTAAGACGCAAGGCCACGAGTGAGACAGGTTGTTCCTGTCAGGAGGTCAACAAGATCCTGCACTCGCTGCAAGTCTTGTTTCTCCTTCTTCATGATTTCCGTGTCAATATCGTTGATGATGATGTCAATCTCACTATTCTTGCTGGGTAAGGGCTTGTTCAGACGAAAAACCTTTTGAACGCCCTTCTTATCAAGCTTGATGATGCCAGACTCGGCCCACGAGTCCAACTTCCGAGTAACATCAGCCCGAGTCACGCCTCCACTGTCAGCAGGAACGTCAACGTCAATATGGGTCCACAGCTGGGCTTTTCCAGCGTGTCTCTGGATGAATTTGGCCGCGGGTGACGAGTCGGCGGCCAGTGCCTGACCTTGCAGCACTTGGTACTTGTACTCGGAGTACTGTGGGGTACTAGCCCGAAGAAGACCAAACTTCAATTCAAGGTAAGCGTAGATGATGGAAAGTTGAGTTTCCTGGGCCGGGTCAGCTTGGGTCTAGTAGAGAAAATACAGAAACACATACCCTAATATCCACGCGTCTTGACTGGGAGGTAATAGCCACGGAGAAGGTATCGCCAGCTCTCATTTGACAGTTCTCGGTGCTGCAAATTTCGTCGAAAAGGGCGCGCAATGCCAATTTTGATGGCCGCTCTCCATGAATCATTATGTTCCTCAGAAAAAAGTCCTTGTTAGATAGATACAACAAGCATGTGCTTGTCTTGCCGTCACGTCCAGCTCTTCCGATTTGCTGGCTGTAAGCCTCGATACTGCTAGGAAGATCGAAATGGATGATAGTTCGCACATTTTCCTTGTCAATGCCCATGCCGAAAGCAATAGTGCCTACAATCTGTTTGCAGGTACAATCGTCAGTACATCCTTGTCAGGATTGGCCGGAGCAAGACGCACAATCATGTTGTCACTCCGCAAGAATTTGTCCTGGATGTCTGATCGAGTGTCCTTATCAAGTCCTGCGTGGTACGGCCGCGCGTTGAAGTTTTTCTTGGCCAGATTGCCAGCAAGGGTTTCGGTGCCCTGAGAATCATGGTAAGTTAACGTAGATCGATGTTAGGGTGGTTGGAATGTACCGCATGTGTGGTAACGTAGATGATCGCTGGCCCAGGGTTCTTTTTTAAGAAGCGAGAACACATCTCGACTTGGTCATCATCTGAGCTAATGGGCTCAACAATAAGGCGCAGACTGGAACGGTTAGTGTTACATTGAAAGCTTGGAAATCGTGACAAGCTGGTGAACTAACTTAGGGCGGTACATGCTGGTGATGAAGAGGCCCTCGGGAGGGATGTTGAATGTAGCTCGAATGTCTTGAGCAACGGTAGCAGTGGCGGTTGCTGTGAGGCACACGATTCTCTCGACGTTGGCTTCTTTCGCGAATCGGGCAACTGAATGATTGGTTAGCAGAAAAGATAGTATGGGGTATGACATACTGACTCTTGAGGTAGTCTGGCCGAAATGAATGCCCCCACTGCGAAACAATCTGGTTAGCACGAATTACCTATCATATAAGGGCGATATCAAGTCGTCTCGTACTTCTGAAATGCAGTGCGCTTCGTCAATAGCCAACAAACGGATGCCACCACGAATTGATTGGAGAGATGCAAGGAATCCCTCGTTGTTCAACCTCTCTGGTGCGCAGTAGAGGAGATCCAGCTTGCCATTTGCCAGCTTGCTGTGAATATCGACAAACTCCTCCCGGCTTTGTGTCGAATCCAGAACAGCAGCAGCAACTCCTCGTCGGCGTAGAGCGTCAACTTGGTCCTTCATCAACGCAATAAGGGGCGAGATGACGACCGAAACGCCACCATCCTCTACGCTGCGGGAACCAGTCTCTCGGTCAAGTTCTTTTATAGCGACCGCGGGAACCTTATCGCTATCAGCTTTGAGGTCTCACATTAAGCGCTTGATTCCGGAATCTGACCTGATAGCACAAGCTTTTGCCTCCACCGGTGGGGAAAACGACAACGGCACTGTCGCCATTGAGAAGTCGGTTGATCGCTGCTTTCTGTTCCAACCTAAAACTTTTGAGTCCGAATCGCTCCTGCAGCACTCGCTCTGCTAGATCGGCCTGACTAGAAGCCTTTTGGCGTTTTGATACGGGCTCATCCAGTTCGCTCCGGTCATGTTTCGTCCGCTTATTGGCAGGAGTGACGTTGTCAACAACTGCGAGCAGGTCGGCCTCATCGGCCGAATCGAAACCAAAATCGTCGTCCATAGTCCCCGTTAGCTGTACTTGGCCGTGACTGGCAGCTTGCGTGGATCGTAAATTGCCCTTGGTTGAGGGTGACAGCGACGTAGATGATGTCCCAATTGGGAAGTTGGGATTGGCCCGACGCGCCTTGACGCTTCGACGCGTTAAGCAGCTGAGGAAGTTTGAAGTCATGTGACCGCTGACTTGAGACCCACTCCATGAATTGGTGGTAGATCTCAAAATCTCGACTTATGTCATGCCAAAGTAGTGTTTCCATTTTCTTCAAGAGATTCCTTATTTACCCTGACATGATAGCTTATTTTCTTCTCATGAAGCGATCGGATTATGTTAAAAGCATAGCCCTCGTGATATTCATGAAGTATTAAGGCTGTAGACGGCGTACTTTGCATATAAATTCAAGGGCGAAACAATCCACGGATATTTGAGAGCACACGTGTCAGCAGATGTGGACTATGAAGCTCACAATAGCGTGGGAAATAAATAGTAGAGGTTAGTTCAATAAGAGTTTGATACTAGATAAATTTACAAGTATACGCATTAAACTGATAGAACTTTTCTGACCCCTAAAAACTCACAACAGATCTTTTTACTATGGGTATGGGTATGGGTCTGGGCATTATTCGATGCCCATACCTAAAACAAAAATTCCTCAAATCTGCATCCCATGGGTATAATCCATAAACCATCCTACTCATAAGTATCCCTCCTCTTGTCTGGGGAATTTTGAACCTTATTTGGACGTGGGGAAGATTACATAGTACGTTGAGCATTCTTCCTCGCGCAGGCAGACTTAACAAACTCGGACGAGCGAATTATGTTGCCCGTTACTAAGGTTACATTCCGTGAGACATGGGTAGGAAGAACTGCCCCTGCCTCAAACCAACCAATAGGGCTCCTTAATTTTCTATTCACGCCTCTCAGTAGAAATCATACAGCAAATTCCGTGGTATGTGTTGGGAAACATGAGACGAGCGTTTGCTTGAGATAATGGAACAAACTCGGGCGATGTGAAACGATGCTAGTCAGCAAGCATGCCCAAGATGGTTGACACGCCCGCGAAATAAAGCCTTGTTAAACCTGTTCCCATTCATTGTTTCTAGATTGTCCCCGACCCTATATCCGATCTTTCCCCCTTCCACCAGGCGCTTGCTATTCCGCTGCTTTGTGCTGGGCTTCCATATGTTTCCTTCCTCAAGATACGATGGAATCAAAAACCGAGTATCAGCAGCTTTTCCTGGGCTTTGGAAATGACCAGATGAAGAACGATTTGACAGAAGACGACGCCGCGGATATTGACCGTCTAAATCATCATCAGCAAACCTGCAAAACATGGAGACGGCATCGGCACTTCAGCAAGTGCCGTCAACAAGCCCATTGACCTGCAGGATAGGAAGCGGGGTAAATTACGTGGAACCCGCCGTTTGGCGGTCGGGTGGTGGGGCCAGTTGTTCCTCCTCTGCTTCATTTGGCGCCAGTCGGAAAGGCGCATTCGGCAGCTAATACAGCAGGCTTGTAGCAAGTGATCCAGGCTCGCCTCTTGACAGTGGGAGTGAAGTCTTCCTGCCCTACGACTCGGACTATCTTCAGTCAAATGAATATATGAGAACATTCAAACACCTTGTCAATGACACTGGTGTGCTTGCAATAGTCACAAAGCAGTAGCTGACCCTTAGCATACAACAACGCTATTCGGGCATTTGTGCCAATATCGCAAGGGCTGTAGTTCAGACGACCTAAGCGAACAACAACAGTGCCTTTGCAGACATGCCGGCCAAATTGTGTTCTATTGGCCTTATAAACTCGACGTTTGAGATTCTTGATTTCTAAATTCTTCATATGACGTGGCGTGTGCCCATTTCTCAAAGACTGATTAATCCTTTCGCCAAGCCTAACAAGCTTAGCCTCCTGCTTTGGCTCGATTTTGATGCTACCATGTCTACATTCACGTGCCACATTCCGTCCCTGAATTTACCGGCCGGGATGATGGCCAATTTGGGCTGCTGATATGTGGATCAAGCTTTTGGACGAATGCGGGTGTTTTCTCAAACGCCACAGACGTGCATTTCAACTCTGGCAGTCCGTAGTTACACCGGCGAGACTAGCCGCGACGTCGGGGGAGGGATTTCTTTGTAGGCTCTTGCGCGTGTTACAGTCCTGTTGCTAAGAACGCTGCTACAGTGCAGATGCTGTTTGAACTGGACATTAGTACATACCTGCCGCTCTTTATGATGGGAAGCATTACTACAGCTACGACATACGGAAGGATCAAGCTCGTTCTTAGTTCATTCAGTATTCGTTATCACAAGTAATATTTCTGCTCCAAGTGCTGCTGGGCTTGGATGACATGCTTGACGTGGGTTAGAACACTGCCAGTGAAGAGGTTGCCCATTCCAGCATCCTAATGGCAGCCGACGGCAGTGATGGCCCGTATTCGTACCGTGGCATATGGCAACACGTCTACGCTTTAATAATCTCGCCAGGAGTTGGAAATGTGTTAGTTCCCTCCAGAGGACGAAATCTCGCACACGGAAATCAGTGCCCTATTATCTGATTGGATGCAGTCACAATTTGTCCCCCACCATTGCATAGCGTCATAGAGATGAAGGCAAGTTACTATATACTTAACGTCCAGAAGACCAAAGCTCTGAAAATTATGTTTGCTATCACAATATGTCATTGAAGATTGTCTTCTGACCTTACGATTGCTTATACCCTGCACAGATTTGTTGCCGCGGAAATTGACACGGCAGTACATCTCGTACTCTGATAGAGGTTGGCATTTAGACTACATCCTCTTAATGGCCACCAACAGGATAAAGTTAGGGTGTTCAAGCGACTTTCTTTCAATTTTTGTTATTTTCCATTTTCTAATAACTAACTAGTTGTATTTTTTATGTTTTGTAATTACGCTTAACCACAAATTACACGGGAGCGTTTTCGCTTCGAAGCTAGACTACGTTAAGGGTTTTGATGTCTTCAATAGACAGCCGTCTTCATTTAGTGCTAAACTTATTTGTTGAACGGTCCGAACCGCCTTTCGTCATCAATCTCCATGTTCCTCCTTTACTTTGCTGGCGACGGACTGCGCGGGTTGCCGTGCGTGCAGCCAAATTGACATGCAGATTGACATGTAGTTTTGGCATTAGGCTACCGAGACACTTTGCAGCCAAGACTGACTACTCTGACGTATTGATCCGATGGATAGGTGTCAATCTACATAATAACACGCCAGTAGTAGGCTCTTAAAAAAAAACCGACCACCAAAGCGTCTTCGACCTGCTGGCATGGGTTCGAGCCTATGGGGAGTATCCGGTGCTGTCGCTGTGCCTTATCTGCCCAGAACTGCATTTGCCCAAACGGGTATGGCATCATGCAATAGAAACTTTCCTCTTCGCCAATATGCAGATGGTTTGATAGCTCGCTGCGCATCTGACGTGGAACCTGGACCTCGAGGTTCCGGTTTTCCGGATGCCCCGATGCATGTCGGAGAGTTGGCATACTTAGATGTCAGTCATATCCATGGGGAACGTAGCTGGAAATAGCAGGGCGCGACACCATTGATGAGACTTTCATGAGGCTATTAGCTTTTGGTACCAATGAGATAGTTTTCTTGAGCCGGCGGAGGTCTTGAAATAGCACTCTTACTTTGCTATGACATTAGACGCTTGATCATATTCGACTGCGTCGAGTGATTCCATGGAATTCAACCACTTCGTCTGCAATTGCTACCTAGTGATCCGCATACGAGTAAATGATGGGGGATGTTCGCATGCGCATTTCAGCTGAACGCAGGGATGCTGTGTTGCCCTGTTCCGACCCTGATTAGAGCAAGCGATCCTGCAGATTCTTGCTCCTCCAATCAGTCTCTCCACTGAAACGGTGCCGGCGTATCTTAGACAGAGCTGCCACTGCTGTAGGGAAAGACATGTCGTACAAGTCCACCGATTCGTTGGTTTTCGACAATCTAGGTTCCCACTCATGACTTTGCTGCCGTTATGCTGCAGCATTGAATCTCTTAGGGCTGACAGACGTGGGTAGATCGGCGGCTGCACAAGGCGCAACCAAGGCGAAGCACAACACCACGATCTATACCCAATTAGGATAATACTCTGGCCAAGACCGCCTGCCAAGGGAGGCGTCTCACCCTGACTTGGGCATTGTGGCGGAATCGAGGCATTCCCCGCGTCAGAGAGCAAGATACATAAGAAACCCCAAGCCTTTACGGATCTAGCCCGAGTCTTCTACAACCACTTCTCGACAGTTTCGTCCCGTGGACTTCTTATTACTACATTTGGCATCGTCTGTGCTCCATCTACCAATAGGGCAGGGATTGTCTGCAACTTTATCGGACCGATCCGCATCTCAACTGCAATGCTTTCAACAACCGTAACCGTAACGGGCCCTGCGTCATCGGCTTCTTCGTCGCCGGAGGGCCCTGAGCGCCGCCGTTGTTGGGAATGCCTTCGCCGTCGCCTAGTCTGTGATGCTGTCAAGCCGGTCTGTAACAAGTGTCGAGTAGCAGGTATCGTTTGCCCTGGCTACGATGACAAGAAGCCACTCACTTGGCTCGCGCCTGGCAGGATTACCTGCCGCACTCGACGCAAGCCTCGCAATGTGGAAAATGAAAACGACACCAAGAAAGCCGTGAAGCCAAAGTCGAAGCAACTGACAAAAGGGATGGGAAGAGTCCTTAATGAGAAAGAGAAGGATATGATTAATGGAATTGAATATCTTTTTCACTCGGATCTGAGAACCGACGTATGTGACGTTTACGAGGCGGTTCAGTATTGTGAGTTGGCCCTGTTCGACGCCATCCAATCTTGATCAGCTCTCTTGTCAGAAGGCTTTGCCATCCATTTCATAACCTCAAGCTAACCCTCTATTTGCTAGACAACGCTGTTTTTTATCCATACACTAAGGCTGGATATGCCGGCAACGCCAACGTGTTCATCGACCAGATACCTTTGAAGGTTGTCAAATATCTGCCAACAGCTATCGCACACAATCTGGTAGCTATCGTATACCAACATCGGATGCAAGTGCAGATGGATTGGAAATTTGACTGTCCTTCTGCCAAACATGCACAAGCTCGGTTACACCATCATCGAGGGATTTCTATCCGGGCTCTTAATGAAGACATTGCCAATGAGAAAACACAAAGTAGTGATGCTGTACTCACAGGTGTCATCCTACTTCTGCAGGCTGAGGTAAGTTACAATAAGTCGAACTGTTTCAACGAGAATTAACATCCGAGCAGGTGGTATCATGTATATCACCACATTGGAGGCATCACGTGTCTGGCCTTCTGGCCATGCTTGCTTGTCGCGGTGGTGTAACAGGATGGAGCAAGTCAGCGAGATACTTGAGTGGCGTCCTGCTATCATTCTTAATGTAGGTTAGGAGACATGGCCAAAATTGATGACTAAGCTAACTTGAACACCAAGATCAATGGTTATTGCAAACACGACAAGTCCCCCTTTTGATCAGGTTACCATCTGTCCACATGAGGAGCTTGTGGATTTGATAGAGGAATTATATCCTCTAGGTTTGCACCCTTACATACCTTGTCCGATGCCTATTTTCAAGGAAATAATTCGGATTAATTATCTCCGTTCCCAGGTCTCAACTGGGGTGATGACCAAGGAAGGGGCAAGAGTTGATGCAAGCGAGATTATCAACAGAATCGAAAATCTCGACATAGAGACTTGTGCTGGTTTCTACGAAGACAAAAATCAGAACGGTGTGGTTGTTCTCATGTTTCAATCTGCAGCTGCCATCTTCTGTATCTCCTCTATGCAGAGCCTTGGAGTTCTTCCTAGAACACAACGCCTAACGATGCTGAGGGCGGCGCACAGCAACCGGCTATACTCGTTGCTGGAAAAGATTGAAAAACACGTCGTCCTGAAGAAGTCAGTACAATGGCCGTTAATTGTTGCGGGCGTTGAAGCAGGAGTTAGAGTGGACAAACGCCGACTTGTTGGAGAGCTGCTCGTCGATCAAGGAAAGGATATGGGCTCACCACTTTCTTTACACGCCAAGGGGATACTACGCAAATTTTGGGATGGCGATGACACCAATTGGGATGTTTGTTTCGATCAGCCATATGCGTTGGTGGCTTAGGGCCTTCCTTAGGAGATTAGAGCTAGAATACGCGACGTATGGAATCTGTTCCAGATCACTGCAGAAAGGTCATCAGCTGTAACTCATGGAAAGGAAACATGTATTGGTGTTGGTGGCCTACTATTACTCACTGTATTACTCATGAGATTTCGGTTATAGATCTCAAACGGTTTCAACTTTTACAAGAGTGTTGATAACAAAAAGTGAAGTACCGTGATTGTCTTTTTTCCACTCTTCAAAATAAAGGAAATCAGTAAAAACATGAAGTAGGAAGGATTCCACTCAAGCTTTTGACTCACATTGCGTTTCATAGCTAGTCAGTCAGTCGCAGTCCATCTCGGCTTACCGGATCTTGAGACTTTGCTTGAGCATGCTAAGCAAAGGAAATAATCTAGGCGACTGAACACTTAGCCGGCGAGAGTGCCACCATCTAAATCCTGTTTATCCTCTAATCATTCAAATGCAGCCTCTGACTTGTTCCCGTTTTCGGCTATCATCCGCTTTTAATCAAGGACATCCCTAAAATGAGCATTGATGTCTCCTCTTGGCTCAAACGTACACCGTGGTTGGCCCAGCAGATCCCCATCGTGAGTTTGTCAATTCCCAATGAAGCATCCTCCCCGCACTTTGGATATTAGTCGATGCGGCTCATGCGACTTTATTTCGTATTGCCGATTCGCTCCCCGCAAGTGGTCGAGTTGAGCCTATTCTGAGCTAAATGAAACGCTGGTTTCGACCAATGGGGTAGTAACGACCTTTTCGGCTGACATGCATGAAAGGAATTCAACACATAGTATCAACTGACTTGATGAGCTGCCAAGTTCACAAGTGACGGCTCCATGAAATTCCGAGGAACTACGCATTATCTCCTAATTTGAATAGAATGAAAAGGAAAACTTTGAGAGGGTATAAATGAGGCAAGGCTGCTCAAAATTAGAGACCTTTGCTGCTGAATTGACTTGTACTTGACCGACAGAACTATCTTATTTTCAAGTCCTCAGGGCTGATTTCCCGCTTGACTAGAACGCCAAGATGCCTTCCCTCAGTGGTTGCGCCCTCTACTTCCTGATCGCAGCTTCACAACTCGTCTCTGCATGGCCGACCCAGCACCCCGGACACGTCCAAATTCTCACCAGAGCAGAGCAACTAGCCACGGAATACGATTATGTGATCGTCGGCGGCGGCACTTCTGGTCTGACCGTTGGTGACCGTCTCAGTGAAGATGGAAAATGTGAGTCTCTGTCTTGATTTGTCATCTATGAGGCCATGGTCTGATGTACGATAGACACCGTTCTCGTGGTTGAGTATGGTTACTACGATAGCCAAACGGGCATGAATCCTCGACGCATGTACAATATTACGTCTAAACCGTGCCCAAACCTCAACGGACGCAGTTTCTCCGTAGGGATCGGATGTGTCGTGGGCGGGAGCTCCAACGTCAACGGCCAGGTCTTCTTGAGGGGAACAAAGGATGAGTACGACGCCTGGAAAGATCTCGGCGGAGCTGGGTCTACTTGGGGCTGGGACAACCTGCTTCCTTATTTCAAGAAAGTGAGTATATCCTTACCTGGAACAACAACTCAAGACTTAAGGTTTCTAGGGCATCACTCTTGCGCCCCCTGATGCTGCCCAAGCTCGAGAGTACAACATCACCTACGACATGAAGTATTGGGGCACCGAATCCAAGATCTATGCTGCCTTCGGCAAGGGACCTTTACAGTCCAGCCTTAGTAAGACCAATAATTCTCACCGACGCCGCTCTCTCTCTTTATGCTGACCAAATCACATAGAGATCCTTTACAACGCCATGGCAAAAATGCCTGGCATGACCATTCCCATCGACAGCGGCGCCGGTGAGGCCGGTCTCTATTGGTATACAATGTCCCAGGACCCTGTGCAATTCCAGCGCTCCTACGCTCGCACAGGCCATTGGGATGGCCTCAACCGGCCAAACTACGAGATGATTGTAGGCGCCAAAGTGAACCGCATTCTCTTTGATGGCGACACCGCTACAGGTGTGCAGTTCGTCTCGCGCAACAACACTGGCGCCGCGCCGGTCCAGATCAAAGCTCGGCGCGAGGTCATCCTTGCTGCAGGATCTGTTCACACGCCCCAGGTCCTCATGCTAAGCGGCATCGGACCTCGCGTACACCTTGAGCAGGCCCGTATCGCTGTCAAAGTCGACCTCCCAGGGGTCGGGTCGAACTTCCAGGACCACAGCTATATTCCCAGTATCTCGTACCAGTGGGGCAAAGCTCCTCCGAACACTGGCGGAGGTGGCTGGGGTGGGGGCGGTCCGCCAGCACTCGCATCCATGATCGGCTTGCCTGTTGTCAGCCCTGACAGGTTCGAGACTCTCGCCAGGGCGTTCGAAGCGCAGGATCCCAAGTCTCATTTGCCTTCAAGCTACACCGCAGAGCAGATTGAGGGTTACAAGCAGCAGCAAAAGGTCTGGGGCCGCCTCATGCGCTCCAAGAACGTCGTCTTCTCCGAGATGATGATGTACGGTCCCGGTGGCTCTGTGCAGAATCTGCATTGTATGTCCCGCGGTAACATTCTCCTGAACACCGCCCAACCCGAGGCCGAGATGGTCGTCGACTATCGCGCTGCGTCCAATACCATTGACCTTGACGTCATGGCCGAGATCATCAAGTTCATGCGCCGATACATGACCACTGGTGAACTTGCGCAGTACCAGGCTCGCGAAACGTCGCCCGGTACTGGTGTCTCAACTGATGCTCAGCTCGTCAACTGGGCCAAGGGCCAGATCATCCCCTCCGTCTACCACCCTGTTGGAACGACCGCTAAGATGCCTCGTGAGTGGGGTGGCGTTCTAGATGAGGATCTCCTGGTCTACGGCGTTAAGAAGCTGAGAGTTGTCGATGCTTCGATGATGCCCACGACCGTTGGCGCGACTACTTCCATGACGGTCTATGCTGTAGCTGAGAAGGTAAGAGCTCTTCGTTTGATGATGAGACGTCACTAATGGTATTTATAGGCTGCCGACATGATTAAGGCTCAGACATAGTAAGCTCATCGGTGTTCTCTAGGATTGCGACCCGGAAGCTCAAGCTCGGTACATATGGAAGACTAGTAACTCAGCAGATTGGAAACGCAGGTGCTCTTATTGAACCATTTCTTGATCCATTTCCCTTTGTCGGTGTGAACACTTCTACTTGTTCGGCACATGCTTCGGGGTGTTTGCTATGTTGTGACTACTTGGTCCAGATAGGCTGATGTATTGCCGGGCTATGATTCACGAGCGTGGACAATTTAGTTGGAGTAAGTTAGTTGTCGGTGGAGAAAGTTTCATTGAGCACTCCAAAGAGCATTCATAACATTTTATTGAGGACATGGCTTGGAGGGCTGATTTGAGGCATGGACAAGTCAGTTACTCTGTCGTGTTTTGTCCAACATGCTGCGTATAGCCCTTTACTAAAGCTCTTCGAACGTTGTTTCTGATGCAATCGTCAGCATAACGACTGAAGTCAAGGCTCCGAATAACAAACCTTCTTTGCGGGTGTCTTGACTCTGAGTTTCCTTCCATTCCTTCATCCAGGCAGTGACGAATTCAACTTCCTGAGCCTGAACATTCTTTACGGAAGCGGGTGGGAAGTCCGGGGTAATATCATCAGGTTTGACGCAGTTCTCGTCCCAATGGTGGACTCCCAGCTCAATGAGGAGGAAGGGCTCGCTGGTTGTTGACTTTCGGTCCAGGCCGATCTTGTGAGGCGTGGCGGCTCTCCATGGGTCCGCCTCGCCGTCAACGATGGCAACGCGCGGATAGCTGAAGTTGAACCCGCCATGCTTGTTGATGGCTTCTACGTCAGGGGGCTTGGTAATGTTGAAAGCCTCCCGACAGTAGATAGAGCTGTACTCAATGTCGATGACACGGGAAACGAGCGGTAGCTGGTTCTCAGGTACTCCAGAGCCAGTCTGGAAGTAGCCCCATCTATGAAACGTATATCAGCCTCACTCGGCAAAAAAGACTGTTGATCGGCAGGCAGACACTCGGGAAGGCTTACTCTGTGCACACTTGGTAAAGCCAGCTGCGCTCATAACCTTGATTGAGGCTGGTGTTTTGGTGTTTCTCTTTGTTCCGGCTCGAGAAGCACTTCACCAAATCTCCATCTCTGCAGCCCTTCTTGACGTAATTCCTCACATAACCAACGTAGTTCAGCAGGCGATTCGTCAGCTTTGCGTCGGCGCCACTGATGGAAAGCAGTGTCTCAACGTTAGGCTTGAGATGGCGGGTGCTGCCAAAAAGCACGCTGTCAGAGCTAACGGTGGCGCAGTAGGTTCCGAAGCCAGTTGAGTCCAACGCGGGGTCCCAATTCGTTGATTGCAAGCCGGATATACCAAAGGATATGGCGCTAGCAAAATCATCGTCTTGGAGAGAACCAAGTCCGAAGAGTTCCTTGAGCTGGCTCACGTGGCTAGGCTTGACATGCTTGGACTTGGCAAGCAAGATGTTGTCCACAACCTGGGTAAGCATCTGGGTGGTCTCGGCACAGTCCCCAGGCGCGAAGAGTCTAGCGCCTTCGTAGTACTCCCAGTAGTCGATGATAGCAGCTGTAACGCCAGAGGAGGAGATTCCGCCCCAGAAGACGTCGGGGTAGAGCTTTCTCAAGAACGCAGCAAAGGCGCCGGCATAGGAGCCGCCATAGGCGAGGTAAGCGGTTCCCGGAGCGGTGAGGTTCAGGTCCTCGTGTCCGGGAAAGCTGATGTGCTTCGCAAAGTAGGCGGTGTCGGCGAGGGCTTGGTCGGTACTCAAGAAGCGGAGGTTCTCGGTGCTGAGGTCAGGGACGGGGAAGCTCTTGCCGTAGTAGCGATGCTCCAGAACAACGCCGACGCCGCCGGTGGCCTTGGCGAGGATGGAAAGGATGCCATGGTCAAGAAAGGGCAGGCGGTCCTCGCCATCCGTCTCTCCGGCAGCCAAGATGATGACGGGGCCTCCCTTGCGGTAATGCTTCGCATCAAACCAGTAACGAAGGTTGAAGTACTCATCAGAGTGCGGTTCGTAACGAGAATCGTTGTGGAAGTGGTCGATGGGCACTGAGATGTTGTACTCAGGGTACTCCGAGATGACCGAGGCGGACTCGACCCGAGACTGACCCGTCGAATGAAGTGCGTTCCATGCCTCATGATTCGCAATGTGCAGCGGCGGCCCCAGTCCGGCAACGGCCCGCGCCGCGCCCACGAGAAAGCAAGCTCCAAACTTCCAATACGCCATGTTGCCGGCGTGTAATGGAAAACCAATGATGTCCGTCCCAGTCAGTTGGAGGAGGTTGGTGTGTAGGTATTGGAGAAGTGTTGTTATGACTAAAAATGATGGGTCCGTTGATTGGTGCGGGGTACATGGCGCTGGGATACGTACCTGCCTGATTGGTATTAGCGTCACGATGTCCCACCTCGTCAGTCATCGTGCATCTGTCAGGTACACGGTCCACTCCACATTTTTACAGCCCCCATGTCCGCTATGTATACGTCATTAACACCCATAAGACACCTGTATTCGAAGAAATCCAAAGGAACTACGTCATCCGCGCTTGAATTGCTATTGTGTCGAAAGAAACTTAAGAACCCTGTAGAAAGCCTTTGTAGGGCCCTCAACAACAATTTGAAGAATGCTGGGGAGTCAGCCGAAGACCAGCTCAAGGATGAAGCCAGAGATGAGCCGGAGATGGCGTGGCACGACGATCATTCTGACTCGCTATTTACGGAAAACTCGAGTTTTTTTCTTCAGCGGTCGAGTTCTGAAGACACTGGTCAAACAGCCAGAAGATGATGTATGGCTACTGGCGATATGATCGAACCAAGGATGGAGGAGCACTTGAAAAATGGTGAATGGTGAGACCGCCTTGGGCGGACAGTCCAGTCACCCAGTAGTACCGAACCAAAAACTGCAAAACGCGCTTGAGTCTTTACGTCAGGCAAGAAAAACATAAACCTCATATGTACGATATGAAAATGGCGAGAGGAACTTGAGATAAATCTATTTGTCATCGAAACTTCTTATTATGGCTGTGATTGACAATCTTTGGCCGAAATGTCTGGCGAATCTCTCGTGAACGTCGCCACAGCATACTCAACCGATAATTCCAAGTCGAAGTCAGCTGAAAGCTTTTCTACATTAGCCGCTTCAGGTTTCAATACAGCAAGATCGAGATCCACAATGTATGGTGCCTGGATCGGGCTCGATGCTGGGTGATGTTTTCCTCGATTTTCCGATTCCTGAAGCAGCGCTCTCGCATCCGCCATGGTTATTAACCCTTTCCTTAGCGCCATATATAGCAGACTGCGCGCAATGCCCTGGGACAGGCGGAAGCAACGTTGCAATCCTTGAAAGCCGATTAAGCAGTTGCGTAAGTCGGATCGCCTTTCTGAATCATCAACAGCATAGACTGGATCTCGGAGCGCTGAATTTGCAATATAAAGAAGGGCCCTACTACAGCCGAAGCTAGATAGAGCCAACTCAGAGTTTTGCATAAAATCGACAGCAATTCTTCGAAGCTGAGTAACTGTAGCAGCACATATTGCCTCCGGAGAGGCCTGCAAGGAGGCAAACGTTTCGAATCGAACGCTCATTGCCTCACGATGCTGTACTAAAGGGCGGAACAAATCCAGAATAAACGTGTGAAAATGTATGCTGTGTATGACCCCTGTTAGCTTGATTCATACTGTTATGGTTCTGTCCGCTCGGCACGGAAATCAGCTAACTTACTGTAGGAGGAGGATGTGATGTGGGCTCTCTTTGCCACGCGCTAATTCCACAGGTAGGTCGTCCGCCCATTTCAAAAACCGCTGATAGGTTGACTCCATCAACCGGACACTTTCGTAAGCCATCTTCCTCGAGATGACTCTGCTGTTCTTGAACTGTACCATGTCGTTTGCGATCAACGCTAGCTTACACAGAAATGGAAACGTTTTCTTCTTGTTGGTTGTTTTTGCCAGCTCTCCGGAAGTGGCCTCGATATTCGAATTGTGGGCGCCGTCTGGAATCGGGACCCGTGGCGCGAACAGAACCTTGCGGGCTTGGCATTGGGAATATTGAATCCTGAGAGTATGGTCAGAACATGGAACTCGGTGACAGGGTAGGAGGAGCAGATTCTAGTTACAGGAGATCACTAAATTTAGCTCAAAAAGTAGTTGAGCACGCTCTAGAGAAGAAAACTTACGTGATGTAGACAAAACTGCCCCAAGCTGTCTGAGCCCAAGCTTGTTCCCATAGCACATTTGGAGTGCCATCTGGTCGTCTTTCTGCCATTCTCTTGTCTGCAACACCAAAAAGTCCTATATTCCTGGCCATGTCAATGGCGCTGTTCAAGTAGTACGACGCAACGGTAGAATTGATGGCATGACAGATCGAAGTCATGTTGAGAAGGAGCAATGCGGCGACTTGAGTTATATCCCCAACTCCCATTTTGAGCTCCCGCTGCAGGATCTCGATCGCTTCCTCATAAAAAGCGTGGCTCCAAGCAGCGGCCTCTAGATCGAATATTGTGTAAGCCTGCTGTTACAATATAAGTGAGGAGTCCGTTCTCGCCAAGGTGATAACATCTTACACATGCCCAGCTCAGAACAGCGCTAACTAACGGCTTTTAACAAAAGCAACTGCCTCCGGATAGCAAGTCACCAATGAAGAGATCTGCGTCGAACAGAGGCGCGTTCAAGTGGTCAGTCTGCAGATACAGAACTAGAGCCTTCTTAGCCGCCTCAGCGGGTACTGACACGCCTGTCCATGCCGAAATATCGACGGTTTTTAACCTTTCGTCATATGTTGAAGAAAACCCCATTCTTGAAGGTTTTTCGATGTTGGTTTTTCTTTCTATACCAAGGCCAAAATGTGCACCGTTATCTGCAGGTTGTCCAAGGTATAACTGAGCCTTGTTAACGGCTGGAGCGGAATCTGATCTCAAAGGCGGAACGGGGGACAGCATGTCCGTTAACGTCGTTGTTACACTGTTTCCCTCTTAGACTCAATTATGGATAGCGAACAGGTTTTGAAGTGAAGTTTCCAAAACTTGGAGTAACCGAGATGACAGGAAGCAGTTGAATGGCGACAAAGCCACTGTCAAAGGAATTTGTTTTTGCTGGATAACGAACTTACGACTTAGTTGTAGATATGATGGGCAAAACCTGATTGGATTCTGAAGAAGGCCTCAGACCCAAGAGAGGAAGTTTTGATGGAGCCCATGGAGGGTATGCAACGGTGTGGCGCATCATCAGCTCGAACTCTAACGAGCTTGGGTTGGGAGCTGCCGCCCTGTGAAAGACGTCTTGAAACGGGACGTGATGTGTTGATTGGAGATGACTTGATTGAAGCTGGTCTCGCAAAGAAGTCACAATCTCTAACGCGTCTTTCCCAGCTCTCAACTGCTCAAGGATTGGCCCAACATGGTGTTTGGGAAGAGAGCCAAGAATGTTGAGCAGTATGGCTGTGTGCTTGCTTGCCTCAACAATATTTTCGTCAATCAATTCCATTCCATCAGGAATGGACTTGAGAATGGTTTTTGAGACGTTGGCGTACTCGCAAGTAAGACCACGGCGTTGACAGGTGTAACACGACTGTAGACCATTGCACTAGGAACGTTAGTTGAAAACACAAAAGGTAGCTGGTCGTTTAGCCAGATGCTATAATTGACAAGTTGACTAGACAGACGCCGCAAGTGTCTATCGGATAATGTCCCCAAATATCAAAGTATTCAAACAATAATTACTTTTTGGGGAGGCAGCCGGGTTCACCGCAGGTCAAGATCGATTTTCGGTAAGGGACTGTTGAGGTTCCATGCCCAAGACTCGACTGAAAAGGGGGACAAAATTCTGTTGGCAACATACTCGTATCTTCTTCTCCCGACAGTTATTGCAAGCTTTAACAGCTGATTGGCGTTTTCTTTTGGGGGTCTCTTGGGGCGCAGAAACCCCGTCTGCCGGGGAAGAATCGTTTTCGTCGTTAAGAGCTCTTACGCTGGCTGTAGGGGGTCCTGGAAGAAGCTTCTCGCATGTGCTTTTCGGCTGCATTGACTGCTTGCAAACTTGTACGAGCCAGTATTTCGGTAAAAGACTCGGTCAGCTGAAGCGCCGGCGGAGCAATTGTGGTGATGGCAAGCGGGTCGGAACCGGCGATAGAGGCAGCTCCTAGACATCCTTCTCCATTTGATTAGAAGTGGTTATCTCAATCTTTGCTTCGTATATTGACAAGTCGGTCTCTCCATGCTTTTGGAAGCAAGCAATGAAGAAACTTTGTATTGGTCGATGCGAAATGACAATCATATATGAGTTAGTACATCCAAGGCGCTGTCCTTCTCTTGTCTTTCAACTATTGGAAAGCGAGTGGCAAGAAGTGGTCGACTCCTCGACCCTTCCCAAAGTTCAAGGGTTCCTCCTTGCCTGCACATAGTTACATAGTCAGCGGCCCAGCCGATATATTATGGATAGTCTGACACATGGCTCAAACGTGCTGCAGCTTGATAGGTTTTCCGAGCTGTAGAACGTGCTCGTCGGTTGAAGAAATTACTGACGTGATGGGGGTGCAAGCCCCACTCGGAAAATGGTAGGCTCCCTCCCTCGTTGTCCGTCTTCAATTTTCAGGCTGTCATTTGTTGGTCCGAGACTCAAACCGAGGCTCGGAGCAGGCTCCGGAAACTCTATTGTGGCGCTTACCCTCAATATGGTGAGTGGCTCACATTCTGTTACAAGCTGATGATCCACTCAGTACGTCGGCTCTTTGGTTCGTCTAAAGTGAGATTCTGCCATCCATGAATTGGCTGCCTCCCTACTCCAGAATAACTCTTTTTCTGCTAACGAATGATGCTAGTTCCTTGTATTCGGAATGGCATTGAACCTTATCGGTATCGAAAAAAGGTCATGCAATTCTGATGCCGGCAGTACCGAGATCCACATCCCTTTCGCTAATGGTGTTCAGAAATCAATTCGACACCCGGTCATGGAAGTTTTCCATTGCCTGATAACCCGAGGATACTTTCCCATCCCATCTTTTTCGGATCGATGAGCGGGATTTTGTTCGCAAAATTCAGAACTCGGTTTCCCACCGATCTTCACCTGAAAGTTCGATCCATTTACATGGAAGTGCATTTGGGGCGATCATCCGTCTTGGGCCATCAACTTTCAAATCCTCAACCAACACTCTTATAAATGCAAACCCAAGGAGAATGTCGTGAAGCAAGATTCGAAATCCGAAATTCGATGATAACCATGAATTCTCATTTACATACAGCTATATTTCATGTGTATGACTCTAGGCATTTGTCATCAAGTCTGCAACAAACATCACAAGAGGCATTTTCTTCTTAATTTCTCATTTCTGAGTATCGTTTAATGTTACCTTCAGCCTACTGCATTTTGTCGTCTGACCTTAAGCGACTATACAGCATGGAATTATGCAAGTCGATACCTCTACGGCACCAGAATGAAGCTTTGCTTCTTCATTTCGAGATGCAATCCAAGTTGAAAGCATGCCACGCTATGGGAAATGCTATCAGTATATTAAAATTGGGGTACTGTAGTCTGGTTTGCCTGGTTTTCATAGGGCAACCGTATTTGACTTGGCAATTTGAGCAAGCAGTACCCCAAGTCAGTTCTTGACTGCGATATCATCATTTCGCTGTTGGCGGCTTGGATGGATTTACCGGTAAGTTGTGTGGCTCTCATGCTCTGAATAGTAATACTGTTCAGATACTTTCCTCACTTTATTGTTCATTATCGGCAACAGACATTTTGCTTTTTTGCATATTTAATTTCCTAAATTGTCAGAACCTGATGCTGGTGACTCTTAGGTCGTCTCTGCTTCCTCTCAATATGGTTTCTGTGGATTTGAGGATGCCATGCTGTCCCTGCTTTCCTTACGTGAATACATGTGTCCCGGATTTATTGTCTGTATTGCCTATCATAGACTCGCTAGAAGTGCGTCCCTTTAGCTGAACTGACTGCCGACACTTACTTTCATCCCATCTCTGCTTCCTTACTGTGTTATAGAGGTGAGGACGGACAGACTGTTGATGCAGCTATCAACTCAACCTTCGAGACATCGGCAGTTGCTTCACTGCCATGCCTTTTATCGCATGTGTTAGACCCCATTGACCTGCTAGTCACGAAATGTTTGCCACTTCCATCACTAGACTAATTATGGGTTACCTACCTCGCTTTCCCACCTTCTCCATTTCCAAGTGCCTATTTCTGCGAATTTGTGCGAAGAATTTGCTCTGCCTACTGATATGTGGTACGTGGCAGCCACAAGGGGCGCAGCTGAAACCTAGTGGCGTCCTAACTATGTCGCCTATAGAATTCGCTCAGGCCCTAATGATTGGCTACGACCAACTAACACAAGCCCGGAGGCGCCTCCGAAGAGAAAAAGTCAACAGTGTTCAGCCCCATGACGACGAACCCCAGATTGTCAAATCCCCTGAACGGACAGTTCAAATCCAATCGGAGGCAGTACAGGCTCCGACATCTCTGTCTCGGCTCCCACCAAAGACTAGGTCTACCATGAGGCAGAAATAACATTGGGGGCTTCTGTTGGAGTCCTCGCGTTGTTCCTCGGGTTCCCTAATACCGGATTGTCCGGGTCCAACTTCCTTGCTTTCTTCCCGTGTTTTGGTCGAAATCGCCACCATGTCGTGTCGACAACCGTTTTGCCAACAATCCTAAGTTTTGCGGCTCGATTCGGAAGGCCTTGTGGATGGAATTCAGGATGTCGGAATCGGGGTTTCCCAAGTTTCTCGATCTGGCTGATAATCTCGATCTGTCAGTTGGGCCAGGTCCTTCTGATTTCCCCTCTACTCAATAACACTGATAAACTTTGCTCATTGATAAGGAGTCACTACGCTCGATGACGATGGATGAACTCACCGCAGTTTTCGCATTGTATGCCAAAACACTAAACTTATCGCCATTGCTTAGTCACAGCCTCTCCGATTTCCACTGCAAGCAGACCCGTGTAGAGGTCTGCTAAGTCGGACATGACTGCGACGAATACAGTCGTCTCCGATCATTCCAATAATCTATCGGAAGCAGACCTCATACGCCGGCGGGAGGTGTTCAAGTAAGCTCTTCCATATTATATTTCTAAATTCTTCGTCTACTGACCAGCAACGAGTTCTGATGTTGAGGGCTAATCGCATTTGAGCGCAGATATGCCTCGTCCATCCTTTCCAACATTGTTGTACAGGAGGGTAGTGGCTCAGGCTTATCCCTCTCACGAACTGCATCCGAGAACATCACTTTGACAGCTTTTGCTCAACTGTGCGCCTGCCAAACTGGAACAGCCCGCTCCGCCATCTCCTTCTTTGATGAGAAGTTCGAATATGTAGTTGCCGAAGCAACTCCGGCATTGCCTCTTATCCCCGGATTTCCTCATGACGACCTCCTATTCTGCAACAACATCTTTCCGCGTCGCCGTGGCATATCTGAGTGGGCCCTCTTCGAACCGAACGAGATTTGCCACGGCTCCAACAATGGTCTCTCTGAGATTCCAGTTGTGATCATCCCCAACCTCGCTGACGATGCTCGCGTCAAAGAGCATTCGGAATTTTGTGCCGTCGACGATCCTGAAGCATCAACGCGCTTCTATGCCTCGGCTCCCATCCAGACCGCAAAAGGAATCAACATAGGTGTTATTTGCGTCATGCACCCACAGCCCATGTTTACTTGGTCGGATACTCAAAGCCAGATCTTGCGCAATATCTCGTGCGCTATAATGAGCTACCTCGAGGGCTATCAGACCAGTGCTCAATTTCGCAGTGAGCGGATGAACAGTGGAATTTCTGCTTTCATGGAAGAAAACTTCAGTCTGGCTGGGAATTCCTTGAAGCCCAGGGCTGCTGATCTGGCGCAACTCGCCTTGTCTGGCAATATTTCCGACAGTGTCTCTGACCACCCCAGTGGCCGACAGAGTGTCCCTTCACAAAAGCCAATTGTCTCTCCTCCGAGCTCTGACGCGACTTGCACACAACAAACACGGATTCCTGAAATTAGCACTGACCACACCATGGGCCATGGGACACCAGCGGGAAGGCTGAAGAGCCCGGACCAGAACCCCCGCCCACCAAGATGCCCGGGACCTTTGAGGCCCAATCGGATACATCGCGCCAAAGATCAATAAACCTCATTTTTTCGAACGCCGCTGATAAGATTCGACGAGCCACAGACACAGAAGGATGCCTTTTCCTCGACGCCGCTCCAGAGGGTTCCGGTACTATTAAAAGCCCCGTGGCCGAGGACCCAACCTTATCGTTGCTGGGCTTAGCTCCTACCAGCAGCGATGAAGAAACTGATTCGTCTTCTGGTTCCAGTAACTGGGTGTCAGCTCGTGTCCTTGGCTTCTCAACGTCCAATCGTCATGGGTTTGATGAGCATGAGCACATCACTCGCCATGGAGCTGTCGCAGAGAAGCTCCTTGGAACCCTTATCAGACGCTACCCCATGGGCAAGCTGTTCACCTTTCACGACACATACGGCCTTCATCCTACAGACTCATCTGAAGAGGATCGAATTAGACAGCTTTCGACACTCCCAAACAATTTGCACCCAAATTTCAGCAAGCCCAGTTTTCAGCGGCAGCAGCCTCAGGCCAAGGCTTGGGCGAAACAGAATGAGGGCAAGGACATCCTCCGCATCTTCCCGGGAGCTCGCAACGTTGCTTTCGTACCCGTTTGGGACCCAAGAAAGAACCGCTGGTATGCTGGTGGTTTCATCTACAGCCGCCAACCGACGCGGGCTTTCACAGTAGAGGGGGAGCTTGGCTATTTACGCGTCTTTGGTATTCTGGCCATGACGGAAACCTTGCGTCGCGAACTCATACTAGACGAGAAGACCAAGTTTGATGCATTGAGTTCGATGTCTCATGAGCTGCGATCTCCGCTTCACGGTATCATCCTCGGTATTGAGCTGCTTACTGATACCGACTTAAGTGTCACTCAGAGTGACATAATCCACACTCTAGAGGCAAGCGGCAGAACTCTCGCCGATACGTTTGATCATCTCCTCGATTACGCAAAAGTCAACAACTTCCAGACCACAACGACTCCACTTGCCAGAGGCATTCGCCCAGGTAACCCGCAGAAGCATGACTCCATTGAGGCCGGCATGATGACGCTCAACTCCGTTGTGCAGATTGATCTGGTTGTTGAGGAGGTGATAGACAGCATCTTTTCCGGCTTCAGCTTCCAGCATATGTCCATTTCTCAACTCAACAAGTCGGACAGGGCCCAAGATCTTGATACTGCCGCCAATCTGTACCTTGACAGTCTAAGGGCAAAAGAAGAGCTGGGGCTTGCTCAATCTACACAGGCTGCCGGACTCGCTTTCAACAAAGTCCTGGTCTTATTCGACGCCAACCCCGAGTGTGCTTGGACTTTCGACACCCAGCCCGGCGCAATCCGCCGGATTGTCATGAATCTCTTTGGGAATGCTCTCAAATACACACAAAACGGAATCATCAAGATTTTTCTTGACCAGAAACGTTCAAAAACAGAAGGAGTCAACCGGGAGCGACAAGTCACTATAACGATTTCTGACACTGGCTGCGGAATTAAGGAAGACTTGTTGCAAAGCGAGTTGTCTAAGCCCTTTCCACAGGAGAATCCCCTAGCTCCCGCAACTGGTCTTGGACTCAGTCTGGTCAAACGGATGACCTCCAAGCTTCGTGGTCGCATGTCGGTGCAGAGCCGGGTTGGAGTTGGAACCTCGATCAGCGTAACGCTACCGCTGTCCATTCCTTCAAGTACTTCGGCCGATGGAACGCATCACGGGGTGGATGATGTGTTTCCTGAGCAGCGTTTGGAGCTTTCAGGACTGCGCATTCGTTTGCTGGGCTTTGATAGTACCATGACATTGGTCAATGGCGATAACCACGACAGCCACTCAATGATAGGAAATATCTGCCGCAACTGGCTTGGGCTGGAAGTGCTCTCGACGACTTCGGAGACACAGGATACCGTACCAGACTTTGTTCTGGCGTCGGAAGATGCTCTGGATCAATGGTGGAAAGACTCGAGCCTTTCCAAGCTTCCATGTGTGGTTGTGTCTGTCAATGCGCTGGTCGCCCATCAACAGTCCACTCAGCGACATGCGCATACAGGAATCGTGGAATTTATTTCTCAACCGTAAGACTAGGGACGCCTCTTTTTCCGATCAACAGTGCTAACATTGACTAGTATTGGACCTCGCAAACTCGCCAAAGTAATGCTGCTTGTCTTTGATAGATGGTCAGCGGTGCAAGGAAGAAGGATAGGCCTCAAGAAAGAATCGTCAGCATCCGGAATCCCTCAGATCATCATCGAGTCTGAGTTAGATCAGCTTGGGATGAAATTTCAGTCATTGAGCAGCTCATCGATACAGCCCTCGGACTCAGATGACTCGGGCATTCAGGTGGAATCGAAGCTGCAAGAGAAATCAGCTCCGCGACCGAAGCCTTTCAAATCCAACTCTGCCGAAAACCCGACAGTTGAGTTTCTGTTGGTGGAGGACAACCCCATCAACCTCAAGATATTGTCCACGTATATGAATAAGCTCGGGGTAAGGTTTAACACGGCGACTGATGGGCGGAAGGCTCTGGAAGCCTATGTGCGGAACCCTGCCGAGTGCAAGTACATCCTTACGGATGTTTCCATGCCAGTCATGGACGGATTCGAAGCCACGAGACAGATCAGAGCGCACGAGAAAGCATTAGGATTGGCGCCGGCGACGATTATCGCGTTGACGGGGTTGGCATCGAGCGAGTCTCAAAATGAAGCGTTTACAAGCGGGATGGATTTGTTTCTGACGAAGCCAGTCAAGCTCAAGGAGCTGGAGGCGATTTTGAATTCCAGGGGACTTCTTGGATGATTTACTGATCTGTTGAAGAGAATAGGCAACAGCTGACTTAAAGCGATGTACGACACATAAGCGTTGTGACTGATTTACAGAGTGGCTATAGATGTGACTCTGGTGTCTCAAAAAGAATACCCCGATAAAACAACATGTTGATAAACTATTATCCACCAATGCAAATGTAATGGAAATACGCAAGACGTTGAGACGAAGTGTCATGGACTCAGTTGCTTGGCTGCCTTGTCGTGTGTTGCGTAGTGGGAAATTGTGCTTTATTCATGGTCATATTGCCGAATCCCACTGCACAGAACTACCGACTCCTCCCGAGGAGCCATCAATACTTTTACACTGCCAAGAAGCACACTAGGAAAAGAATCCAGCGACTTGAAGGACAAGTCACGAAAATCCTCAACAACGTGGCTTCCCCAATTGACCCCGAATCAAATAGTGGAATCACCGCCACATACAAACGGATCATATATGGCTCCTCGAAGCATCTCCGCCTAACCCTGTCGGCAAACTCCCAGACCCCGCTCCAGGCTGACAACAGGAGGATGTTCCGCATCAGTGGGTTTTGATGAAGCCTCGTGTTCAGCTTGGAGCATTGGGCAACCTAAGCTGTTGATAGTCTCTGTAGAGGGGTGAGGCGGGACGTGGATGAAGTGTTACAAAAGGATGTTGGAAAATTGTGGCCAGGCTGACCATGAGATGAAAGTAGAACTTGCTGCAAAGCTTCACATTTCAGAAACCAATCAATGAAGAGACTAGCAAAGCAATTTTCCCAACGCCAGCCGCTGTTATCCCTTGCTAAAAAGGGTCCTTCCTCCAAATTTATGAGACTTCTTGCCTCGAATGCTTTCTCGTCTCCAAGACGTGTCGTGATGCTCAAAGCTGACTAGAAACCTCGAGAGCGCTCCCAAGCAACCATGGATACTCGTTGTTATCTTACATTTTGACGCGGAACAGATAGCGGAGGCGGACTTGGGCAAGATTGTAGGCAATGTACTCATTATACTGGAGCGATGCGTTGGGGATGTTTGTGTCACCTGGCAGCACGCTGACGTCGGGCTGTTGAACGTTAGCGACAATTCTTGTATCAGAGTGCATGCGGATCATCCTCACCATCTTGATACCCTTGAGCGATGGGTTAACGCAGCCGGCATCCTTCCACTGGCTCGGACCGGTTCTCCCCTGGCCCCAGGTTGACCACATGCCGTTCGCACGAGCGGTTTCGCCCGCATTGGACCTCGAGTTAGTGAGCTTCTGCATTGGGTCGCCAAGCTCAGCCTCACAGAGCAACAGCAAGGCCTGGCCGCCGGAGTAACCGGAATAGCAGTAGTTTGCCGACTTGGAGGACATGTCTGCGAGATAGATGCCCTTGCCGAACATGTATCCAGTCACCGGAGCCTCGGGGGGCGCGATTCGCAGACCCTGACTAAGGATACCACCGTAGTTTGTCACACGAGAGCCGTGCCACAACAAGCGCCGGTCAGACTTAATGGAAGAGAATTCGCTCTTCTCAAAGCGCTCCAACTCGCCCTGCCGTTCGATGCGGAAGATGTCCTCAACTTTGTAGTTGACAGAGTGGGTTGCACCCCTGGTTTTCTGGAGATACTCGGAAAGGAGGGTGAACTCTGAGCTCTTGGGATCAATGGGGGTCATCTCATCCATTCCGAGACCCTGGTATTGTCTATCGGCGGGGTGAACATCGTGACCCTTGCGATCGACCTTCATAAGATCAGACGCAACCTTCATGTCAGAGAGACTGTCGAGCAAATCGATTTCCTTCTTCAGCATGTCACCACTCCGAATGATGGGAGGACGATTACGGCCGAACGCGTGAGGAATCAAGGTGTAGTACAGGTTGGATAGGTGCTCGGTTGCTGCTGGTACAGTCATGCTGTACTTGGAGTCAGCAAGCGTGGGATCGTTGAAGAGCGCACCCAGGTCCTTGAGTGCCTGGAATCCGCGAAGAATGGTATTCTTGCTGAGCTTGCCCAGAGGTAGCTTGTTGGCATCGTAGTTCATGGACGTCATGGCGTCGCGGAAGTATTGCTGGTTGAAGATGAGGTTCATCAGCTCCTCTACAGGCTTCGCCAACGTGCACTGAACCGGTCCCGGCGCATCCTCAGACTCCTCATCCTTGATTTTGTCGGCAGGTCCAGCATCATCGCCGTCATCCCCGTCGTCGTTGTCAGAGTCTGGTTCATAGCTGCGCTCAATGAAGGCGTACTTTTTAGGCTTAGGGTCATCTCCACGGTTGGCCCAAGCCAGGCCACTCTTGTCTTTGAACTTCTTGTCAAAGTTGCTGAGAGCATCATTGAGGGTGCCGTCACCGAGGACTGCGCATTGGCCCCATTCGCCGACTCTGCCCCAGCGGGTCCACGTTTTGTACGTCGTCCCATTTTGAACGAGCTGTAAGACGTCAGCAATGAAAATGTGCATGAGCGCTATTCAGCATGCACGTACCTGGACGCGATAGAACTTGTTGTTGTTGTTCGTAGCATTCGTCTGGTTGAGTGATGCATCGTAAATAACGCCGTCAGGGGCGATGTAGACGGTCCCCTGAACCTTGCATCCCTCATCGAGGGGAATGTTAAGTCCCTTGGAGACGACCTGGCTACCGCCGGCCGTCTTGTCTTTGGTGTCTGCTGCTGCTGCTGCTGCTTGCTTCTTCACGTCGGTCTTGTCATCAGCGTCGCCGGTGCTCTTTTTGGTGCCCTTGGCTCCGGTGGCGGCCTTTAGCTTCTTCACATTAGGCTTGGCATCGGCCTCGTTGTCGGATTGGTCGTCGGCCTTGGTGCGCTTCTTGCTCGAGCCATTGGCCTTGGGCGCTGCACTGGCCTGCGACTGCGACTGTGAGGCGTTCTGTTGGGATCCATTGGCCTTTGATGAAGCTCCGTTCTTCTTGGACCCGTTGATTGCCGGGGCAGGAGCTGCCTGCTGGGCTGCTTGCTGACCATACTCGTAGCCAGTTTTGGGGAGGAGGGTCCCCTGAGATTCGCAATCCTCGGCCCACTGCAGGCTGACAACGGCGACGTCGCTCTTCTGGGCAGAGGCAACTTTTGTGGTGACGGCGTTGAAGTCCTCTGGCGTAGTGATGAGATGGGTTGTCTTCTTGGTGATGGACTTTGCGATACCAGCGCCGAGGGAAGAGAGCCAGGACTCGAGCTCGGTGCGCTTCTTGTCAAAGGTGCCGCTAATGGCGACGACGGCACCGTCCAATGGCTGAGCAGCTGGAGCTGGAGCTGGAGCGGTCGCCGGGGCAGCTGTCCTGCCAGATCTTCTTGGGGCATTATAGGCGTGAATGTGGAGATCGTTGAGGGTTTTGGGGGGCAAGGACGGGGGCTCCAGAAGAATGGCAGGGGGGATCGTATAGAGGAATTGAGCCCCAATTGATGGCAGTGGTGAAGAACGTGAGGAATACGACAAAAGGCAGAATGAATTGGATGTGAAGCTTTGGAGAAAGAGGGAGACGGGAGTCGAGATGATTTATTTCATTTTGTTTTTCCTCTGGCGCCCAGCGAGGAAGCATGTCAGCCCATGGTAGCGAGCGTCCTAGAAGGTACCGGCCGAGGAAGGGAAGGTACGGTACGCTTTCAGCTCCTTTCGGCAGAACCAAGCCAACAAGGAGCTGCACTGCAGGCACCGGCCCCGCTGGTGCCTGGCGCACGAGCCACTGTGGCACTCGAGGACCGTCGCGTGTTCACGTGCGTGGTGCATCGCGCAGCTTCCTCATTCTTCTCGAGGAGCCCCCTTGTTCTTGGGGGAGCTCCTGCCTGCTGCGGGCTCGTCTGAGCTCCAGCGGGAGGCGACGAGGTCCAATGAGGGCGGTGACTCAAGTCTTGGGGATTGCTTCATCTCGATGTACCCCCAGCCATTTCCATAACCGTCATTGGCATCTAGCGGCCCATCTGCCTAGATAGTGGAACCTGCAACCTGACCCCTAGGAGCATCACCACCATCATCATCATCATCATCATCGTGTTTTCGGCATCATCTCAGGGCTCTTCGTGGCAGCTCAACTCTGTTCAGGCCTCGATGACCCAGCGGCCAGACAATCTCACATGTTCACGTTGGTATTGAAGCTTGTTTGTCAACTCATTTCGAGCGTTGGTCTGATTGATGACCCAGACGCAAGGACCACTGTCGGCCTCTGTTGCCGGGCTCTAAGGCAAAGGTCTACGAGAACATTAGTGGGTGAAAGCCCGATTCATTCATTATCATGTCCTCCCACGCCTCTAGCGCATCTTGCATGTCGTCCGGGTAGTAAGCCATGTCGTCGTAATAGGTGTTCATCAAGTCGTCTGAATTAGGTAGTATGTAGTCGTTAGCCATAATGCACCCTCACTCCTCGCCGTCTAGATCTTCATCATCCTGCTCTTCTTCTGGCCGGGGTGTGTTAGAACGCGAGGGACGAAGGGGTGTGCTGTGCAAAGCCAAACGCGGAGCAGGGTCTCACTCACCTTCCATCATCTCGTCGTCGAACTCGGAGTCATAGACGTCGTCTTCGCCCTCATCAGAGTCAGTCTCTAGCGGAAGTTCCGCCTTGACTTGCCCGACAAGCTCTCCGACAAAGTGCTTCCAATCGATGCCCGTGTACTCCTTTCTATTCACCTTGTCGTCGGCGGAGCCATCCTTGCTGTGGAACCAAACTTTGGTGTTGGTCATAAAGGTACGTTGGGCAGGGCTGCCAATCATGATATGGTCCAGGTTCAAGTTGGGTATGTCGCACAGAGCTTTCAGCATCTTAGCCCACAGGTTGACCTTGTAGTGGTCACGTCGCTCGTCGGGGTCTCGGGCGTCGGCTGCTTTGTTCCACAGCGTAAGCTTCCACAGCTCCAGTCTCTTGAGCGTCGGCGAGAGCTTCCGAACAAGCTGGATGAGCCGCTTTGGCTCGACATCCACAAAGCCCAAGTTGAGTTCCTCGATATGCGGGAATGCCACCGGTGGAGGAGGAGGTGGGAGCTGGCTGTCGGGAGGTGTCGACGGGGTTTTGGGAACCGGGGTACCCAACCAGTTGATGAAGTGGTCAACAGCGTCTGAGTTGTTACCTGGATGGCTGAAGTTCAATCTCAGATGCTTCAGATTGGGCATGTAGCCCAAGAAGAGGCGTAGGAGATAGTCGTGCCGACGGCGACTGAAAGCAGTGTTGTCGTCGGCACCGGCTACGGGAGCCGTGATTCGGAACGGGCCGTTGGCCACATTGACGACGCACATAAACGTCTCCAGACTCTCCAGAACAGGGGCAACCTTGGGCTTGAGGTACTTTGTGAAGAGATTGAATGCATCGTCCGAAGGGACGCCCTGACTTTTGCGAAGCAGTTCAAAGGCCTTGGGACGTGCACCGGCATTGCCGAGTGCTGTGAAGACAGATATGAAGACTTTATTTGTGTAGGCCTGGATCTCGTCGATGGGGACGCGGAAGAGGTTGACTTCCGTCTCCTTCTCGAGCGTCGTCGCACCGTAGCTTGCCCAGGTGGCAGTGAAGCCATCGCGAAGACTGCGGGCTCTGGAGTTGTAGTCGCGGATGCCGACTGTCTTGAGATTCTTCAAATTCCGAAATGCCTCGGCCAACATGACAACATGCTGGCCACTGTTGACCAGGGCGAAGTGGTCGGCTTGAGCCTCGCGGTAACGAGTTTCACAGGCTTCCTTTCCCGGGTGAAAGTAGTGGCGTGTGAAGCCGTTGAGGCCGATGATGACATGGTCGAGGCAGTCACTCAACCGCGAATTGCTGATATCGACGAGGGCCTGCAGGCTGAATTCAGTGAGCATGAACTGTCGCTTAGTGAAGTACTCCTTCATGAAGGTGTTAAACAGTGACTGCTCGATGGATCTGCACGTGAGGCGCAAGGCGCCCAAGTCTGTGGTATTGAGGAGGGAAGAGATGCGGAGAAGGACCTCAAGAGGGATCTTATTGAAGGGTGAACTGGATTGCGGATCCGTGGGTGCAACCATGATTGGCGTTGACGACTTGGAAGTCGATGGCGTGGGTTGTGACATGGTGGCGGTGTTGTCGTGTTGTGCGTGAAGGACTGTACCACTCAGCTTCTGCGGGTCAAAGGAGACGCTTCTTGGGCGTTTGCAGAGACTGAAGGAAGAGGTCGGGTTTGGGATATGACGGCTGTCAAGATCGCAATGGACGTTTTGCTAGGAAGTAGAAAGTCAAGACATCAGACAACGTCGTCAGTAAGGTAAGGTTGGTCCACGGTGGCCGGCGAAAGACGCGATGTGACGATTGAGGCGAGCGTGGTGGCTCGTGCTTAAGCTCTAGGCAGAAGCGGGGAAATGGAGGTGATTCAGTGTTGGTTGTTGGTGATGGTGATGAAGTTGGATCTCAAATCCACATCTCCAGGAGCCCCCCTGCCCCTCCTCTGAGGATCCAGAGATGAGAGCGCCAGCAGCAACGACGGCGTTGCAGGTGTGCCGCCTCAGCCTCACCACGTCCAATCGGCGTTCGTTGTGGCGTGGCCGCGGCGCATCTGTGCCGGTTCCTGCCTGGTGGCGTCCGGGTCTGGGCGAAATTCAACGGACGGATGCACTGCTCTCGACCCAAATTGAGCTTGATTATTGGCTTGCGATAGACCCCCGGCCTGTGTAGTTCCAGGGAGTAGTTATAGTAAGCTTCGCTGAAGTTGTCTGTTGCAAACTACCTACGGATAAATCGTATGATGCGCACTTCGGTTGACATCTGATAGCAAAGAAGCTTGGGCCATGGGAAAAGTGACGTGACTGCTGCTACCAACGGTCAGTGCTCCTGCCGTTGTTCTGCCTGCTCGTCTGGTTCCAAAAAAAAATATTTGAGAGCGAATCCTGTGGCCCCTGCACCGACTCTCCAGCCTGAAATGCCCCACATCGATACCGAATCCGAACGTCGAATCCTCCCTGTCGGAACATCGCTGACTCAGCTTGAATTTTCCGGCCGGAACAATAGCGTGGGCCACACTGCCATAGTGGTAGGTAGAGCCAAGCATGGGTCCGTCGAACTCAAACTTTGGCGGCGGCGTGAGGGAGGTGCGTTCCTCCGGTTCCTTGAGTACTACGTAAGGTAGGCAGCGCAATGAAGCTAAACAGGGACACCCTCTCACAGCATACTTTCCAATCGGATGTCTAACGAACGGACACTTTAATTCATCGTCGCTCATGGCGCCCGCTAAAGAATATCGATCGTCAAGCGCTGAACCAGTGCAACGGATGTTCAGTTCCGCACGGAAAAGCTGCGCAATGATCACCCACTGGGCCTTGGGGGAGACGACTACCTAGACAGCCTCCGCCACTGTACTCTCCTTTTGACATAACTGATGAGTCGAGTCCGGCAATACAACGACTACGGCTTTCCTTCCAGAAACAAATCAAGCCACTTCTTGACTTCGTCAATCGACACTCAGCCCCCTGATGAACCCATACAGAACCCCGTTGTCTGTTCCCTCGGAATCAACCGGCCAAAGTCGCATTCGGCGCGGGAGTCATGGTTCCATGACCCCATGACGCTCTTGCTGTCCAAATCGACTGGATCTTCGGGTCTCCGCCGTGCATTTGCTCGGATTTGTCGCAGGTTGATGGCGACCAACGTCGTCCCTGCTAGGGTTACCCAACGTCTTTTTAGTGGAAGCCTTGGCAACAAGACAAGAGAATGAGCCAATTTCAACCAACTGCTCCGTCTGGCGAACCTGACGAACAAGTCTAGAGTTTAACATAGTATCGCAGCATCCTGTAATCACTCGCTGCTCGACAATACGGACGTACGGAGCGTTATCGCACCTATGGCCCTTGGCAGAGGATTGCGCAATGGTTGTCAACCATCGGGCATTTTGCAGCAGCCGAGGCCCGTTGGTCTCTTCAAGAAGCTCGCGTTGCATGAGTGCGGTCGACTGAGGTCGAGACCGGTTGCCCTCAGCTCCATTCTGTCCGGATTGATGTGCCTCCACGCTCCATCAATCAACAGCCAGGGGAGAGGTGACCAATGGTCAGCTGGAACGTGCGGTAGGCTCAGTCGATTACTGATGCCATGCTTCCCAAATCCTTCCAACAATGGCGGCGCAGTGAAGAGTCGCACTCCAAATGGGTCCTTTCCCGCTCGAGTACTACGGTGTATATGTGCATGTAAGCTCGGGTTGAAGGGCTCGCAGCGAACACGCACCATGGCAACACTTTTTATACAAGGGCCGTGACGGTGCCCACATCACGCGAGATTTTGGCTCTCGTCAAATTTCTCCAGCCATGCACCTCAACGGCGTCGAAGCTCAATGACCTCCTCCAACGAATCCGACCAGCAAATATTTCTGTTCGCCTTTATTCGAGGCAAAAGATCCCTTAAGTTTAAACCGATCAAGAAGGTGGGTTTGACGCAAGTAATCGGGGCCCTTACAAGTGTTTACTGTATCTTTCTTCCACTGCTCCCAACGCTACTGACATAGGCGGGCCTGGGTCATCTTCCTAAGACATGCCAAGACGTCCGCCAAGACTCGGGAGGGGGAGCCTCACTTTGTTACCATCAGCGACTGGATCCGGACCTTATTTTTCCACCCTCCGTCCACCCACGTTCGATATTGTCGGAGATGAACTATCCAACCGGGGTGTAAAGGCGGCCATGCGACGGTACTTGGCTCATAAACAAGCTCCCACTAAGCGGACGACGCACATCTGATAGCCGCTCCGTATCCGCACCCTGCGTTCCCTTTCTCTGAACAGGCAATGCAGGACAAATCCGATGGAGACTCGGCTTTTCGTGCCTGCATCTTTTCACTATGTACTCTATTGCCTCCCCCGGCCAAGGACCGGTAGCACTCTGCTGACCCCTCGCTCTCGCATGCCCTTTTGGCTCTTGCGTCTGTTCATTCTGATGACGATCAATAAGCGTTACCCCCACTCCCGTCGTCCCTAATCACCCCGACTCATCCAAACAATCCCCGATCCCCGTCAATGGAACCCACCGTGGGAACATCCACACCGTTCAAGATGATGGTGCCGAACCGGCTTGGTTCCGAGTTGGATACCGATAAAAAGAGCTCGTCTCCCAAGCCTTAGCCATCCTTGGTGATCTTGGCGACTCAGATCCGGTCTCACGCGTGCTTCTCTTACCAAACTGTCATTCCTTTTCTTGGTTCGACACAGTCACTCTTTCTCCGACTCTCAAGCCAATCATGAAGTCTGTTCTCTTCTTCGCGACCGCCGCCGCGGCCGCCGGCCCTTACCTGGCCTGGACCGCCGAGTCCTTCACCAAGCATGAGATCGACAACAAGAAGCCCTTCCACTACTCCAAGGCTGTCCTCTACGACGGCTTCGAGGCTGCCATTGAGCTCACCAAAGATGAGGCCCTTGTCGACTGGTACCGCAGCCGCATCGACGACCGCGTCGTCCTCGCCGACGGCAGCATTCTTAACTGGAAGCCTACCCAGTACTCCCTGGACGAGTACCGCATTGGTAACAACATCCTCTGGTGGTACGAGCGTACTGGCGAGGAGAAGTACAAGATTGCCGCCAAGACCATCCGCGACCAGCTGGACCGCCACCCTCGCACCTCGGAGGGCGGCTTCTTCCACCGCAGCCCCGACTACGACTACCAGATGTGGCTCGACGGCATCTTCATGGCCGACACCTTCTACGCCAAGTGGACTTCCCTCTTCGACAGCAAGAACACCACCGCCTGGAACGACATTGTCAACCAGTTCGACATCATTGACGCCCACACCCGCAACAACACCACCCACCTGCTCTATCACGGCTTTGATGAGAAGAAGGAGGCCGTCTGGGCCAACCAGGTGACTGGCGCCTCCCCCCTGACCTGGTCCCGTGCCGACGGCTGGTACTCCGTTGCCCTCCTCGAGGTCATCCAGCTGCTGCCCCGCGGCCACCCCGGCGTCGCCAAGCTGTCCAAGTACTTCACCACCCTTGCCGAGGGCCTGAAGAACGCCCAGGACCAGACCGGCGGCTGGTGGCTCGTCATGGACTCCCCCTACATCGGCCGCCCCGGCAACTACATCGAGTCCTCCGCCTCCGCCCTCTTCGTCTTCTCCTGGCTCAAGGGCATCAAGCTCGGCCTGCTGCCCGAGCGCAAGTACTTCCCTGCCGCCGCCAAGGGCTACCAGGAGCTCACCACCTTCGTCATCGAGAACGCCAATGGCACTCTCAACTGGAACGGCACCGTCGAGGTTGGCTCGCTCAAGAGCAACGCCAGCTTCGAGTACTACACCTCCGTCCCCATCGCCATGAACGACTACAAGGGCGTCGGCCCCTGGATGTTTGCCTCCTACGAGTGGGAGACCTTCAATCAGACCAAGCCCTCCAGCCGCGCCCGCAGCCCCCGCAACTACAACCGCCGCTACCACTTTTAGATTGGGAGCCGGAGAAAAGATGTAATGGAAAAGAAACATGGTCGATGAGATCAAGAGGCAAGGTCCCAAGCATGTACATGACTTGTATTCAATTTTATAGTTCCTCCCATAGCGGCGCTGTACATATTCTCGCTCATTTACCTGAACATAGATTCGTTTGCTCTCACTGCCTTGTCTTCACCTTTGATGTTGTCGTACTCTGTCGCGCACAGAGCACCCAGGGCAAGAAGTGCTTGTCATCACGCCGACCGGGGCAAGCCGGCCAGCGCAGCACCGATTCTGTATTCTCGTTAGCTGGAGCCCTTGCCATTCATACTCTCAACCCACCTCTTCAGGCCCTCGCCGACAATTTCTTCTGGCTGGGTGTACACCAACCGAAACCATCCAGGCGCAAGACAATGCTCCTCGCAAGGGTGCAAAAACACACCCTTTGCCAGAATGCTCTCCGCCACCGCAAACTCCCGTTCCTGCTCGGACTCATATGCTTCTCGAGGCGGCAACCATGGTGATAAGTCGATGTAAACAAAAAATCCCGCGTTCGCCTCAAGATACCCTACCCCCATATCTCTCAAGCATCCAGTCACAAACTCATACGCTGCGGCAATTCTCTCTCTGGACTGGGAGATGAACCGATCATGCCACTCCCGGTCCTCGAATATTGCAGTCGCAACCGCAACAGACGGCCCCGCGGGACTATGGAACCGCACAACACTCGAAAACGCCTCATGAAGCGCCCTGTTCCGCGATACCAGCGCCCCAAGACGCATTCCCGAGGCCGCAAAGTCCTTGGCTAGGCCGTACTCTACGTGCACCAGGTCCGGGTCGATGATTCCTTCAGGGTCGATGGACAACACAGACGTGAACGTCGGCAACGGTCCCGACGACGAGAACACAGACAACCCATAGACCTCGTCGCTAACCAGGTGGATTTGATGCTTCTCGCAGAACCGCATGATTCGCACCAGCGTCTCGCGCGGGTAACACCTCCCTAGCGGATTGTTCGGGTTCACAATCATCACCGCCCTGATCCTGATTCCCCGTTCGTGAGACCTCTGCAGCGCGGCCTCGAAAGCATCCACCACATCCGGCTCGAAGCAGGTTTCGGGCGTCGTATCGGCATACACCACCTCCACGCCCATCTCGTTGCCAAAGTCGAGCTCGAAGCGTCCGTACACGGGTCGCGAAGCGAGTATTCCCTCCCCGGGGGACGCCAGGGCGAAAGCGAGAATACACTGCACAGCCGTCGCGCCCGACGCGAGCTGGACGTCGTCACTCGTCAGCGGGGCGTGGGGGTTGAATGTGAGGTTCAAATGCGAAGCCAGCGCCGCGCGAAGCCAGGCGCCGCCGGCCGTGCTGTAGCTGTAGGAGAACACTTCTGGGGGCAGCGGGACTTGGGCGGCGAAGGAAGCGACATCTTTGAGCATCAGGGCGTTGCTGGCGCTCGCAAACGAGATCACGCCGGCGGGGTTCGAGGGGAGTACGTCTGCGGAAGAGCGAAGCGCCAAGGCCGGTGGAGGGCGGAGGCCGTTTTTGCGCCGCGAGGGGAAAGCATTGCGCCGCGAGGGGAGGTGGTGCAGGTCATGGACGCGGAGAGAGCTTTTCAACTGCGAATACCTGGTCAACTAGGTATCTTAAGGATGAAAGTGAGATTTTGATGATGACTTTGTTGTACTCGGAAGGGCGTGGCCGGTCTCTTCACCGATCGGCGTCCCTCCGCGCGGGGATGAGTACCTCTACGGCCGCCGTCGGCCGAAACTCCGCCTGAAGCGGACGGATCAAACTTGCGCAAATACGCTCAAAGTGCCCACTCTTGAAACCGATGTGGCCTTGTAATCCAATCCATCTAGCACAGCAAGATGGGAAAGCGGTTGGGTCATTCAACTCCCGCTTTGGGATCAAAAGAACTCGTACTTGGCTCCGGCGGCTGTTTTAATCAATTACTGCCGTGATCGGCGCCGGCGTAATGGATGTTTCTTCCGTAGGGCTTAGTTCGGTCCAGTGGCTGAAAGTGGTAATTGACAATGGCGGCTGCCGGGACGGGGCCGAAACTTTAATCGGAGGGGACCGCTGCCTGAACCTATTCCTCAGGTGACGAAAAGGGCAAAGGAGAAGCTTTGGATTCGACGTCTTGATTATGTTATCTGCCTGGTGTCTTGCTTCCTTTTCCCTTTGTCCCGGTCGTCCGCTGCTGTCACTGTCGTCCTGGGCTTCTTTATCGTATTTTTTGATCTTTGTAGAGATCTAAATACCCAAAACATGCCCGGAAAAGAAGGTAAGGATAGTTTGTAGGCCTAATCGTTGATATTGGCATTCACGACTTCTCACTTATACCATTCTTGCGTTTATCTTTTCGAGATGTGTTTGAAAGAGAACTCTAGTGATTCGGTTCGAATTGTGTAACGCTACAACGATTCAAACCTCGTTGAGTTTAGAGGGTATTCATCTTCAAACCACACTTTTGTCGCACCTTTCTCTTCCGGTAACTACTTGAGCACACAGATCATACTTAAAGACGTACCAATCTTCTCTCTCCGCGGGCTTTGGAATCCTTTGTGTTCAAAAGGACAGGGCGTCATTCTGCCCCACGTATATCAAAGCTTACATCAAGGATAAGTGACGATATGCTCGAACGTCTTGGACAAGACGTTGGTAGGTGGTGTCGTTCTCCCCACGATCCCAGGTGGTCAAAAAGCACTGATTGTAGTCGAAAGAGACCAATGATGCCTCGTCAGAAAGCCTTATTGAATAGGAAACATTGACTCATTCTTGCTTCAGTTACCGTGGAATATGGCAATGCAAGCCTTTTGTCAAGTCTCGAGAAGGGCTTGTAGCTGGAGTGTGGTCATGTATCATGTTCCCTTTCTACGGACGTGAGGGTCTTACATTATGTGATCAACTGAGGGCCAGATAGAGACTTGCTCCGCGTTGCAACCTATACAATAGAGCTGGAGCCGGTCTGTCAATTTCAAAATTACTAGTTCAGCTGTTCAAATGAACAACCAATGCATAATTCGAGGTGACTAAGATTTGATAGGGAAGCCAAGCGTATGTCTTGGATGTCGCTGGACCTGTTGCACGACAGCATAAGTAAGGACTTGTGCAGAGTATCCTCCGCTGTCGCGGCACTGCTTACGCAGTAGTTGTTGTCCCACGTGTCTTGTCGGTCTCAAGGATGCCACCTTAGTGACAAAGTTTGATTGGGGGTGAGAATTGGAAGACCAGGGATGCTGGCCGCAGCACCAGCAAGAACATAGCGGACAAGGACGTTCGGATTCCTGATTTCTCCTTGAACTCTTTGTTGTACCGAGAGAAATAGGGCTTTCTCGAGACGGTTGTAAACAGATGTGAGAATCCTTGTAGTCTGAACGTCCTCAACTTCAAACACAACCACTGCCCCGAGTACACTCTTTCGGGGAATGTTGCATCAAATGTCACGGCTTTGACACATAATCTGTATACTACTTTATTAACATTTTCAGAATTCAGAGTCTTGGAGCTTAACGACGCATCCTCCGAGTCTTCATGTCTCCAAGATCGAGAATGCAACAATACCGTTAGTGTCCTGCGGTCAGGGTGACCACATGAGAAATAATCTTGGGGTTCAATGCTTGATGGTTATGTGTTTCTGATACCTAGGCCGTATAACCCCAAGTGACTCCTAAAGCTGTATCACTATTTCATATGATTGTATTCAGGACGCAGTTCGAGTCCAGCTCAGTGTTATTGATAGAGAAGCAAAACATGTTGGACTGAGGCTTAACGAATTTACCTGCTTTTTGACTTGCAAAATGTCCAAACTGGCATCTCTAGCCTAGCAGATACTGAAACGTTTTGGCTAGACATCAGACTTGTCTTAGTTCGATTCTTTCTACCGGTGCCAGCTTACCCAAGACGTTTTGAAAACTGAGTGGCAAAGAATGGTTCTGGGCATAGCATGTCAACAAAATATGCCAACTGGCAGTTTTCTCACGGTCTCACAGCTGGCTTCTCGCTAGCTCAGCAGATCGCACTAGCAGAGAAGAGTCTCGCCACAATGTGAGGTGGCTGAGAAACAATCGGCCTCTGAATGCGCGATTCTTCTTCGTCGTCATATTTTGGCCCGACGCTTCCCTGGCCTCGGAAGCGCGGCATGGCAAGTGTTAGTGGGAGGCCTTCGCCCAAATTCTTGCATCTCCCATGGCCACAGGAAAGTTACCGGCGTTGAGGCTAAGGCAGGAGGACCAACCCCGGCCGAGGTGTGGGACTGACACATTCCAGCTGGACCCTTGGAGTATTGTGCATGATGACCTAGAATCATAGCGCAAGTGGTCACACAGCGGCCAAGGCTCCAGAGCCGAGAGGCCTCATCAGAGGGAACAACAAACAGTCACACAGCGTGCTGACGATAGGGTCCAGCAGCTGGGCTTATGCCTGCATATTAGCGTCGGGAGCGCAGTTTGAACCACGATGGCATATGCAGCCCTAATCCCGATGGCCCATTAGGAGACGGTATTAATGGGACTCCGGCAGGATTGCATCAAGAGGTCAGCGTCGGCTGACGGATCCAACGTGTTGTTGTCATTGGATCAGCAATTGGGCGGCTTCCAAGGCTCGGCGCTCTCTACAGATTGACAACAGTTGCTTGACTCTCTGACTATGCTGTGACCAAGAGAGCAGCTGTTGCCACTAGGACCTTGACGCGAGCTTTCGATCCAAGTGGTATCCGTATCCAACCATGACCTTCACTCACCGACAGTACGAATCCGATAGTGACATCCCCGGGGCTTCTGGATACATTACAGATATGAGCTCACGAGGCCCCCTGAAGACATGCAAAACAAGCTGAGCGAGCTGCATTCTTGCAGCAAATGAGTTGCAGGCACCGTAGCAGATAGGGCTCAATTGGCGGGCGGGAAACGGGAGTGGATGCACGATGGGCAAGGGGCGGCAGAGCGAATGGGGGTTTGAGCTTGGGACGAACGAACATGACTGGCGAATCTGACGTGCATGAGGCGAGCGATCCATTGGCAGTCCAGGAGCGGGATGGAGAGGTAATCTACATAGTAGTGCTGTAGTTTGTGCTGCTAGGTGGGCGGGCGAGCGGTTGTGGTACGGGATCAGTGGGTTGCCAGTCTGGCGGCGCGGAGTGGCTGGATCTACCCAGCTGCGCGGTAGAGACCATTTTAGAGGCCCGAAACCCATACTTGTAGGTCGGGATGGGATGCAAGGGGGCAGCAGAAGGCAAAACGCATACTGGTTAGTTCCTTTGCCATGGGCGCTTCTGGATGGAGAGGATCGCAAGCCGCCGTCCGCCGCCGAGGCGAGACTTCATGCGCTTTGAGATGGGAAGCCTCCCAGTCGCAGTCGTGTGCCAAAGATTGCGAGATGACCGAACAACTACGCATATGGAACCCCCCAAAGTTGATAGTCGACGGTCATACGGTGGCAACATGGGCGGCGGCCTTTCTGGTGCGGACGAATACAAGATCCTGAAGGGTTTCGTGCTGCGCGAATTAGGTAGAACGACGGAGTACACGATGCCGCGAGTGCATGCCAACACATGGCAACGCCTCGCACCGGAAGCATGAGTATTAGACGTGCTGACGGTTGTGCGGTGTGGGATTCGGTGGTTCGGTCTGCCGGCCGTCTCTGTGGACATTGCCAGTGATACCTAGACTGGGCTCGGCGGCGCACCGAACGTTGCTGCATAGGAGAGTGGCAGGAGAGGGAGCGGCTCGGCAGCCGACGATTGGCTCCAGGGGTCAGAAATGGTGGTGAGGGAGGCGGTCGCGGTGATGATTGAAGCAACAGATGGGATGGTGCGGGTTGATGCTGGTTGGGCGGGCGGGGGTGTTATTTGGGTCCCTGTGATGTGTTGGCATGGCGTGCCAGCTCTCGTGGACGACGCAGATTGGGTAGTGGGCGACCAGGGTGGCTGTCCTCTATGTCGGTGTCCTGGAGCAGCGGAGAAGCCGTGGGTTGGGAGCGGCGGGCTCAAGTACCCAAGTCTTCAAGTCTCAGACAGGGCGCATTGGGTGGTTGAGGATCCAAAACGAGAGGCCTAAAGGCTATGCATGCCAACTCATCAAGGCGGCCAGAAGCAGAAGTGAGTTTTTTTTCTCATCCGTCTTTTCATTCTCCCCTCGTGGCTGCGCTGCGTGGTGCTGCTTCGGGCGGTTGCCTTGTCAGTATCGCTGTTGCAGCATTTATTGGCCCGTCGGTGAGCGGTGATTTGTCCGACTTTGTTGGGGCAGTTCGCGAAACGCTGATGAGGTGGACAACATGGCATGGCCAGTCCGCCTGCAACTGAATTTCATGCTGCAGACCGCTTCTCTGGGGCCCAAAGAAACCTGACAGGTCTGCTGCATCGGAGCCGTACTCAAAGTATGTACCGTGGACCACGGACGATGGACCGTCTGGCTCCAGGTCCAGGCGGCGGTGTTCTCTCTGCAGGACAAAAGGGCTGATGCATGCTCGGTATCGCGGGCGAATGAGTGTGCAGTACGTATTCTTCAAGTGACAGCTGTGTCCGATGTGATGAGCAGAAAGCCGATGCACAAAGAGGCGCGGCGGTTTGTGTCCTGCCACGGGCAGTAAGGCGAGGGGGGAAACTCGATCGGGGTTCTCTGTGTCTGTTTGACAGTCTGTTTTGGCGACTGTGGGCGTTGTCGTTGCGCCCAGAGCAAAGACAGACACAGCGACAAGAACAGCTGAGGCAGGGGGAGATGACGATGCCAAAGTCAATCAGAGGAAATGTCATGCAGTCGTTGTGGTTGATCCTGGCTCTGATCTGGTCGGAGTGGACAGAGTTGGGATACCCATGGGGGCCTTGTGGATGAGTGTAGCTGGAACCGGAGTTAATGACTTGTTGGTCTCCGTAGCAGCACAACAGCACTAGCTGGGGGGATATCGAGGTTTCTCGTTGCTTGTTCACTCAGTTATTGGTACTGGTGTTCGTTCGCGTGGCGATCGAAACAACAACAAAAGCAACGGCGCGGTGATGGATGGCCTGTCTTGTGTCTTGTGGTCGCATTGTGTGTGGCAGTACCGGTAGAGATTCGACCACACCAGGACCGGGATTCGACTTGTGCTGAATGGGAATTTGAGCGTTGGCTGGTGCTTTGTTTTTTCCCTCCTTCTAGTGCGAGAGTGCGTTGGCGGGCAACGGTTTTTTCTTTTCTTTTGGTTTTCGTCCAATGTTTGTTCGACTCTCCGCATATTCCAGTCTCAAGACTTCGGCTCTGCTCCTCCCTCTCTCTGTCGCTTCTTTTCATTCGTTCCTCCTTTGCCATCGCAATTTTTATGAGGTGGCAGGTGGGAAAGGCATGCTCCATCCGCTGCTTCTAGCTTCGTTCGGTCTAGGTCCGTTTCTCCCCCTCCGTACTTCCTCCCCCTCCAGCCTCTACCCCACGCTACCCGCCTCGTCATTTGCAACAAAGGGTACTTGGAAGGAAGCCACGATCACGCACCAAAACCATGTACCTTTCCATCATCAACTGATCATGAGTAGTTGCACATTCATGGAATGTTCTACGATACGTTAAATGCTATCGGACTGGGCGCTGCTCATTGTATGCGAGCAGCAGGTACGTACTAAAGGAAACTTGTGTTCGGTCTGCCTCCTCCTTCTTTATTTTTTTCTTCTTCATGGTTTGAGACTCACCACTTACACTACGTGCCAAAACACGACAAGATCGCCAGCGGTTCGCAGCAGCAGGGAAGGAAGCAGCAGCAAAATCAAACCTTGGGTCTGCCCTGTCGCTCCTGCCTGCCACGCATTCACCCTGTTGCTGGCAGCCCAGTCCCTTCCCTTCCTTAACCGCTGGCCTGCTCCTGCCCGGTCGGTCCTGGTTCCGGGCCCATCGGGGCACCCCTGCTTTCCAGCTGTTGGGTTGGTCCAGCAAGTCGGAAGGTGGGGCCTCTCTCTGCCCCTCTGCCTCTCTGCCGGTACCTCATGTCTTGTCACTTGCAGCTACCACACTCTCTCTGCAGCTCACCTCAGCGTGGTCGACCATGTGTCTGTCTCCATCGAGCTGTCGTTCGTTTCCTGCTCCACGTCTTGTTCCTTCCACGTCCTGCCGCACGTCGCCAGGGCGTTCCAGGTACCTTGTGGTACGTACCGTACCTCTTCCCAACTGCCAGCCCACCTTCTCCCCCCCCGTTGTCGTGTCGTGCCTGGCCTTGCCTTCCTTGCCTTGTTGCTTGCTTGCTTGCTTGCCGTGCGTTCCCTCGCCCTGCAACCCTTGCCTTTCTTGTCCCGTCCCTTCCTCCCGCATTACCTTAAACTCCAACAGCAACCAGGCCTCGACTTACTTGTTTGGTTCCTGATTGTTTTCCTCCTTTTCAGGATTCTCCCCGACGTCGATATTCCAACTTGAACATTGTCGACCGCCGAAACCACGCGCCCGACTTCACGAGGAACTGGCATTGCGCCGACCTCTCCTTTCCCTTCCTCCACATCTTTCTCCTTCCCGCTCGATCTGTTGGTTACTGAATCTGCCCCGCCCCTACAGCAGACATCGTATCCACCCGCCAGCTTCCGACATTCATTGTGAGCAGCGCACAATCGACGACATCACACGGTCGCGACAGCACAGCTTCCAGCTTGCACGAGAGTTGCTGCTGAAGCTGCCCGGTCGCCTTGCGCCGTCTCTACTCATGGTCGCACTATGATTTCCATGCAGCGTTCCCTTTCCTCGCCAGTTCGCATAGTGTCTGCCTGTACGTCGCACACAGCCATGCTACCCACGATCTTCATCTCTCTTGTGTCTTTCTTCACTTACTGACGGCTGCTGCTTATTGCGCTACAGCTGCCTCTCAAGATGACGCGAACCAGCCTCGATCACCGACGCCACCCTCCGAGACCTACAACACTTCCTTCCGTTCCCGCCGCCAAAGATCCCCGAGTCCCACCCGCAGCGCAGAGGCCGTAACTGTGCCCGTCCGCCGTAGCGAAGACATACCCCGGAGACCCGCCTCCAGGTCGCACCAGAAGCCCGTGATTGCCCAAGCGTCTACACCCACTGCCACATCGCCCGTCAAGGCCACAATGGAGCCTTCGTCCGAAGCAGCGCCTGCGTCGGCCGCCGACAAGACATCCTCGCCTCCGCTCTCTCAGGCTCTGCTTCCGGATCCGTCCTTGTATGCGAACCCTCATTTGGCGCCCGAGCCTGACACAACAACCCTAGAGGAGCTTGCCCATTTGGTGAGACTATCCAAGTATCAGGAGCGCAAGCGCGCGAATACAAGGATACGCCTACAGAGGAACCTCATCTCCACTGCCTTGTCTGCCCGCCTGAACCGCTGCGGTGAGATTGCCCGGAAGAACTTGGTTGACTGTTTTCGATCCGATGACAAGAAGACTTTTGCTTCACTCTTCAACGCCATCCACGATGTGCGCAAGAGCTGCGACGAGCTACGACGCTATGCTCTTTTGGAACCTGAGATGGACTCTCTCCAGTCCCCTGCTCTGGCCTCTTCGGAAAGCCTGGATACGCCACCGAAATCAACATCAGGATCCAGCTCGCTTGGATCCATGACCCCTTTCCTCTCAGAGTTGCCGGCTTCTGTCAGAGAAATCTTCCTGAACTTCTTGACCCAGATCAGGACCAACCCAGACTACTTGGCCACAAGGTTGTGTTCTCTAACCCCTACAGAACTGAATGCCTTTACCATGTTTCACCAGGGATTGGAACCTGTAGAATCTGTTCTGCCCTACCACGGTCGCGCTACTGCCCGGGGTCACGCTGGACCAAGTAGCCGGGGACCTGTACATTCACCCAATCCTATTGAGCGCCTGCTGTCTTTTCAGCGGCATGATCCCTTGTCAGCATTGGTTCATACCTGCTTTGCCAACTCTGCCGGCCCCGACAGCGCGGAAGATAGACGCCGAACCGAGATATGGGGAACAGCACTCGCAAGACTGATCACCGAGTCCAAGGCCAGCAGCGAGCCCATGCTGATTTCCGTACTCAATGTCTGGACCGCCATGCGTGATTGGTCCGGGAAATCCAACATGGAATGGTATCTGATGAAGATTCTTGAGGATGGCGCCTTTCTTTTGGACAAGGCCGAGGACCAACACGGGACAAGGTTCAACCTCGCGGACTGGACAGCCAAGGACAGTATCGCCGCTGAGGAGTTTTACGACAGGGCTGTCAACGAGCTCTTCGAGATCATCGATGACGAGGATGCGACCGGTATTCCCGAAGGTCTCGTTGAACTGGGTAACGCCATTTTGAAGAAGCTGGATAGCAAGCTCGTCGAGGGCACGCGAAACTGGTTTGTGTACAAGTGGCTTTTCTCCGTGTTTCTTCTCGGCGTCGTCATTCATCCAGAAAGCCATGGTCTCATGGGCGATTACCACATCACCGAGTATGGCCGACAAAAAATTCTCAAGCAAGTCGCCATGAGGGCGCAGCAGTTGGTCGTGGAAATCACTTGGAACAAGAAGGGCACTGTCTCGACTCCGCCCAAGATCCAGGGGCACGTGGACAGTATTTTGAACCGATTCAAACGGTCCCGATCGCAAAGACCTCCGGCCAAGCTGTTGCCCGCCCGTTCCATTACCTCACTCCGGGAGACTGTCGAGGTTCATCCCTACCTGGTCGTGAGCCCGGCTGACCTAGTTACGCTGGTTAACGCATTGTTCCCCGAACGCCGTCCCATGTCAGCCCAGTCCAGCGGTTTGAGATCAGGAGCCCCGTCGATCTCGGGCTTTTCAGCGATTTCACAACCAATTTCCATGGGAGCACCTCGGAGCAATTTTGACACGGCTTCAATCCTTAGCACGAGTGCATCATCCGTTCTCAGCGACGCTACAACGTCTCGCGAGACGACTTTGGACGAGCAGAGGACCGGCTCACCTCAGCGGTACTCGCCGCCTGTTCTGGACCCCTTAGCTCAGAGACGTCTTAGCAATTACGAGGATGACGGTTATCGTCTGCGCTTTGCCCTTCGTGAACTGGGAGCTCAGGTTGGAATGGACGTTGTTCAGGGTTCATGCCACCCATGTGCTGAACGATGGGCTGTTTTGTTCATTTCAGCCGATGGGAACAGTTTATCGAGTCAGATGACCTACGACCCTGACGAAGAGGTTGAAGAAGAGGAGAACTCCTCTACTAGCGATACTGACGATGACGAGATTGACGACAAGCCCGAGCTAGACAAAGACTACCACCAGCTTAGGGATTCGATTTTGAAGCTCGTCGAAGATTTTGAAATACCAGCAAGTATTGAGCCAGAAGGTGTCCGGGCACAATTCAGCAATCGCGCTACTGGCATCAAAAAGTATCGATCAAAGAACAAAATCATTACTGCCGAAAAGTCTACCCATAGCAGGAACCCTTATCGCAGACGCGAAGCCGAAGCGCAGACGAACTCATCGCGAGAGAATTTGCAAGAGGATGACAGCGCATCCACAAAAGAGGCGGGAAAGAGTGCTGAGGCAGATGCTGAGCCGCCCTCGGTCCTCATTGCCATGCTTACCGCCGCCTCTGCCCAATCTCGAGCGCAAGCTGACTTTGTGTCGGCGCATCTTTACTGGAAAACGTTGCAGCAACTCAACGCGCTTAGCTCAGAGTCCCTGCGGCGAAATGGCTTCGCAATACTGTTGAATATTTTCTCCCGAGGACCGCGGGATTCGATCCGCCGATGTGCGTCTGCCATCGAGGAGTATGACGCTTGGCTTGTCTGGCTTAAGCAAAGCCAGGAGCGACACGAAGGACTCATTGACGCAATGATGAAGCGTCTCCGCGCTCTCCGCGATAAAATGTGGTACGTGACGGATGTTCGCAATTCTGCGCCGTACGAACAGAGCCGCAACATCTGTGCTGCTCTCAAGACCATGGGCATGCAGCGGCGATACAACTCATATCAACGAAATCGCGCCCATCTTTCAAGGGGGCCTGCGTCAAGCTATCTTTATCGCACCGAGACGCAGATTATGGACCTTCTCGCCGCTTCCGAAGAGCAAGGCGGGCCCAACAAGCTAAGCGACGACCAGGCAGACAAAACCTCGCGGTGGCTTCAACAGGCAGGGGTTGAAAACTTTTGTTGCGGAGAGGAACGCATACACAGGTTCTGCTGCGAAGTGGACACCTGTATATCAAAGCTGGTTGGCGAGTCGATCATGGACGGTCCCGTTTTGTGGTCGAGTGAGCTGTACCAACGGGATAGGCGGAATCTGGAGACGGGCAGAGGAGGCCCTCGCGACAGAGATCACACATTTGACGACACCGCGAGCGTCATGAGTGACCCAGACCGGCGTTTCATGTCTACCGGTCGACCCAGCTCTGTGCGGGACCTGCGGGCCATGTCGGCTCACAACTCAAGTCAGCAGTCTTTCGACTCTGGCAGTTACCGTTTCTCGAGGGCAAGCACAGTCTTGTCCGACATCATAGATGGACAGGACTATTTTGGCGTCTCGTCGCCCGTCCACACCATCGATTCAAGTTCTACGTTTTGGTCGCCGTTTCAGTCGGCCATCTCACCGAGTTCGACGACGTCCCGCGCCCAGTCCCCAACAACAAGCATGACAAACCTATCCAGCGTGTTCCAGCACTCTCATCCTTCAATGGGCTCTCATGCAAGCCAGTCAACTGGCAGGCCAGGTACTTCGGCATCGTCTAATGAGACGATTCACCAACAGCGCCTGTCGGAAGAGAAGGCCCGTTTCCTCAACGAGCTACGCCAGACACTGGTCAGCCTATTGCTGTCCGATTTGGGCACTCTCGTGTTTTCGCGCGGCTCAGAGACAGATGATTGGTTCTCCACTTTGGGCCAGGAGTGTATTGATAGGCGCGATGCCCTTGATAGACGCGCGCGGAGATCGGGGAAGTCTGGCAAGCTGTCCCTTAGACCGCGTGTCATTGAAAAGAAGAAGAGCTTTGGCAACTTACGAGGCGCTGGCGAGACGGACAAGAACTCCGAAACCACGGAAACCGCCAGCGCCCCAGGAAACGACAGCCCAGCCACAAGCGACACCGTAGCCGCTCGACCCAAGCCGTCCCCCAAGGAGTCCACACCCGAGTTCCCTTTCAAGAAGGCTTTCCAACGTCTGCTTCGCATGTTCAGTGTCCACCCAAACCCACATGCCAAATTGAATGCTCTCTACGAGCTACAACAGCTGATCATCGCATCTCTGGCAAGTGGTTCGCGAAGGTCGAGACTAGGATGGAACCGACAAGAATTCATGTCCGGCCCAGGTGATGACCCTGCAGGGAACGGTCGCTCAAACCCGCTAGAAGAAGCAATCGATAACGTCAGGGGAAGACGTTCGCACACACTGCTGCAATCACCTCTTACCTCGCCACCAGCCATGGGTCCTCACCAGATGCGCCAAAGTACCACCGAGAATCGCAATGGTGTTTCAGGCAACTCATCAACGACTGATGCTGTCACTAACGTTCTCCGGGCACTGTTTCGAGATGCGTCCATCCGCCCGAAGACTCTCTTTAGAGATTTGCAGTTCATTGCAGCTTTCGTTAACCCAGCCATCCTCGACAACACAGACAAGGGCACGGCATTCTGGGACACTGGCCTAGCTGCCTTGGGCCTCAAGCAAGAAGTGTGCCGCACCATGATTGAAGTAGCAGACGAGGTGCAGGGCGTGTACACGAGTACCCGCAAGACGACGAACGACACACCCATCCAGGATCCAGAACGGCTAGAAACCGATTCACCTCCTCCTGTGACAACAGCGTACAGCCTAGCACAGGCAGGGAAAATGTGGACCATCACGGCGAAGGAGGGCCTGCCAACAGCCCAGCGAGAGTTGGCAATCTTCTACCTCTCCAATCCCGAGCTTGTGGAGCGGACCACGTTGCCCCTCTCCAAGCCGCGTGAGGTCTTCAAACAAGCCGTCATGGACAAGTACGCCGGCGCGTCTGGACGAACCGGTCCTGGCGCCAGACTCTATGCTGGGGACAGAAACCGTACTGCGGGCGCATCTGGCCTCGGCGGATCTGTCGGCTCTCAACACCCCGGGCAGGATTCGGGCTCCAAAGACGGAGATGTTCGCAGCGATCCCGCGCTGATGTGCGTGGCTGTCCATTTCTTCCAGGCAGCTGAACAAGGCGGCGATGAGCTTGCCACTTCGTTTCTCCGCCAGAATGAGTTCAACGCCATGGGTTAGATGGCAGCCAGTTGAATGCCCCATTCTATTTAATCTTTGTTTTACTTGGCCTGCCTTGGTTTCGTTTTCCTCCCACGACCTTGGAGGCGGGTTGGATTTCTGGGATGATTTGCGGGTTAAATGGTCTCATTCTTCAAGACGTATACATACACAAGGCATCTACAATTAGGGAGGGTTGGTCTTGGGGTCTTTGCCACTTGGCAGCGATAGGGCAGACGGGTTTGCTCTTTCGCCTTTTGTTCTTTTTTCCTCGAGGGTTTTGTTTTACTTCTTTGCTAGCCACCTCATGTTGGTGATGGGCTTTTTATTTTATTTCATTTGGCAGCGAGTATGTGAGGTTTTGTTGGAGGATATACCACTTTTCTACGTATCATCATGACTAGGATATGGAAATATGGGCTTGGGTCTGTTCATGAAGCTGCATCGTCGTTGAGTGATGTTGTAACAAGGCTTGTCTCTATGGTGATTGGTACAGAAGTGCAACACGACCATAGGCCCCTCCCGGTGATGGAATCCTCTTGTTCATAGAATGAACCATAAGAGAGGCCCATGGGCACATTTAGAAGGTGCAGGAGGGGAGACCTGTACATCAAGGAAGGACAGGACGGTCACGGTATGTTGCAGGACATGGAAGACTTTTGAGTGATGGTACCAATAATTGTGACTGTATTCGCCTCATTCCAGGGCACAGAACCAGCAAGTATATGTGCAAGACAAGAACAAACAAGAGTGCCACCAGCCATCTCGGCCTTGGCCAAATGCCATGTAACGAAGCAAGAGTCCTCCCTTCCCCGGTAGTAAGCTAGCTTGTGTCCTTTTGGCGCATTGCGTAGCCAGTGTTGTAAACAAATAAATAGTCGTCTCTTGCGACCCAAACGCCTTTTTCCCATTTTGTAGACTCATATGCACATCAACCATCCAACCCGGCCGTTGCTGGCCTCTTTTGTTGAGGAACCAGGGGGCCTTTTGATAACCGCCGCCTCTTCCCAAATCATGAAGCATGTCTCGCGCCGTAGAGGTGTTTACTGTCCTCTCCCGAAGCGGATGTCAAAGTCCTTGAGCACGCTCATGATGCTTGCCGCTTCGACCTCAATGGGCAGACGGGAGGGTGATGGTAGGGTTTGGCCCGGTTTGGGTGCAGCGCGGAGCTTGGGTAGCCAAGAGCCAATGTCGTCGGCAGCCTTTTCAAAGTTGCGATGGCTGGACAAGGTCTGGTAGGCCTCCGCGCAGCTCAGGCTTAGGCCGAGCTTGCCCTTGGCCGGAAGACGAGGGGGCGCCGACTCGGATTTGCAGCATCCGCCGCCAGCACCGGCACCACCGCAGCAGCCGCCACCGGAGCCTCCACCGCTGCGCTCAAAGTTTGCAGACAGGGCGCGGCAGAAGAGGCCGGACTTGGGGTCGGCAAGGCACTGGGCGCACGATCCGGGACCCTTGGGGCCACAGCCACGGGATACCGGGGCGACGGGCTGGCTTGTCTGGGGACGGGGACGAAGCTTGACGGCACCGTCGGCGTCGATCTCCATGGGCATGGGTGGGGGGACGGCGTCATTCTCCGAAGGAGGAGGGGTCTGGGTCTGTTGGGAGTAGGCGGGGGGAGGGCCGTAGTCGGTAGTGGCAGAAGGGCCGAGGGACATGGACGTGTCGGCGCAGAGGCAGTAGCTTCCGTCCTTGCAGAACCCGCAGGAATCCTTAAAAGCCATGGAAGGCAGCTGAGGCTGAGATTGCATGAGAGTCGAGGTCGTCGGCTGATGCACGGGTGGCTTCTTGGAGAACATGGCAGTAAAGTCAATCTCCGTTTCCTCCTCTGGCGGGGTCGGCTCGGCGCGATGACGCTTCTCAGTGGAAGTCACTGCCGAAGGTGAGGGCGCTCTCTTCAAGTCCGAGATGATGGCGCTTTTGATAGTCTCCTCAAGGCATGCGCAGCGGCCTCCGAGAGTGCAGTTACCGCATCCTGTGACGGTGTCGGTGAGAATGTCGTTGGCACAGGCGCAGCCGTCAGGGCCGCATGACCCGCAGCCAAACGGGGCGGGAGAGTCTTCCATGTGCGTCGAGTCCTGGGGGGAGACGATCTGTGAGATAGAAAAGGGCTGGTTCGAGTGGCCGACCGAGGGAGTAGGGGGCTCATGGTGGGTGAGCTGGGAGTCCCGGCGGCGAGGGGACGGCAGGCGTCTAGGGGCTAGGGCCTGCTCGCTCCAACGTCTTTTCTGGCCCTCGAGCTCGGTCTCGGCCTTGACGCGATCCTTCCTCTCGCGATCCAACATGTTCTCGAGGACGAGGCATCGGGATTTGAAGGACTGCAGCTCCATTTCCAAGCCGTGCACCCTGTCCTTGAGCTCTTTCTCGGCCTTTTCATGGCCCTCACGAATTTCGTCCAGTTGCTCTTCCAACTCACCAACCCTCGCGGCCCTGCGCTCGCGGAAGGCCCGCTGGGCGGCACGGTTCTGGGCCTTGCGCTTGGTGGGTGGCGTGTCGGTGGCGGGCTTGCGACCAGGCTTCGGCCTGGGAGGGATGACCCATTCCTTGGTGGTCATGGACATCTTGGGTGCCTCGGCGGTGGGCGGCGGACTGATGACGGAGGCCATGGACATTTTGTTCAAGACCTGGGGCGGTCTGACCGATATTGGTTGCGCAGCGTTTGGTCTGATGGCAGGTAGTTGATGCGGGGCGTAGGAGGCATTTGTCGGGCCGCTCGGGGTTGGCGTCGGTGCGCCGCCGGGGGTGCTCGCAGTGGGCGAAGCGGCGGAGACGGGCGTCGAAACAACCGAGTTGGAGCGGGAGGCGGCGCTGTAAACGCTGCGACCGTCGGTCTCTGGTGGTGAGGCGACGGGAGAGAACGTCGAGGGAGAGTTGTGTTGGTGGGAAGAGGAGGAGGAGACGCAGGTGGAAACACCTGAGGCGGCGGCCATCATGGAAGGGACGAGCGAGCAGCAGGGTGGTTCCGCAGGCGGGGTTCGGTATGGCCGCTCATTCGCTAGTGGAAAGTGGGATGCAGCACTGACAGCTGAGAGGTACCAGTGGCAGGTGGCAAAATAGTGGCCTGCAGATATTTGCCAGCTGGTAAATCCGAGAGTGCGGTTCGGCTCAGGTGGTGACGCTCGGCTGTCTAGATTGAACGAGACGGCAGGCTTAAAGTAAAAAGCGCCAGAAACGTGCGCAACAGAATGCGTGTTTGGGTTGAGCGTTTCTCTCAATAAAAAACTTGTCTTCCTAGAAGGAAATCGACGTTGCCCAAGGAATTGTAACGAGGACGCTTGGCGATCTGGGCTGATGCTGAGGGCGTTCGATCAAATACCCCTACAGTGACTTTAAAGCTGATAGGTCTGTTCGGGGGTTGATGCGATGCACACGACTCTGTCGATGCGTGTTCGTCGTGGCCGAGAGCTGTGACAATGTGGGCACCAATGCCGAGTACGGTGGCTGTGTTGTTGGTATGTAAGTGGTTTTCGAGAAGTGACGAAAATAAGAGAGTGAGATGCCAAAGAATGGTTCCTCAAGAGCAAGTGGTGAGAGTTGGTGATGGGGGAAGATTTTTGGTTTGTTCCTTTTTCTTCCGACAATCCGGAAGATGGTGTGGGCTGGTAAAGTCCTGCGTCGGTTTGGAGGGGAACCGACAACAACAAGCAGAGCGGAGGGGGGGAAGGGGATTGGAGGGACACAACGGACTGGAGGGGAACGGGGGGAAGGGGAGATTGAAAAAGGAATTTTTGATCTGATTGATAAGATTATCTTGCTCGCAAGGCCCCCACCCAGGGCCTGTCGCTAGCCGCTGGTTTTTTGGATTTTTCACTAGGACTTCCCAGACTTCCCGCTCACTCAGGTTTGTCACTCACTCGCCCACTCACTCACGCACTTCCATGTACACAGGTAGTACCATGCTCCGGTCCAGTACCCACAACTTCCAACCTGCCAACCACTGTCGGGCCATGCCCTGTGGAATCGTTCGATGGTATCCATGTTGCTTTCCGGTCTCCAGCTCCAGTTCGGCTGCGATCTCGGATCATGTCTTCGATGGGCTTATGACTGCACAGCCCGACTTTTCCCTCGGATCACCGCCCTGGCTGCACTACGGGATCCACCATTGTTGGCTTTGGGCCCGGGCCATGGCTGAGTTTCCATGTCGTAAAAGCTAGCCCCTCTCATCCCTCGTCACCTTCTCAGTCTACGGTGCCAAGCAACGACACAAGTCACCTTCACCACATCCCGAAGGGGGGCTTGATCTCAGGGCCTGCCGACGTCGCACTTGGTCCCGCATACACCAGGACAGTGATGTGCGTGGGATCAAGCTACATCTCCATAAGTCTGTCTCATCATCGACAAATAAGAGTGGCCATTTGTCCGATGACTCGTCTCGTATGCCGAGACGTCAGCCGCGGGGATTGAAACACTCATGGAGAAGACTCTTGAGAGTCGGGCACATCAGCTTGGACAGTGTCAAGCAGTGTTTTTTTTTTTTGGTGGTAGGCAAGAATGATCGAGGGGTCACCGAATTGACTGGGCTGTAATGCTCACCAGCTTGCACCGAACTTTGTGCGGCAATTGTAAGGAGTGCGCAGCCTGTGTAAACAATGCCGAGAGCAGAGTACATGACAACCGGAAAGCTATGCCTCAATGGAACCTCTGCCGTGTGTCACCGCCAGTCGTCCAATCGCCTGCGGTTGGTTCATCAGGAAGATCAGGCGGTACTTGATAAGATGTCACCACCCACCATTCTCTTGCTCTCAATCCGTACTACCAACCGAGCACGCATGCATCCCACACACACCATCTGCTAAGAGCAACCAACTATTGGATTTAGCCCCCTGGCGGCTGTTTCCTCCTGCAGACTCTGATGAGACGCTAGATTTTCATCGTTACTCCCTCGCGGCGGGCTGAAACGGCTCTCTCTAGGATCGACTTGGACTGTCCATGAGCCGCCTCTCAACCTGGAGTCACTTTGCGCAATCAGATCGGCCCTTTCATTCCACATATTTGCTGATCCAAGTGGGGACCCGGTGGGAGAAGGGGAGGGACTAGAAATGACCTACACTACGAAAAACGTCCATCGCGTGGTGGCTACGATGCAACCTCATGTATATCCGTTACCTCACATCCCGCTGGCCGACGGTAATCATCGGCGTAGACGAGGCCCTCGTGTGGCTCCGAGGACGCTTAACCTCACAAGGGACTCCCTTCCTGCGAGTCAGCGCCAAGCAAGCTGCGCACCCCGGCCTCCGGGCCATTGTCTTCCAAGGCTGGTTCTCCAAAGACTTGAACTGGCTGCTTGCTTTTGGTGTAGGTATGCATTCGTCACATAAGAGGGGAGTCTTTTCTTGCGCTTTACTGATCCGTCTCGCCAATGACTGCATCAGAGATAACGATGTGCGATCATCGTCGTAAGTGCTGGGCAGAAGATCTTCACTCCTCGTTGCATAAGGTTCAGAATTGTCCAATCCCCCTGTGCAGCGCTAAAGCCGCAGCTCACACTTGCGCAACCGTGTCCACTGAGAGCTGTGGGAATGGGGTGGAGCTCCCAATGCACTGTCCAAGCGTCTAATTCCCACAGTGAAATCCCCCCCACGAAACCCCAATCCGACCTCTCAAAGAGCTGCATGCCCTCCAACAAAGTCGCAAGTGCCCGTGACGCGGAACCACCAAATAGCGATTCGAACAGCTTTCTCGCGAACCAAACCCCAACAATTCCCGATCCCGATTCGAACAGCTTCGGTGGCCCGATTGACGCCTTGCGCCGAGCTCCCAAAACCTTACGCCGACCACCGAGAGTACACTGCGCGAACCAACCACATACACACACACACACAAACATGGCCAACCTCGGCGTCCAGTCCCCAACCCGGCAAACGGCCGCCTTCCACCTCCCCTCGTCGTCTTCCTCCTCGGCCGGCGGCGACGACGACGATGCCCCGCTGCCCTTCCCCGCCGCTCTCCCCCGATCCGACTTTCTCGCCCCAGACTTCCACCCGGCAAACTACCTCTCCGCCCTGCCGCACCGCCATCAGACCCTCGACGACTTAAAGGCCGAGCTGCGCGACCGCAGTGCCGCCATCAGCGCCGAGCTGCTCGAGCTTGTCAACGGCAACTACACCGCCTTTCTGTCCCTCGGTAACGAGCTGCGCGGCGGCGACGAGAGGGTCGAGAACGTCCGCGTTGCCATGCTGGGCTTCCGCAGGGCTGTCGAGGAGATCAAGGGCAGGGTACGGACGAGGGGGGAGGAAGTCCAGGGTCTGGGTGGTGAGTTGAGGGAAGTGAGGAGGGGGATCGAGGCGGGGAGGAAGATGTTGGAGTTGGATGAGCGGGTGGCCGCGCTCGAGGAGCGGCTTGCGCTTGCGAGCTTGCCTGGGAAGGCTTCGCAAGACGATGAGGATGATGACTGGGACGCGGATGACAGCGGCGAGGAGGACGAGGAGGAAGGTGACGCGGGAGGGTTGGTGGGGAGCAGCCCTGCAAAGCTAGCGGGTTTTGCACAGGATTTCTGCATCATCGAAGCTCTCGCAGATGCCATCGGGCGCGAGGTCCAGTTCGTCATCAAAACGGAGGCACGGATGACGAGGTGTCGAAATACAATCCTCCTCGACCTGGGAACGGCCATGAAGGAGGCGCGCAAGGCTGGGGACAAGGGACAGGCGAGAGTGGTCAAATATCTCGGTCTGTACGGCCTGTTGGACGCCCAGACAGAGGCGATCAGGGCTCTCAAGAGCAGTTGATGTAGGCGCGGTGGACACATGGAAAGGGAAGGCCACCCGGCAAAAAGTAGCGATGCATATGATACCCAGATCTCCGACATGTTCTAAAGCGCTATGCCACTTTTTGATACACGTGTAATAAACACATATGATACATTTGATCTAAAATCCCCCTATCCTTTTTCTTTTCTTTTCTCTCCCTTCTGTCCTTTTTTATACAAGCTTACATGACGTTGGACAGGTGAGCCGGCGTGACCTTCTCGTCCGTCGAGTCAAAGTTTCCGTTCAAGCTGAAACCCGGGCCTTGCGAGGTGCTCAGCACCACCTCGTGGACCTCCTTGTGCGTGTCAAGATCGGCGATGTCGGACTTGATGTTGCCGACAAATGCCTTGACGTTGGCCGACAGCATCCTGGGGGTGAAGCCGAGCTGGCCGATGGCCATGCGGATGGCGCCCATACGCTCGCGGTAGTTGTCGGCGCCCATGGTCTCGCGGATGGAGCTGACGACGTTGTCGGTGATGGTCTTCATGCGGCGGTTGGGCATCAGGCCCTTGGGGCCGAGGATGCGTCCCAGCGCGGCCTTGTTGAGCGCGGCCTCGCTGTCGGTGTGGCAGATGAGGCGGTTGAAGGTGATGTTCTCGTTCTTGATGGCCTCGAAGATGGACTCCTGGCCCGCGACCACCGCGCCGGCCTGCAGAGCCTGCTGCGCGATCGGGCTGCCCTCGGGGCAGATGACGCCGACACGGATGTCCGACTTGACGGGGTTCGGAAGACGGATGCGGTTCTTGACGACGGAGCCGTTGCGTGGCGTCTTGAGGTGCACGGCGAGCTCGTATTTGATGGACTGGGGAGGGCGGCCGACTTCGTATGCGCGGAGGTAGCTGCAGTCACGATCAGTTGGTGTTGGGCGAACCTGGCGGGGGCAAAGCATACCGCATGGCGTCGCAGAGGGAGAATTGGGGGCAGTTCTTGACGTTGTACGTCTTAAAGTCCTTGGAGACCTTCTTCTTCTTCTTCTCCGTCTTCTTGTTGCCCCCCTGGTTGCTCGCATATCGTGTCTGGGCGACGGAGGGGACGAGGAACCGTGGTATCGTAGACACCGTCGGTCTCGCCGAGGCGGAGAGGCTCAGGCGGGCCATGGAGGCCATGCATTGGGTTGTTGACGCCATCACGGGGCTGGGTATATGTGATTTGGAGGGTGCAACACCAAGCTGGACCTCACGATTTGTCGCGTGTGAAGCTCTGGCCAAAGCCTGCAGAAAAAATGTGGTGGCCTGAGAGTCGAGGCAGAATCTCGTATCTTATCGATCAAAATGGCTTATCAGAGGACCGATCCGGTCCCGGTCTACGCAGTACGTACTCGAGTCCTCGAAACACACCACTGTCACCAGAGCTCTTCTTGAATGAAGAGTCATAACTGTTTGCCTTGCGGAAAAGTTTTTTTCAAAAGAAAACTCGATTCAATCCCATGTTGGTATAAATTTCTTCCTTTCTCTATGTCATTGGAAATAGGTTTGCCTTCCCTACTAACAAGCGTCACCACTTGCAGCCAGTAGGTACCTCCATCTTCGGTCAGGAACTCCAATCACGCTGTGCCGCCAATCAGAGCCGTCAAAACTGGCCCCGGCCGAGTGCTCTCGGTGAGTCCCCCCCGAAGCGTTACCCCTCCATGAATTTTAACCCCACCACGAAATATCAGCCACTCCAAGCATTTGACTCACGAGACAACAGGACCATCCTGCCCATCGTATCCTCCCGACCTCTTGATCATCTCAATTGGATCAGAACACCGCCATCATGAAGGCCGAGGAGCTCCAAACCCTTCCCACCGCCCTGGCCGGCGACTTCAAGTCGATCGAGCCGCACCTGCGCGCCCTCGACAAGCACCTGACGCTGCGCACCTTTATCGAGGGCTACTCGCTGGGAGAGACCGAGGCCAAGATCTGGCAGACTCTCAAGCTCAACAAGGTTGCTATGGGATTCATCCGCAAGGGAACTCTGGCCAACCTCACCCGTTGGTACGACATGGCACACCTCTCATCTGCTTGTGTCCAGCGAGAAGCTAACCACGCGATCCTAGGTTCACCTTTATCGAGACCACCCACCCCGAGATCCAGGCCGAGACGAACGCCGCCGATGCTGAGCGCAAGGCCAAGGTCGCCGCCGCTAGCAAGAAGGGTGCCAACTACTCTCTCTCTCTTCAGAACGCCGAGGCGGGTGTCGTCACCCGTTTCCTGCCCGAGCCCTCGTTAGTGCTCCCACGGTCTATCATAAAAACAGCCACCTAACTGCGTAACAGAGGATATCTCCACATCGGTCACGCCAAGGCCGCGCTGCTGAGCGACTACTTTGCCCACGAGGCCTACAACGGCAAGCTCCGCCTCCGTCTCGACGACACCAACCCCGCGAAGGAGAGCGAGGAGTTCCAGGATGCTATTGTCGAGGACCTCAAGATGATGGGCATCACGCCCGACGCCCTCTCGTACACCTCCGACTACTTCGACTACCTCTACGAGACCTGCGTCCGCCTCATCAAGGAGGGTCACGCCTACGCCGACGACACCGAGCAGGAGACGATGCGCAACGAGCGCACTGAGGGTATCGCGTCCAAGTGCAGAGAACGCAGCGTCGAGGAGAACCTGCGCATCTTTGAGGAGATGAAGAACGGCACCCCCGAGGGCCTGAACAACTGCATCCGTGCCAAGATCTCCGTCGACAACGTCAACAAGGCCCTGAGAGACCCCGTCATCTACCGCTGCAACATCGAGAACAAGCACCACCGCACCGGCGACAAGTGGAAGATCTACCCCATGTACGATCTCGCCTGCCCCGTCGTCGACTCCCACGAGGGCGTTACCCACGCCCTCAGATCCACCGAGTACACGGACCGCAACCCCCTGTACCAGTGGTTCATCGACACCCTGAAGCTGCGCCAGGTCTACATGCACGACTTCAGCCGTATCAACCTCGTCCGCACCTTCCTCTCCAAGAGAAAGCTTGCCAAGATCGTCGAGAAGGGCACCGTCTGGGGCTGGGACGACCCCCGTATGCCCACCATCCGTGGTGTGCGCAGACGCGGCATGACCATCCCGGCCCTCCGCGAGTTTATCATCAAGCAGGGACCCAGCCGAAACGTCGTCAACATGGACTGGGCGTCGTTCTGGAACATCAACAAGAAGGTCATCGACCCCATTGCCCCCCGCCACACCGCCATCCTGGAGAAGGACGCCGTCAAGGTCAAGGTCATCGGTACCGACGCCCCCGCTGCCCCGCGCACCGAGGACAAGCCCAAGCACCCCAAGAACCCCGACGTCGGCACCAAGAAGGTCGTCTTCTCGAGCGAGCTCATCCTCGACCAGGCCGACGCCAAGAGCTTCAAGAAGGACGAGGAGTTCACCCTCATGGGCTGGGGCAACGCCTTCGCCCGCGAGATCGGCGCCTCGGACCCCATCACCGACCTCACCGTCGAGCTCCACCTCCAGGGCGACTTCAAGACGACGGACAAGAAGGTCACCTGGCTCTCGACGGCTGGCACCAAGCTCGTCAAGGCCGAGCTCTGGGACTTTGACTACCTCATCAACAAGGACAAGCTCGAGGAGGACGACGTGCTCGAGCAGGTCCTCAACCCCAACACCTCGACCATGGAGACGGCATGGTGTGACGCCGGCGTCGGCGAGCTCAAGAAGGACGACATCATCCAGCTCGAGAGACGGGGCTTCTTCCGCGTGGACAAGGGTCTCGACGAGGGCGACGTGGTTGTTCTGTTTAACATCCCCACTGGCAAGGCCAAATAAGTCATGTCGGGGTTTCAATTTATAGCTAGATACAGGTCATGAAAGACATGAAGAATTGAAGCATGAACTCAAGATGATGGACCACATGAATTGCCACGTCCCAGTAGTATATCAGAACATTCTTTGGTGATGCCTTGACGCACAATAAGGAAGTACATAAAACAGAAGTAAAGGGTATCAGCAGCGATTTGACTCGAACTAGCTCTGCTTCCTCACGTTGTTTGTACTCATAAACTGGCTTCCTGGGAAGAGACTATGTTATATGCAGCATCATCATCAACAACCTTATGGTGAAAAACGGTGGGCTTGTATTCTTACAGGAACCTGGCTGATCGCGGATCAAACCCTCCATCAAAATTACTAATAAATGAAACCGACAAAAAATACCAGAAGACTGTAACCTTTCCAAGATCTTTACTAGATGAACGGTGCCCGTTGGCCGAAGGGCAGCGTCTAGCTTTCCGCTGGCGGCGTCTGCTGTGATCAGTAGACCCCCACGCGCCCTCAACAATACACTACCGGGTTTACCGCCCCTACTAAACCGGCGATGGATAGTAAGCTCGATGGTGTGTTTTTGAGGGTGCGTGGCTCTGTCCTAGCTGATGCAACCGATTGCTGCATAGTTATAACTGTGCCGCGGGATTTGAACTTTGCCGGTATGAGCTATGACAGTCGACAGTTGCTGCTGTAATTACACCCAACTGCTTAACAGCCGTAGCGCGAAATCGAGAGCATGGTGTGCTGTGCTGAGCCGTGCTGATATCGTTGATGGCTAGTCAGGTTGGCTGGGTATGTGGGATGCTACCGGGCATTCAACCGGCATCGTTCATATAGTAAAGATCTTGGAAAAGTTACAGTCTTCTTAGAGCGTGCGAGGCATCCGCAGTAACGTGTTTCCATCTCTGATGGGCTTGTTCGCCTCGAATTCATGGTCTTCACGATGTTTTCCATCGCTTCTCAACGACGCATCGGAGAACATGTCCCCTTCCAAGGACTCGAATGATCTTACTTTATTAGGATCAACGAACCATTGAAGCTGTACTTGCGTGGTTGGTAATGTGCCCGGCCTCTGATGAGTCTCGAGGTGATGGCGGAATCCTGGATCGTATGATCGTTGCGCAGGTTGCATCGGCATGTGTCGTATTTGTAAGTGACTGGTGCTGCTTTGCCTCAGGGGGGGGCCGCATCCAACTTTCCATCGGTGGCAACAACTGCGATCAGTAGGGTCACACTCTTCAAAATAGTGTATGTCGTCCGACGACGACTCGAGGAGCGTTTCCCTTTCCAAGGACTCAAGTAAATTAACTTCGCTGCAATCATCGAGCCATTCCAGCCGTGTTCGCGTGGTTGTTAATACGCCCGGCCTCTGATGAGTCTCGAGGTGATGCCGGAATCCTGGATCGTACGATCGCCGCACAGGCCGCATCGGCGTGGGTCGCAGCCGTACACGCTGAGGCGTTGCGTAGACTTCTTGCACAATGCTTCCTGGCGGTGGAAAGATCCGATGTGATTGTGTCCCTGACCCGCCGAGCTGCCAGGGACTTATGAGACCTCCGCAATGGTGAAGAGTTGTGTGATGACGCAGCAAGTCTGGCTTTGTGCTACACCAGACACATTCTGCATGCTCTTTGTCTTGAGAAAAGTCAGCGGCTGTGCAAGAGTTAGAGTACCCTTTGATGGATTGATATAATAATCCGCCACTGAACAAAGTTGAAAACCCAGGCCCCAATATTTGGGGCCCAGGAAAGAGCCTCGGTAAGCCATGGCTTATGACGTCTGTGCAAAATTGTCGAGAACGGCTGTCGGAGTTGGCGGTTGGTGGACTCTCGTCCAGGCCACAATGCGTTGCTGCATCCGTATTGATCTCTGGCAGTTCGCGATCGTCATCGAACCAGCTATCGAAGATTCCAAGTGCAATCCACTTTGTCTCGTCAGACCTGGTATGCAAGAGTTTGTTGAACGCATCCCATCCATTATCGAAAGCCTGTGGGCTGTTTGGAATATCCACGTGCCTGTCTGGATGAAATTCCCAGTCTAACGTCAGAGCTGGCGGCAGGTTGAACTGCATAGTGTTTAACTCGGGAGGTAGATACGGATCATCAGAGGCTAGCAATCTTGCCGTGAATTCAGCCGAAGATAGATCAGATTCGTGGGAATAGTTCTTCCTGTCATACCGTTCTTCGAAACCATGTGCCGTTATGTGGGAAACAGAACAGTAAGTGGCATGTCTTCTCCCACTTTCGGGTACTGATCGCAAGGGTGAATCAAAACCACATTCAAGGGCCTTGGAAGTGAAAAGTTTTTCGTCTTCAACCATGTGATCCAGTGTCTTCAGGGCGTCCTTGAAAACGTGATGTGCCGGGACAACAAATGCAAGCATGGTTGACTGGCTACCCGCAATTATATGCCCGAACAACTTTTTGGGATCGGCTGCGTCGAGGACCCAAGATCCGCAATTTCCAGGAACTAGGGGCTGCTGGAACTTTGCAGTGTAGACTTCAACAAACTCGCTCGACCCAGGCAGGATCACTAGGGATGTCGTGCCATATAGAATACCACCGATGGTACCTCCGTCTGGCGTCGTGGTGGTTATGGCTGCTTCTCGAGGTGCCAGCTCAACGTAGTCTTCGTATTGCTCCAGAGGAACAGGCTTGCTCCCCGTTTTTCTCAGCTCCTCTGCTTCTAAAGCAGGAGTAAGACCAACGAATGCATAATCCAGGGCCGGAGACGCTATTACCACTTCGCCGGCCTCTAAACTGTCATCGGTTTGGCTTACTGACGGTGTCGGCGGACGAAGTTCTTGTTCAAACTTGACCTCTCCGAGTCGCGTGTGAAGAGCCGCAGCGTGCTGAACGTGATCAAATCCAGATGAAATGACAGAAGAGTTGCCATATTGTGTGTCTGATCCCGTTGAGTCTTCCAGTTCGGACTCAGGAGTCATACTGCCTCGGCTCGTAATGTCTGCAAGGTCCACGCCATCTTCATCATCGTCATCTTCAAAGTCGCTCCATCCGGTGATCTCGCATTCGTTATCATCATCTCCGGGATCAACAGATTGAACTTCAGAGATATTTTCGCAACTCGCTTTCGATGTGTCAAAAACATGATGAACAGTGTGGTACATGAGTTTTCCCCTGTACGACACAACGCCGCCAGCAGTTGCATGGTGCGTGCTCGCATTGTTCACGCCTTTGTGCTCGACAACAAGTCTCTTGCATGTCGTACTGTCAGTAGGACTGATCGAAACCATGGGTTTTGACTCAGATATGCTTTCCTGGCATCTGGGAGCAGGAAGGAGATCGTGATCCTCCAAACCCGGAGCGAACAGTGACGAGTAAATCCCTGTCCGAGGTTCACTATCAGGAACTACGGACGATTGATCGTCTGCCAATAGCTGAAGATTGTTTAGGTCGGTGAACTCTGCACTAAGCGGGATGTGCCCAAGCCCAAAACCAGGGTGGTTCTTGATGATGTCGCTTTCATCATTGACTGAGCGGAACGCTTCTTTCCGAAGAGGGCCGTCATCAGAGACTAACATAACCATCGGCTTAGTTTTCTCTTCTCGTTTTCCGACCATAAAGAGAGAAACCACAAAGTGATCCCTGGGCTTTCTGGAGAGGTTGTTCTTGAGGTGTTCCTTGATAGCCGGCAGTATGCTTTGGTTGAATTCGTCTCTTGCTCTGCCTTTGGCTGAGAAGCACTGCAGACGTCCGATCCTCGCCAGTCCGCCGATTGATAGATATCCACGTGGTTGACCCACTGATTCCGGAGCGTATGGCCAGGACTTGGACTTATCGCGGAAGAGATTCATCTTTTGAGACGTTGTTGTCGATCTGGAGACACTCGCCGGATGAGTCACGGAGAAGTGTAGGATTTTTTGATGAGGTAGAATCGGGCTTGATGACAGATGAAGCGCCTAGAGAACATGCTGACAGGGAGAAAGGCAGATGTTCTTCCTTATGGTCGACACCTTTCGCCGCTGCCCAAGTAAAAGCTGAATCCCCAGGGCTGTTCGGACGTCATCTGAGGCATGTTGATTGGCTCAATTCATGGTGGCGCCGACGTTCACAAGGCACTCAGTCGCCTGGATCAATACCCCTGTATTTTGCTAATCACAGTGAGACCCGTCAGCTAGCACATAGAGGCTGAGAAATTCCGAGACCCAATCATGATGTTAGGCGTTTTCTGAGGCTTTTCCATTTTGGCTGCTTGGAAGTGTAACCTACAGGTAGCAACAGAGCGACGCTCTTGAGGCGGCATGCGAAAATTGGGCAGACGAATCAGTGACGACATTGATGGAAAGATGAAATAAAAACCTGCCACAAATGCTAAAGATCAGTGCCCAATGCATTCCTTGATGTCGAAGCGACACCTCCGCCCGCCTTTCCAAGTTGCATCATGTCCGCCCACAGCCTGGTTCAATTCGACCCTGGGCTCGGGTACCCAGTGCCCGAAAACTTGAGGGCCACCATTATTCAGGAATTTTGGGCCCCTTGCCAACCGAAACTCCAGTGTGTTCCGGACATGACACCCTACTTTGATTCTTATCGAAAAAGATGCCAACTTTACCTCCATGACAGCGGTCTCCACGTTTCCGTCAAGACGTCTTCAGGTTTGGTTGACCTTTCCCAAAGAGTTCTTGGGGAGTTGACAAGAGAAAAGATCCTATCAAAGAACTCAAATTTACAAGGCAGTGGCTTCGAAGATCCCGATGCTCTCAATGCATCTCTGAACCTCTGCGCCTCCTTGTTACTTATGCTAGATGTGGGTGGCCACCAATACGACGTATCCGAAACCCATACCTTGGATTGGGCCAAAGGCCAGACACTGAGGGAGGCTGTAAGGCAGTTTTTCGAAGAACAGAGGGGTGTCCTGGAACCAGAAGGGGCAGTGCTTGGGAAGATCTTTACGGCTAGAAACTTGTGTCTCATTGGGGGCCTCAAAATCCATTGGACGGTAAACTTGGCTGATCACCTTCGCCTTTCCGATGAAGATCAGACTATCAGCATCTTCCACCTTCACAGTTTTCTGCAGTTCAACAAAAGGTGAGTGATTTCCATTCACCTTGCTGAATCAAATGCTGTTACTGAAAGTTTCCAGCTTTGCGGAACCAATTTTCCCCGATGGCTTGATCGAGGAGACGCTAAGGACACTGGCACTTCTTTTCCCGCAGAACGACAAGAGGTCCAGAAGCTGGGTCAAATCTCAAATCAGGTATAAGAATCTCGATCCAAGCCTTGCCTGTTGTGGCATACTTAGAGCCCAAGAACGGCGCTTCGAGAGGTTTGATTTTTGGCGCGATCGGCTTATCATCCTGAAGCAAGCGTTCGACGAGTCGAGTCCTCGGACGTTGACGCAGTGGTGGAATGACAGGCGAAACTCTGTGCAATGGTACACGTTCTGGGTGGCAATTATGGTTTTTGCCTTTACCCTTTTCTTTGGATTCGTCCAGAGCATAGAAGGGGGGTTGCAGGTGTGGTTGGCTTGGGAAGGTCGCGGCTCGAAGTAAGCATTACTCTAACATCATGCTATGTATCATTATAAGCGTCCATTTTGGGCAAATGGTATGATTCGAATATTGTAGTTTCGGTGCTAGGTCACCGGTGATCTGTTAGTGCTCTGCGAGATACAAGCTATGATGGGCTTGTGCAGTTGTTAGGACAGTGGATAATTTGAACCTATATGCATGCCAAAGGTCATAAATTGACATAGCGGGTAAATGTTGATAGAGCCATGCTGGATATATCTTAAATGGTCTCTTGTTTTAACTTGATGGCGGAATGCATTGTGAGTAGCGTCCCAACTCAATTGATGGACTTTCTCTGATAGACTAACAGCAGAAACATGTCATGTGTCTGTATTGAAGACATGAGCGCCGTTCATCATGAAGAGATAATCAGACAATTCGCATATCAGCCTGCTATAACCCCAGCTTTTCCTGCCACAGTGGAGCGATGGATTCTTGGAGTAACCAAAAGACACCACGGATAACCGGCCTAGGCTGGTCGTCATCATCACCCCACTGCTTCCTTATGCTTGCTGATAGGATCGTACATTGTGGGGAACTCCAGGGTTTAGAAGCATGCCATTTAGCTCGTAGTCACAAATCGAAATCTGATAGCATTTGCAGCTGGGGTCATTGATACAAACAACAAGGCACGGTATATTACACGATATAAAGACTTGACATTAGTTGCCAGAGTGTTGACGCTGTAACAAACCCGATAAGCCTTTCTCTCGTGCTCCTTGTCAACAACTAACGAGCCCTAACGTCCCGCCAAGTTGCGAAAGACTGGCGCAGTATGTGCCTTGGCGTCCTCATTCCATTGGATGAGAAACCTCATCATGCCATCAAGTCGGGCGAATGGGGAGACAATTTGTGGCCAGAATCGAGAAAGAAACTGATGGGACGACAACTGGTGCCTGATCTTGCCTCCTCTTTTCACCGACTCCAGCAAACTTTATTTCCAACAATCCATCGTTCAAGTTCTTCTCTTTTTAAATAGGGTGCCATCGCCCCTAGTAGTCTAATTGTCTGATATCTCGTCTAGTGTCCCCACTGCTAACCTTATCGGAGCTTAAGTGACGCACACGTGGGAGCTCTTGCATTATCTTTGGAGGTTATTGTCGACCAATCTCTTCTCGGAACCCCTGTCCGATCGCCTCATTATCTATCATTCTTTATTACAACCCATCTCATCAAAAAGCAAACTTCCTCATACTCAAATTGCCACTCCGAGACTCACTCACGATGGCAGAACCACACAACACCCCGTATCCGCCCTCAACACCCCAATGCCAGACACCTCGCTCCTCTTCACCGCAACAACTTTCTTCGACCCTCGTGATCCATCCAGGCCAAAACATCACATTCCCAGGCCTAACCCCAGCAACGGCACCGCCCGCAACCACTAATGGCAGTCATGCAAGGCCCAAGGTGCTTCACATCGGCGACCCGATCAAGTACAACCCGGACACCTACGCCGCCTTCTCGGCGCAATGCGAAATCATCCGCCCCACGACGCCCGAGCGCCAACGCCCCGCCTTCGCCGCGGCACTCCGGGACGGCAAGTGGGGCGACTTCTCCGCCGTGTTCCGGCCGTTCTGGGGCACTGGCGGCGAGATGGGCAAGTGGGATGCCGAGCTAGTGTCGCTGCTGCCCGCGAGCTGTCGGGTGTTTGCGAGCGCGGGTGCTGGTTTCGATTGGGCCGATACACAGCTTCTCGGTGAACGGGGTGAGCTCTTCCGACCACGAATCTCAATCCTATGGCCTGTGTCAAGTTTTGAGGATGATGTTGAACAGTTGGCTGATAAAAGTAGGAGTCATCTATTGCAACTCTGGACTCGCCGCCGCGGAAGCTGTAGCAGATTTCGCCGTCGCCCTCGTCATCTCAACCTTTCGACACCTTCCGTGGTGCATGAGCGCCGTCTCTGACCCCGTCGCCTTCCAAGACTGCCACGGCCGCGCCACGGCCGTCTCACACACCCTCCGCGGTCGCGTGCTCGGTCTTGTCGGCATGGGAAACATTGGCCAGCAGATCGCCCAGCGACTCGGCCTCGGCTTCGGTATGGACGTGCACTACTTCGACGTATTCCGCAAAGACGCCGCTGTCGAGACGCAGTTTGACGCGACATTCCACGAGACTCTCGAGTCTCTGCTCAACATCTCAGACTGCGTAGTGTTGTGCACGCCCGCGGGTGGTAAGATCATCACGGCTGAGTCTCTGGCCTGGTTCAAGCCTGGTTCGCGGTTCGTGAACATCGCGAGGGGAACCCTTGTGGATGAGGAAGCGTTGGCCGACGCGCTGGAGTCTGGGCAGATTGGAACCGTTGCGTTGGATGTGCATGACGATGAGCCAAGGCCTCATCCGCGGCTGCTGAAGCTGGCTGGGACCAAGGCCATGTTGACTTGTCATAACGCCGGCGGTACGGTCGAGACGCATAAGGGTTTTGAGGAGCTGAGTATGAGGAACATCATGGCTGTGCTGGGTGGTGAAAAGCCAATCACCCCAGTAAACTTGCATCATCTTAAACAGTGATGCTTGAGGTATGGACTCATCGCTGCTGAAGAAGGATATGGGGCGGAGATCTCAATGATGTAATGAGGTTCAGGTCATGCACGATACCAGAGGCATAAGTATGAACTTCCTCGCCATGTTTTTATGTTCTGGGAGCATGCTAGCGGTCATATGGTTCAATCAATAGTTGCTGTCTTTCAGATAGGGATTCAAAACTTCTTGTAGGATTGGGCCCGAAGAACACATGTGATTCCGTGTAGTGCCCTGTGATTCTCGTTTTCCGCCAACCCAGCGTCGAGGATGCAGGCATGTATACTTCCCTCAAGTTTAAGCATCATGGCAGACATCAAAAGCACGTCGGTAGGAACGCGACAGGAAATCTTGCACAGAGAAGGCAAACAGCAGGAGTTATCTTGGTGGTAAGTTCACGCCACGATTGGGCTAGATTGCACACGGCTAACTCGTTGCTTACAGACTCTCGGTCAGTGAAGCAAAGGTGTCTCCTCATCTGCCGCATTTCCGCCCTCCTCGTTGGCCTCCTCGCTGCCAATGACATCTGATAGCCAGTGCTTGAGATGCTCGCGAATCTGAGTATCCCGATAGATCCAGGCGATACAGACACCCGCGCCAGGGCCCAGTGGAATGGCCGCAAGAACTGCCACCAGCGGAACCTTCCACCCAGTTTCGACGAAAAGCCAGTACAGGACGGTCAGCCCAATGAAGAACATGTCGATTTCAACAAACTTGATCGTGGCACGCGTCATCTCTTTTCTGTCGTCCCACTGGAAGAGACTCCAGATAAGATACACATGGGAAACAGCGGAGCATAGAATGGGGACGATGTAGACGAGCAGGATAGAGACTGTGTGAGACTCGAGGTGGAAACTGCGGTGTTGGCGCTTCTGCAGTCGCAAGACGAGCCATCGGACGGCTTGGCGGATGAGGGACACCCAGATTGGGAACACGAGCCAGATGGCGATTGTGATGGGCGAGTTGTAGATGAGCATGAGGATGGACGGCAAAATGAAGCCCCACGCAACGCTGACGGGGATGGCGACGATCTCCGAGTCCACGACAAGATGACGGGAGTCCTTGCCAAAGTCCGGGTCCTTGGATGCCGCGCTCTCAACAACCTCCTGGCCAGCCTTCTTCCTCGCAAGCAGGATGGAACGCGAGCGGTGAAAGAAGGCCGGGATGATGACGAGCTGCCACACCACCGCACCGCCCAGCAGGTTGATGATCAACCAGGGGCCCGTGGGATTGGCGATGAGGATGTTCGGTGCGTTACAGATACGTGCAGCCTCAACGGTGGTGACGGTCATGAGGCCGGCGATGAAGGACAGGATGGCAGCCATGCTCGCGAAGGTCCGCATCGAGCCCAGCGCGCTCTGGAAGAAGCTGATGGCGAAGCACACCGGCGGGCCCAGGACTGGGACCTTGCTAATGGCCGGAAGACGCGCGCGAGCATCGCATTGCGAGTAGAGAAGGGCGACGTTGACGTCGGAATGGATGAAGAGAGACGCGAACGTGGCGATGGCCAGGATGACGGGCACCACAAGAAGGGCGCGGTAAGAGAAGACGTGGATGGGCGCCGGCCAACGCTTTGAGGACGCCATCGCGATGAGCCTCTGAGATGTGTGCTGATTATTGGAGACTTGTCGAGCTGAGCGAGGTGGGTATAGATGTGAAGCTGCACGGTTGCACTGTGTCGTCCTGATGGGTTCACGTCATGTTTGTGTGTTGCAGCTCAGCTCAGCTCAGTTGAGGCTCGTGACAACAATAGCGCACGTGCCACCTGACGCGCTCCCGGGAACACGCATGGGGAACCCGGGCTGCCACCGTTGCACGCCATTTATAGTGATGTCAAGCCCCAGAGACCCTTTCCCCTCACCCTATCCCTATTTTCGAGACATTACAGTCACCTGCCTGCGCCTCCGATCGTTCATAAGGGCGGGCGTCCATGAAAACGCAGTGGTTCAAGGAACACTTCCTCTATTCAATGCTCTGTGCCTCTGAAACACATGAGTCCTAAGAATTCTCAATGGTACAACAGTACCGGAGTAAAGACAGTTATCTAGTCTTTAAAAACAGACGTTGTTTCGAAGCGTTGTTGTAGTTTGCTGGTTTCTATCAAGTGCGACCTATATTATGCTTTGGTACAGTAAGATGACAAAAGTCCGCGCCACACATGCTTGTATTCTCGCCAATTTCTGCCATCAACTGCCTTTTCTTGGAGTTGTACCCTCTGATGGCATGGGTGGGAGTATTGACCGTTAAACCAGTGAGTTTATGTGATGAGAGACCGGTCCACTGTGGTCACGCCCTTCGACGTATGAATTATCCCACGATCGAACCGGGCTTGACGGGACTCATGCATGCTTTCAAAAGACTCTTACCTCATGCGGAAGTTGATGAGAGACAGGATCGTGCACTGTTCGAAGACTCACAGGCAAGTCGAGAATTATGTGATATATACCTTCGTGACCCAACCAATTGTGTTTTAATGAAGTAACTACGGATAGTATAATTGAGTTTCTCTACAGCTCTAGGAATAGACGAACAGCACGCGTCATTTTCACTTCTCTTGTTTGTCATCTGCCCAAACGTCTCATCTATGCCATTGAGATGGTCTGTATGGGTCTTGGACTCTTGAAGATATTATCGTCGAGGTACTGGTGGTGGACTAGGTAAGAGCAGCGATAGTCCTCGACTCGAAGGATGAGGAAGGAGATGAGGATCGGAAGAGTAGAATTTGCCGTCGAGGAGTCGAAGAGAATGAAGTGAGATATCCCTTCACAGAAACCAGGCCTCAATAAACGAATACATCTCCCATATTGACTTATGCCAAAAGGTGAGCAAGAACGCATGAACAGTAGCCTATGTGACAGTATTGTGTATGGTAGACTAGTGAGTACATCGAGGTGGGAAGCTAAACTTCAGGTCGTTATGGATGACTCGGTGATACTACGTAAGGTTGGCCTCATGGTATTACACTATCACCACAGACAGCAAGGGGTAGGGGTGGTTATTTGGCCATTGATGTAGCGAGAGGTCAGTGAAATACGTTGCATTCCTAATACAACCCTCGTAAGCTTGTCTTACAATTCTTTGTGTGTGCCACGAGAAATATTCGAGACAGCGACGAGTTTGTTACTAGAATTGGAAAATCGCCAGCTGACAGCCCATCTTTATTGGACTGCCAGTTGCTTTCTATTTCTCATCACCCATTATACTCTGAGACATGTTCTTCACCAGTCGTCATCGCAATGCTTACAGTTGCCAGCATGAACCCTGGATCTGCTCGATCCTCTGACTCCGAGACTGAGAGACTCGTAGCTGTCGACGACTTAACCAACAAGCGACCTGCTAGCTACGTTTTGTACCCAATACCAACGTCTCCCTGATCGTTCTTGATCTCCAAATCCACTGGCGTAAATTCATATTACTTCGGTGTGGGATGGTCTTCAAATCTGCATATACAGGAACCGTCGTTTCAACAAGCAGGTCGGTTTCAACCTCAACGGTCACGAAAACCTTGACTTCAGTAAGCAGTTCTACAGGAATCAGCATGTCTTCCTCAGATTCTCTGTCAACTGCAACTATTCTTCCTACTCCAACGAGTTCTTTCGGGGTGTCTTCCACCACCTCATCACCAACAAGTCTCAGAACCACATCTGCCTCGACTTAATTCCTAGTAACCGTTCTACATAACTTACTTCGCTGCCAGCAATAGAATATTCTTCGGCGTCCTCAGATTTTATCTATATTTACTATCTTCGACAGCGGAACCTTCAAGGATATCTGATTCGTCAACAACGAAGCCTATGTTGGCTTCAGAGTCTCTTAACTCTTTGTCATTATCTGGCCTTTCAACTTCACACATCTCTTCAATGATGGACTTTTTAGCGTCATCTGCATCCTTGTCAACGACAGAATCTTTGGCATCACGGTCTTCTACGTCATTTGCTTACACATCGTGAGCCAATATCTCAAACGGCTATCTCTGTGATTACTAGCGATATAGATACTGGTCTACCTTTCAGACTGATAGCATTACCGCCACAGACACAAAACCTGGCGGGTGCTACATAAGTGACTAGGATGTAAATGTGGACACTAGATTGTCCGAGGGTAACTTTGACGCTACAGAATGCCATGAAGGGCTGCAATCTTGAAAAAAGGAGATAGTATCGCCAAAATCATACATGTGTTAGTACCGGCATGGTATAGATTGAATGAAAAATAAACTCGTTCATACAACGTAACGTCCTCCGCGCCCAAGGGTAACTACCGGTCCTACCTTTACACCATGATGAAACACGCCGGAATGAAGGGCAGCGGCGGTTAAGCTACACATTCGTTTTTCACCGGGGTAGATGATCACACAAGCTAAGGGGCGGCCTGCCTGCGAATATTCGGGCAAAGATTGACCAAGGAATATTGGATTGTGAATCCAACACCAGGCGTAAAAGTACCTGTATCGACTAGTCTAGTGCCAGCTCCACCATACTAAGTTGAACTGCAATAACTTTTTAGAAACTTGACCGCTACTGTATGTTTGTAAATGTGATTTAAACTACGGTGATTGCCTGAAACCTGGAAATCTAACTCCGGACTTGTTTTTAGAAAACTATGAACAAAAGAAAAGCGACATCGAATGCAAAGTTGGTCAGTATGAGGAAAGTCGAGAATAAATCGAAGTAGGGATTCGGCTAATACTTTACGTTTTTCCTTTGGAAAATGTCTCATACAAGGCTGCAAAAGATCAAGGGACTGCCTCACCATCGTGTATTTGTGAACCTAAATTCCTAGCTCCTTTACACGACATATTGTGCGCCTCTGTCATGGATCAGCAGGTTGCGAAGCTGCTCTCTTCTGCCTCTTCTCCCAGAAGGTGGTTAAGTGGAGTGACCCAAATATCCTTTAGGCATCAGAATCTGGACGCTTTGCGCCAGAAGTGGTCACACGCCCACCCAAGATCCAAGACCTCATATCACCTACCAAATCGAGCAGAGCCAAGGCAGCCAAGACCGAGCGTTCATATCTCCCGAATCCCTGTGTCCTTTGTCGTCCAAAAACCTAGACTCGATTGTTCCCTCCCCGGGTGCCCAGCCAAGACGTGGGGTTTCGTCGCCACGTGTCTTATCACACAATTCGCCAGTACCAAGTCTAAATCTTCCTCCTTTACAATCCTAGGCGGGATATTTACATTCACGGCCACCTCCCTATCATAGTGCCGTCGATTACGGCGCTAAAAACAGGCCAATTGCTTGGTATCTTTCATGCCAAGTCGGGAAGCCGTTGTTTCATGCCTTGCCCGCTTTGCCCCCGTGCAACATCGTTTCTCGACTTCTCCAATCACCATTCGGCTTGGTTGTACTGAGATAGCCCAGCGCCGTTTACTCATGTTTATCTCTGGGCGCTGGCTCGCTTCGAAGCCGCCAAGGAGGAGATGTAACCATCACCACACGAGAAACTGCTGGACTTCTTACTGCGCGCCTATCATGGATCGCAGAGACCTTTGACAGCGCCGATAATATGCGTCTGCGTCGTGCGACCTGTAAAGCTACAAAATGGCCTACCAACCCAGCCAGGTTTCATGGTGGCTGTATTCCCAAGCTCTGTCCAGTAATTGCCACTCTCCGTCCCGGTGCTCTCAAGCCTTCGCCTTTTGAATAAGCTCAAGCCGAAACGTGCCACGATGTCGACGGCCCCTAACCTCGACGTGGTGGAAGCTGCGCGAGCAAATTATCCCGCCATCGAAAAGGGTGCCCACGCCAGGAAGACGCCCGATGCTTACACGGGAGATGTCGCCGATGGACGAGGGTCCCACGACACGCTCGGCGGTCCCAATGGAGAGGTCTACCCTACTGAGGAGGAGCTACTGACGCTGCGTCGCATTCATGGCAAGGTGGACTGGCTGATTTACAGCATTGGATTCGTCGAGATGTGCGAGCGTTTTGCGTACTATGGCACGACGGCGGTGTGTAAGTCGGGATGGTGTACAGCAACAATATGGTATCGGTTACTGAGACTCTCCATGTTCTAGTCGTGAACTTTATTGCGTATCCACTCCCGCCAGGCTCGACGACTGGTGCAGGAGGCACCCATGAGCAAGCCGGTGCCTTGGGTCTCGGCCAACGGGCCTCGACTGCCCTCACCCTCTTCAACTCCTTCTGGTCTTACGTCATGCCCCTTGTCGGTAAGCAACCTTACTCTCGCTATCTAACATCAGCCAAACTCATCTGACCCCATCCTAGGTGGCTACCTCGCCGACGCCTACTGGGGCCGCTACCTCACGATCCAGTGGGCCATCGCCATCGCCACCTTTGGGCACATCCTTATCATCGTCGCCGCCGTCCCCTCCGTCATCTCCAACCCGAGCGGCGCCCTCGCCGCCTTCATCGTCGGCCTCGTTTTCTTCGGCACCGGCGTCGGCTGGTTCAAGGCCAACATCTCGCCTCTCATCGCCGAGCAATATGAGCTCACCCAGCCCCGCCAGACCGTCGAGACGCTCCCCAAGACGGGCGAGCGCGTCATCATCGACCCCGTCATGACCATCTCCCGTGTCTACATGCGCTACTACTTCCTCATCAACGTCGGCGCTCTCGTCGGCCAGATCTCCATGGTCTACGCCGAGAAGTACGTCGGGTTCTGGCTCTCGTACCTCCTCCCGACAATCATGTTCTTCTTCTGTCCCGTCGTCATGCTTGCGTGCCGTAAGCGCTACGCCAAACGCCCGCCCACGGGCTCCGTCCTGGGCAAGTCCTTCGCCCTCGTTAGCTACGGCCTCAAGCAGGGCAACGGCGTCTCCGAGATGGGCAAGGACGTATTCTGGGAGCGCATCAAGCCCTCGCGGGTCGCCGCCAAGCCCGCGTGGATGACGTTCGACGACGCCTGGGTCGACGAGGTCCGCCGCGGCGTCATGGCCTGCACCGTGTTCCTCTGGTTCCCCGTCTTCTGGCTCGCCTACGGCCAGATGACCAACAACCTCATCAACCAGGCGGCGACGATGCGGCTCGACGGCATCCCCAACGACATCATCACCAACCTGAACCCGTTCGCGCTGCTCATCTTCATCCCCATCTGCGACAAGGCTATTTACCCGGCCATCGAGCGCGCGGGGCTCCGCTTCACCCCCATTAAGAAGATCACGCTCGGCTTCCTCTGCGCCACGCTGTCCATGGTGGTCGCCGCCGTCATCCAGCACTTCATCTACCAGCAGGCGCCGTGCGGGTACAACGCCGGCGACACGGACTGCATCCGCGAGAACGGCCCGCCCGAGATGACGGTGTGGATCCAGACGCCGTGCTATATCCTGATCGCGCTGAGCGAGATCTTTGCGTCCATCACGGGCCTGGAGTATGCCTTTACCAAGGCGCCCAAGAACATGCGCGGGCTGGTCACGGGTGTGTTTTGGTTCGTCCACGCCTTCTCGAGTGCCATTGCTCAGGCGTTTGTGGGCCTGGCTGCGGACCCCCTGCTCGTGTGGCTGTACACTTGCATCGCCATCATCAGTTGCTTGGGGGCGTCGGCTTCTGGTTGATGTTCCGCAAGCTTGACAAGGAGGAAGATGCGCTGAACGCTCTGCCGGAGAGCACCTACAAGGGAAGGGGAGAGATTGAGCCCGAAAGCAAGGCCGTCTAGGTATCTTGGCTGCTGAGGTCAAGATGGTGGAGACATGGATATGGCAAGTGTTCAAGTCCATTGGGGGAGATAGAAGTGGTTTGCCCAAGATACCTTTTTCTATTCGCAGGCGGGGTAATTTCATGGCAATCCCGAGACTAACATGGTAACATCAGACGCCAAGATGCATTGATGGCTGTCAAGGGACTTTACCCATCCATGTAAGGAGTACCTACGAGCATATAAGCCTTCCTCTTGATTCACAAAGCACCTTCAATCTCAAGTATGGATATGTTTCAAAACAGCAAGATAAAAGCAGTCTAATTAAAGCCTCGCACGACCCTGTCAGTTTAGGTATGCACTGCACCATGGATTCCCACGCTGGGCAGGCATTCCAAAGCCTTTGCCCATCCCCTGAAACTCCTTTCTTGGGGATCAAACCCAACCCGTCCGTTACCCTGGTATTCCCGAATCCAACGCCTTGCTACCGTCCTGGCTCCTCGGCTTGCAACGTCACAGCCTTCAAAATTCACGTGTCACGTTTCTTGCGGACCAACCCCGCGCCTAGGACATTCGCTTTTAAAGGTTCCCCATTGTTTGCCTTTTCGGCGTCGACACGACCCGCGGTCTCTTCTTTGGACTTCCTTCGGATGAGGCCCGTGCCAAGGACGTTAACCTTGTGTGCCGGCTCACCTGACCCATCGATCGCAGACTCTTCAGGGCGTTTGCGCTTAACAAGACCTGCTAGATTATTCACGGTCCCAGATGACGACTCGTCCGATGAGGGCGCCGGCGTCTCCCTTGTGCCCGTAACCTCCAAACCCCACGAGTCGCCCATGCCCACTTCGCTGATCCATCGCCTGGTGCCACTGGTTGCAATGTCGAGGTTTGCAAAGTCCAAGCGCAGAAGAAGCTCATTGACCCGCTTGTAATCGTTCTCGTCGACAATCTTGCGACCCCTGCCTTCAGCCGGCCAATAGTAGTAGGCAGTGGAAATGGGCTTGTCCAACAGGTAGTTGCGCTGCTGGGTCTTGATGCGCGGTTGGCGAGGTTTAATGATACCCGTTAGCTTCTTCTTCTTCTTCTTCTTGTTTTTCCGCTCTAGCTTCTCCAGCTTCGTCTTGGACGGCGTACCAGACGACGCCTGAGGGAACAGCTTGCGTGGCGTGGACATGGGCGTCGCCGGTCGGGCAGCCTTTGGCTTGGTTGGCGTCACTGGCGGGTTCGACGCCTTAAACGAAGGGTTTGGCGTCGGCAAAGCCGTCGAAGCGCCGTCCCGAGGCGGTTGCTCCGTCTCTGGATCAAAGACGACCCAGATGAAGCCAGTCAGGCGCCCGCTGGAGCATTCCTGCCTGTACGCCATCATCTCCCAAAAAGTGTCCAAGCTCTTTACACTTTTCCACTGGCCCGTGGTCTTTAGCTGCTTTGACTTTCCGGTTTCTTCGTCCAATTCGTCTCGGAATCGCGACTTGGGGTCATCTGGGAAGCGGGGAATCAGGCATCGCGCGGGCACCCAATCGTACTCTTTGCTGTAATGCGAAATCTTCTCCAGCGCATGTCCCAGCACCCAGTTGGCGGCGCTTTTTGGAGGCTTTGGTAAGAAGGCTTTGGTTTCGTAGTTGTCGAGCCCGGGAATCACAAGGTATCCTTTGACGCTACCCCACGGTGCACCCTTGCCCACAGGGGGGTTCTCCAGGAGGGGTCGAGGACCTTGCACCACCACTTTACGAGTCCTCTGTCGTCGAGAACGTGCTTGCCGCTGTACTCGACGCTCCCGGGGAAGAGGTATTGGTCCTGGGCCCGGGCGAAGAGGCTGACCACCGACTGGATGCCCTTGCGGCTGCGCTGCTCGACGAGGTAGGAGACGAATACACTGCTGACTTCTTTGATGGGCGACGCGGTGCCTTTGGGAAGGTTGAGAAGCTTCAGGTAGCCCGTCGAATCGGCCTTTGCGACGAAGAAGGTGCTGGAGTATGCCGTGGTGTAGATGAAGATCTCGAGGGCGAGGATGAGGACCGGCCTCGAGGCATCGTCCTTCGGTGGTTTGCTGGCTTGGGTGGTGTTGGACGGGACGTCAATTGAGACGGCGAGGAAATGCCTTTCGCAGTACGTCTTATCCTCGCGTTCGTCGGGCGGTGCTGAGTACAGGGCATCCGTTTTGATGGGCGGAGTCGAGAGGTGGTAGATGCCGAAGCGGTAGCCCTTGGGCAGGACGGCCGACAGCTTGTCCAGGAGGAGGGCGCTGCTCTGGGCCGTGGTCTTGGCCCTACTGGGAGTCGCCATGATCGGGTAGGTGCGATATTCCTAGAGGAAGATGTTCTCCCAGGGCAATTGTCATGTCATGTTCGTCGTGTCGTGCAGAGTCGGAGGCGGCAGCATCAACAGCAGCAGCAATGGCTGTTCTCCAGGGTCGAAGGGCAGACGACGCGTCGCAGGCGTTGGGAGCACTTCACATGCGTGTCGCGGTTTCAGTGGAGACAACGCGGTTTGGATCACTATAATTCAAGGGGAGCCGCGACCGTCAAGGGTTTGCCGGTGGACCGTCCCGGAGTCTAGTATCCACGCTAAGCTCAATACAACTTAGCGCCGGTCATCGCATGATCCTGCCTCCGCGCGCGCATCCACGTGACCTTGAGAAATTGTTCCGTGCAGCGATCGCGAAAAAGTTCCAGCTCGAGCATCAGGAGCTCTAGCTACGTCGATAGTACGCCCTCACCAATCCCCCACCTCCCCGAACACACCGTCTCCCGTTGCCAGCCCCCAATGGCAACTAACGGCTCCCGGTCAGCATACGGCCTCACGAGGCATGCCGTTCGGCATTGCCAGTCGGCGGCAACCCCCCGAGTCGCCTCTCCTATCCAGTGCCTCTCCCGAACGTTTGCGACGTCCAGCTCCCGACCGGCAGCCGAGAGCAAGATCGACCAAGTGTCGAGAAAAACCGAGGAGGCGGACCGGCCCGACGAGGTCAGGCAGCGCCCGCGATGGTCGTATACCCCCGAGGGCATGAAGGCGCCCTTCTCGCCTCACATCACCAAGAACCCGGCACGCAGCGTGTGGTCCGTCAACACCGACCCCAAGAAGCTCGACCAGATGTACATCAAGTTCCTGGGTCGCGACGGCGACAAGATGCTGCCCGACGAGGTCAAGTGGCTGGCGGTCACGCACAAGAGTTTCGACCAGGGCCGTCGGGGTTTCAACGACAAGCTGGCGTATTTGGGTAAGGTCTTTCCCGCATTCGAACGTCACGCGCGACTTTGCTTCTGTCGCCCGAAAGTAACTCTGAACTGACTCGGTGTCTTGCGATGCAAAACAGGCCGACAGGCAGTTGTTCTCGAGTCTACAAAAAGCATAGTGACGTCTTCACCCGCAAAGGATGGCGCCATTGTCCCGGACGAGCACGGCCGCACACCCTTTGAGCACCCGGCTCTCGCGAGCCTCGACAGCCTCAACGTGGAGCTGCCGCAGAAGGTCGTCACGAAGGAAAAGGTTGAGGAGCTGGCCATGGCCGCTGGCATCGACAAGGTTCTGCGGTGGAAGCCGGCAAAGGTAAGCCTCACTCACGCCCCGTCTCATCGGCACCTCGAAAGGGTGAACAGCCTTTGGCTAACGCGTACGACCAGCCCGAAAACCTTGCTGGGTCAGGCCAGCAGATTGTGCTCAACTCGGCCGTGTTTGCCATTGTGGGGGCCATTACGCTCCAGCACGGCGCCGAGGTGGCAGGTAGAGTCATTAGGGAGAGAATATTGAGGCCGCTCTCGCTCAGGCAATAACGCCGATGCCAATAAGAGAGACGTCTGTTGTATCATAGGTGTAAAACATTTGACAAGAAGGACAAATCATCCCAGTCGCAACGTAGAACGGCAGCCAAAGCTTTTCCCCAATCCTGTCGCTTGACGCTGTGCTGCCACCGGGCCGCTGACGTGTCGGTAGCAGACGGCCCGAACGGGTTTAGAATCCTACCCCAGCGTGGTAAACACGCTGCCAGGTGCCATTTCACTCTGACGGCCGCGGCACGCCCGTGGTCAGGTGCATCACATGGGAAATGCTGCGGTCTGGGGGCTGCCAGGCCAGCCTGATGACCCAGCCGTCGGTCGTCGAGCAGAGGTTCTGGGCCAAGGACCTTTGGATGCGGGTCGTCATCTCGGCCGTGACGAGGTTGTTCACAACGGAGTGGTCGACTCCTTTGCCGAACATCAGGGCCTTACGGACCATACTGTTGTTCGGCGTGCGCACCACCAAGCGCGAGGCTCGCGTCCAGTCAACGGCGTGCATGCCAAAATCAAGCATGCCGGCGCGGCCAACCTCGCCTGTCACGGCGTGCACGTAGCCCTCACCGAGCGGGCGGGCCATGTCCGACGTGGACCGCGTGCACAGGAAGAAGCTTTGGAGGAAGGCAAATGATTCATTCAGGGTGGCCATGCTGAAGCCGGGATCCGGATTGACATGCCAGATGCTCTCTGGCCAGTCATTGGAGCCGTAGTGGGCGACGCCTCTGCCCAACGGATCGTAGGCCAGCAGGTCGCTGGCAAGGATGGGCATTGTCAGAGATCTGGAGGCGCCCTGATACAGGACAAGGTCCCAGTCAGGGTTGACGTAGATCCGGTCCCACGCCGGGTTTCGCTGATTCAGATACGGGTAGCCGTGGGCGTCAGGGTCCGGTGACCGCAAGGGCAGATGGATTCTGAAGAAGGACACGGCCTCGCGGCGTGATTCTGCGCACACGCGAAAGGCGGCCGGGCTCCTGTTCTCGCAGTACCAATGGGCGTTGCAGACGACGTTTCCCAACTCGTTGCCGGAAACCTTGATGCCCGAGCTGTCCATAACGCCCCTGATAACGACGATGCGTGGCCGCTCGAGGTGGATGCGCCAGATTTTCAAGCGCAGCTCATAGGGCAGGTCGGGGAAGCGGCGGAAAGCGCCGTCTTCACTGCGACCGCCGTCGTCGCGTGAGGGCGTCTTCCTTGCCGTTCTCCCCGACCTGCTGGCTGGAGCGACATCCCAAGTGCGCAAATCGAAACCTTTACATGCTTCCAAGGGTCTCCAGGGGCTCGGGCAGTTTTCCCGCAAGGCGGAGTGGGCATGGGTGTCAGTTGTTCGGGATTCTCCATGTTGGTGCTTGGTCTCAAACGCATCCCCGCCATAGTCGTCATCAGTTGGCGAACAAGAGGGCTGCTGGGCTGGCTGGGAGGATAGGAACATCGGCCGATGGGACTGCAAAGAAGAGATTTGGGTTGGTAAGCCGCCACCTCCATCAGCCTCGCGTGCCGGGTCCATTGCTTAGGCTTGCTTGCCTTGTCAGACAGAAGTTTTCTGTCTGCCGAAATCAGGGACTACGCTAATGTTGGCTCGGACGAGAAGAAGGACGCCAGAAGCGTGATGGGACGGGAGAAGACGTTGGAAAAGTTTAATGGGAGTGGGCCATGCGGCGATGCGCGTCCTCTGTGCGTGAAGTGCGTGTGCATACGTGCGAAAGTCCGGCGCTGTGATGCTCGATGTGATGTGATGTGATGTGATGCAAGGCAGTGAGTGAATGTACTGCGTATTCTCGAGTGTGGGGTAAGAGGGAGGCTGTGTGTGCACCAGAAACACCCAAAAAGGGACGTCGTGTCTGACAGTCAGACACCGGACCATGAACTACCAACAACGCAGTGCGTTCGTTGGTGCTTCATGATGCGAACGCGGACACGATGAGTTGGTTCCCTTTTCGAGCCGTGGGCATCGGGGATGAAGGGAGTTGGAGGAGAGTGCGTCATGCGCAAAGCGATTGGGACGACGTTTGTCCGGGATGGGCTGACCTGTCACCTTTCGCGCTCTCATTCTCTTTTTGATTCTGCCATGTATGGTAGAACGAATAAGAGAAAAAAAAAGGCTGACTAAGGCTGGACACGGTAGGTATAGGCAGGCAGGCAGGCCGTATTCGGTTCCGTCCCAAGAACAGAAACAGTCTAAACAGAGAGGCCCCCCCCCTTCCTGCCTTCCCCCTTTGCAGGGCGTTGCCTAGTTAGGAAAAGGTTTGCGGGCGAGGTGATCACTCGGGGCAGGGAGCGGTACTTGTGCTGTGGCGCATGGACGGCGCTGCGACGAAGTACCCCATGCCGTCGGGTATCTGTGTGTGTGTGTGTGTGTGTGTGTGTGTATGTGCCCGTTGCGCTCCCTGTCAGATCGTGTCACATCCCCCGTCAACTCATAGACTCGACACACTCTTGTGCCAGGCTGTCGTGCTCTCGCCACTGCGGGAACCGTTACATAGTACTGATGCGTCGCATGGAACCCCTGCCCCTGTCGCTCTCTCCCGGCTCTTGGCCCTGGGCCACTTTGACCACTTCCGGCCTGGAATAAACAGCCTTAATCGCCATTTACCTCATCCAAAGACTGGTACGCTACCATCGCAGTTGAACGAGAGACAGCAACCGTGAACCAATCACGGCGCCGCCTCTGCAACGTCGCTCGGCCGTCTGAAACCCGCACAATCCAAGCTTTAACAACTGACAGCGAGCTTCTCGACACTTTTGTGGCCCGATCAAGAGAGACTTTGGCCCACGATTTACCTTTTCTGACATCTATCACCGTGACGAGTTTACCCCATTGGGCCTGGACGTTCTGTCCTGTACTGTCCTGTCCTGCACACGGTCACGACCTGCTCGGATCGCAACAAATCGCCAGATGTAACCCCTCGCTGTTTCTCCCTCTCTCTCTTTCTGGCTCCCCGCGCGGCTCGTCGTCCCGTTGGTCACGGCGAAACTCTGACACGGCAGACAGACAGGGCCCCTCGCGCTGTTTGTTTCCTCGGCTTCATGTCACGCAAGCCATGGAACGCTCAAAATCAAATCACTCGAGAACCGAGAGAACGCACCTGGCTGTGGCTTTGCGTTGCTTGGTCCCGTCCTCGATGGCATGGCATGGCATGGCATGGGCAGTCTGCGTACCATGGTCTCACATCTGCATCCTGGAACCTGTGTGCTTGATAGGACAACGTAAACTAGTCTCCTCCTCCCTGACATGCGCCTGTCACTCTCTGGCACCCGCTCGACTTCGTGATGTTGTCTGACGTCGTACCGGCTGGGTTCCTCTCCCCAGCCTGATTAGTGAGCCCCTCGGTACATCCTGTCTGGGATTTTCGCAAGGGGCTTCCTTCTCCCCCCGTCCGGGTCCCACTCCCAGTCCCTTCCGGGGCGAGCCACGACTGGGCTCTGCGTCGGCGGCATGGTGGAGCGGGATCCCGCCGCATATGGACTCCCTGTCTACCGAAGAGGAAGATCGTCCGCTCCATGTTTTAGACTCGAGATCATCAGGTTTTGGGGGCTTTGCTATAGATATGTCCCCGTTCGTCTCCCCATCTTTTCGTTTTGGGGCCTTCTTTGTTTCTTCACCCCCATCTGGCTATCCGGTATCAAAGTGTGCCATAAAGGAGCCGTATCCCCCTTTCTTCTTCTTCCTTTCCACGACTGCTGAGCAGCCTTTTTTTTTTGCCTTTTTTTTTTTTCCTTTTGTATGTCTGTAAGAGATACCCAGGTTGTTATTTCCCCTTAATGTCACAGTAGACAACTCTTGACTTGTCCAATTACATCCACCCCATATCGATATCATGGAGAATATGGACATGTACAACAAGATATCACCACAGGATGAAGAAGCCATGCGGAGATCACAGACGCCAGCGCCACTTCCTCCCCAGAGGCAGAGCGCCTGGATGACCTTCTGCGTCAGTTTCCTGATGGTGTTCTCTGTCTTCAGCGTCAGCAGGGAAGTCAAGCAACAACTCTACCCCGAGCCCAAACTGAGCAGCCGCGCGGTGGTGGGTCGGGATTTGGGGTCATGGGGCCAGGCTCTCGATTCCATCGTCACACCCGACACCGTCGAAGCTATCGGGAACGACCCCCGGCTCAGGCGGACCCTCTTGTCCATGGTTGAATTCACCGTCGATCTCTCCGACCAGCTGGTTGCTCGCTACGACTCGCCCGAGCTCCAGCAGACGAGGGAGGCTCTGCAAGAATACCAGGACAAGATCAAGAGGAGCCTCGATGATCTGGACGACGACGATCTCCTGAGCGATGGCGAGACAGAAGGCGTCGAGAAGCGGCAGCTCCCCAGCATTGGCGACCTTTTTGGCGGCGGTGGAGGTGCAGCTCCCGCAGGAAACATGTCTCCCGGCGTCCTCGGCGGCCTTCTCCAACCCCTGACGGACGGCCTCAAAAACGTCGGAAACCAGCTGGTCAGCAACCTCAACGGACCGGGCATGTTCCTCGGTATCGGCGTCGGTGCCGGCACAGCTCAGGGGCTGAACCTGTCGACCCAAGCCAAGACGATGGAGGTCGCGGCCAAGGTCGCGGCTGACAACAAGATGGAGGCGACCGGCCTGAACCCTGCGATCCAGAATCTGGGCGTCGGCCTGACCTCGACCCTTCTCAGCTCCGTCGATCTCTCCAAAGTGGGCGGAAACTTCTCGGACCAGCTCCAGCCCATCGCCCTCGCTCTGGCCACGGGCATCGGCAACGGCACCGTAGCCGGCCTCAAGCTCAACGCCAACGCGGCCAACCTCGCGCCCCCAAACGACTCGAGCATCCCCAACGTCCTCGGCACCTTTGGCTTCGCGCTCACCAAGACCGTGTCCTCCAACATCGACACCAACCAGCTCTTCAGCCAGGCCAGCAACTCCGACTCCGTGCGCCAGATCATGCGCATCCTCCCGGCCGCCGCCTCGGGCTTCGGCAAGGGTCTGGGCCAGGGCGCCACCGTCGGCCTCGGCCTTCAGCCCGACTCGGACGTGCTCATGCAGCAGATGCCGGACGGCTCCATCGACTTTGGCGGCGTCTCGCAGACCTTTGCCAAGGCCCTGACCAGCAGCTTCCTGCAGAACGGCACCGCGACCGAGTTGCTCAACAAGGCGGGCGGCGCCATGAAGGCGACCCAGAATGGTGGCGGGATCCCGTCGACCATTGACTTCAACGGCCAGCAGATTGAGATCGGCAAGGTTGCGCAGGGTTTCGCCCGCGGCTTCCTCCAGGGCGCCGGCGACTCCATCCAGAGCATGGGCGGCGTGCAGTCCATCTTCGCGGGCAACGCCACGATCCCTACGGGTGCGATGCCGGATTCCAAGGTCCAGTTTGACGACTCGCTCGGCGGCGCCTCCACCGGCTTTGGCAGCGGTATTGGCGGGCAGGGTGTTCTGGTCATCTACGGGCTGGCCAAGAACCCGCAAGGAACTCCTGTTCCCGCCGCAAGCGCTTCGGCGGCATCGGCACCCGCACCGGCCACTCCCGCTCAGCGCCGAAGCTTGGGTCTCGTCACCCGTCAGGACCCCCCGCCCGCCGTCTCCGTCGACACTTCCAACGGGTTCAACCTCTCCGTCGTGATCAACGCCCAGACTATCTCCACAGCCGCGCAGGCCGGCGTCAACGCCCTCACCTGTCAGGGTGTCGGCGGTCTGGGTCTCATCGGCCTGGGCCTGATCCGGAGCAAGACGATCTCGCTCGACATGTTTAACGGCGACAGCAACGCCACAAAGATTCTCAAGCAGGTGGTCCCTACCGGCACAATCAGGATTTCCAACGAGGGAAACACCTACGCCATCGACGGCGGTATGATTCGCGACTCTCTGGGCAACGGCGTCACGGCTGCCGCCAACGCCATCGAGGTCAACGGGTTCAAGCTGCCTGGCTGGATCGCGTTCCTCGTTATCCACAGTAAGTCGAAGAAACATTGGCAGGCGCGTCAGAAATCAAGCTAACAGTTCCGCTCCTTAGTTCTTTTGGCCATCATTGCCTACGTCAACGTCCTTCCCCTGGCCATCGGCCTGGAACATTCGCGCAACCTCCTCCTCCGCATCAACGCACCCCAGGTCCTGCCGAACGTCCACAAGTGGAACAACATCCTGTGGCTCTTTGTCATGGGACCCTCCATCGTTGCTGTTTTGATCTTTGGCGCGCTCGTCACGGCCAAGTCGACCCACTTCCGCACCGCCCACGGTGTAAGTCGCCATCCGCCTCTCTGTCTTTTGACCTTTGCATAAACTGACGCTTTCATCACAGATCATCAGCCTTATCACAACCTTTGTCGGCCTGGGTGCCTTTCTCCTCCACCTGGCGGTCAAAGCCCGCGCGCCGCCCGTACCAGCCAACTCTTCCCGCGCCCCGCCGCCACCTACGTCCCTGGGCCTGCCCGGCATCCGCGTCATTGTCAACCAGCTTTTCCTTGCCCTTTCTTTCCTCTGCGTCATCACCGGCTTTGCGGATTTGAGCTCCGTGGCGTTGTGCTTCACGCAGATCGTCCCCTTTGACTTGTCGCTCGTCGTTGGCTTCAGTCTGTCGACGGTCTTTGTGCTCGGATCGTCGATTTCGGGCCTCGATATCTCGCTCAACGTCCGCGACTACTTGAGGCGGAGGAAGGCCGGCCAGGCTAGCTCCGCCGGGGCCGCCGAACGGGGCGGTGTGTTGCAGGGCAAGATCTCGGCGCCCAAGGCTGTCCAGGATGAGAAGGACAACTTTGCGTAGTGGAGTTGTGGTATGAGATTGCACAGGATGCCGAGGACTTTGAGCTGTGCTCAGTCCCCTTTTGCCGTATTCTTTTGGTTTTTGTAATGACATTGGAGGAGTCGGAACATGAAAGAGAGCATCGAACCATTTGAACATGGAGACGATGAGGAGTACGGTACGGTATGGGACGAACAAAAGACTGCATGAAGACACCTGTACTATGGTATGACGGATATGACCACAGCGGATATACTCCCGACTTTGTTCGGTGCTGTAGAAACCAGGGCGGCGGCTTCCACGCTCATTATAATATATACCCTAGATCGCTTTAGGAGACGGGCGACGAATTACTCATCGCGTTTGAGTAGGTTTTAGTGCCCAATATGATGTGCGACGGAGTATCGATGTTGCCTATGTGCCAATACGGCTGATGCCTTCATTCTGAACTCTTGCTTCTGTATCTATCGACTGTATATATTGATGAGAGTATTTGTGACTGCTGGCCTGGCGCTAGAACCCCATCTAAAATAGTCCAAAATCTCCTCACGGCCAGCCTACGACAGCTTTCGCCCATATGTCCGAAACTTCATTACTCCATACACTTCGTTCCCAAAATGAATCAATCGTCGTCCCACAGATGCCAACTACTGCTCGGCCGTACGTCCAACACACATCGCCGCTTCTTCCGCGGGCCCATAACTTCCCTCCCATTGCTCAAAAAGAATTCCTCGGTCTCGCCGCCGGGGACCTGTCGCACCATGCCCAGCCCCGCAAGGTCCGTCTTAGTACACTTCATCCTCAAGTGCCGGAAGTACTTGCGGTAAAACATCCGCTGCATGACTAGTTTCTTCGCCACCTCGCGGGTCAGGTATTCCCCGAGCTGCGCGCGCAGGACCTCCAGCGCCGTGCGCTGGTTCGTCGCGTCGGGGGGCTCGTAGTCGTTGCTCAGGAGGAGACGGGGCACGTCCTGGTAGAAGGCGTTCTTGGCGGGAATCCCGCTCGTGAGGTAGCCCTCGTGGATCATCCACACCGGGAACCGAGCCGCCGCGCGGTCGTCCATCAGCTGGATCGCCTCCGTGTAGGACTCCAGGTTCGCCAGGCTCTTTGACAGGGGCGCGCATCCCGGCACCGGCGTCAGGTCCCACGTCTCGGGCCCACCGCGGTCGCGCGTGCCAAAGTGCCGGATGCCCACGCCCAGCGGGTCGAAGGCGAGACAGTCGCTCAGGAAGATGTCGAGCGGGATCTCGCTGCTCCAGGGAAACGTGAAAATGACCGTGTCAAAGTCCGGGTTGATGAGGACTGGCCAGGCAATCTTGTTGGTGGGGTGCATCGGCAGCTGCACGCGGTAGAAGGCGCGCGTCTCGGCGCGGCATTCGCGGTTCACCCACATCAAGGCCGGGAGGGTGTTGTCGGCGCTCCATGCAATGTTGGATGCGAGGTTGCCGAGGGCGTTGGGCGCGAAATGGATCTTTTTCAGGTCATTCATGCATCGTATCTCGACGATGCGCGGCCGTTCCAGGTAGAAGCGGAGGATCTTGGACCGGAGCTCCGGTGGCAGGCGAGAGAAGGGGTGGAATGTGGTGAGGGGTTCGGAGACGTTCCCGGCGCGGGTGCACTCGTTAGACGGCGCGGGTGCCTCCAAGGAACCGGCCTGCGAGGACGGCAGGGCCCGGGGTGGAGGGTGGGTGATTGTCCAAGGCCCGTACGGCACGCCGGACCGGAATTGGAAGCGGTCCTCGAGTTTCACTGGGGTCGGCGGCCGGTGGAGGTCGATGTGGCGCCGTTGGCCACAAGTGGGACATGGGGCGGACGATGTCGACGGGAAATTCCCGATGGAAGCGCCGACGCTGATGCTGAGTGACGTCGAGGATGAAGACGAAGACGACGAGGTGACGGTGGTGGTCTGAGCGGTGGTTGACGTTGCCGGCGAATGCGAGGCGGATGTGGTCGACATGGTCGTCGAGGGGTCAGAGTCCGCGAGAAGGGCGTCTGACTCGCCTGCACGCACGCGCGGTTCTGTTTGCTGCCGCAGTGGGTGACTGTGCCGCCTTTCCGTGGTCGTGGTGTTGGTGATGGTCTGGGTGCCCCTCTCGACGCTGGGCACAGCCGAGCTTGGCTCTCCTCCGGCTGTTGCCGATGCCGCCCGCGGAGTATCCTTCTGTGGGCGGATGCGAACCGACAGACCTCTCAGCCAAAGCGTTTTCCACTTCTTCTTGAGCTGTTGCTGCCGGTGCTGGTTCTTGGGCTGGCGATGAGGAACAGCTGCGTCGTTGTTCGAGTCGGACGCCATGGCGGACTGAGTCGGGCGAGACGCCCGCGTCCTGGCTGACACTTCCTCCTGCTACTGTTGATGCTGCTGCTGCTGCGACGGTGCTGCAACAACGGAAACAAATCGATCCAGTAGGTCCCAGACGAGCGAAGCTGATACTGTGACGCTCAATCGTCCGTCTAGATACAATGGGGAATGCACGCAGCGAATGCTGGGGCTGCTGGCGCGGATCCTGACCGGTGTCCAGGAGTTGCGGTGAGGTGATTTGGGAATGGTTGGAGCAAGCCGGAGGTTAAGTGGAATGGAGATATGGAAGTCGGTCAGCACGAGGATGACGGGGAAAAGAGGCGGTAGTAGTGCGAATGAAAGACGCGGGGGAGGAAGCCGTGTTGGTCCAGATAAGGTTCGTCCATGTGCCCCGGCCGCGTCTGGAAAGGTCAGTGTCAAGTAAGTGGTAGGATGGTATCCGTGTGTGTGTGCAGTCAGTCTCAGTTGTTCGGTGAGAGAGCGGCTTCGGAACAGTCCGTCAGCGCACCGGTACCTACTTATTCTTTCTTCTGATCTCACGAATGAAGTGGTGAGAGCTCGGGCTGAGAAGGTATGCAAGAGAAGGACCGCACCGACGTCGAAGGAAGACCGAGGGAATTGGGTTTGCAGGTTGGGGGGCAATGGCCCGTCCGAGAAACAGCGCGGTTCATTCTGTGGCCTTTTTCGTCCCGGAAGGGGTCCTAGGTTGCAAAACAGGACCGCTTGAGGGCAAAGGGGAAGGGGGGAAGGTCGAGGAACGCGACACTGAGACAAGCTTCCGTTGGAAACGGCGAAGGGGCTCTTCTCGGGGGCCTGCAACCAAACATTAGATAGCTCTCCTGGCCTCCCTCGGCGACACCAGCTGCTGTGCTGGGAGTGCGTGTTATTTTCCCTCCTGTCATCGATCTGTCATAGGTACACCGCAGGCTAGAAGCACGCTCATGTGTCAAGCGACGCCTCTTTTGAGTAGCGCCCTGCATCCAGAACCGATCTCGACCTTCCCCCCCCCCCCCTTCCACCGTTGCAGCAGGAAGCTAACAAGTTACTCCAAGGTAACAATCCAAAAAGTCCGGACCATCTGTGCCCGATCTCAACCTTGGAACGCCGTTGCAGCGCCGCCTGGGCCTCCCACGTGCTGAAACGCGCAAAGGAGCGGATGCGACGTTTGCTCGGAAGGATGACGCTGACACCCACCCGCCTTCTCATTCTCTGCAAAGTGACTTTGCCATCTTTTGTACATAAAATGGATAAGTTGTATGCACTGCGCCTTGCGTCAGAAAGTGCTTCGAGGTTGGCTAGCTTCTTTGTTCCAGAAGCAATATGCAACCCCGGCCTAGGTAGCATATATGCTCAACATTGCGGCCCGGCACGATTTCATCGGCACGTGCATAGTTTCGATTGGGCGGCAACGGTCAGGCATTTGTAGTGTATTACGCCTCGACTCTCCATCGAGGCTCCGTCCCAACGAGGCTTCGGCTAAACGGGCCCTGAAAGTTCGGCTCCGCACATGTGGGTCACGTTCCGGCCTACAATCAAGTGCGGGCTTCAGAGCCTCGACCGCACGATCCCGTTTGTCTTCGGAAAAGGCCCAAATGTTGTTGCAGAAGCGAGAAACTATCATGAGCCCATCTGAGTTAATTCAAGGGCCAAGAGAAAGGGTCTAACACGTTCTGGCATGCCTGACGGAATCACTCGACCGGCTGCATCATTAAGTGATTGGCTGCAATGCAACGCGGAAAGTGGCAACTGGGACGCGGCGCGAGGCACTTGACTTTGTATTGAAGTTCCGAGCAGACATGTCACAGTATCGAGAGACCAGGTTTGTGTGGTGAAAGACACGCTTTATTATCTATATCGTCAAATCGTTTCTCAAAGTCCATCCATAGCCGAGCAGAGAGGGCACCAAGACACTCTCCGAAACCGCCATGCCACTGTCGAAGAAGAAGCCATCACCCATACCCCAAACCACCCCTCGAAAAGAATTACTCAGACTCCCCGAAGGTGTCCATAGAAGTGAAGAACAATAACCATTCCTGCTTAGATGGACCCCTTAAAGGAGAAGAGCAGCGGCCATGACGCTGAAGGCAAGAGCGCCAAAGCTGGCGACGAGCTTGCTGGTTCCAGCAGTCACAACGGTGGTGGGCGTGGAAATGCTTATGCCAGTCCCAATGGTGGGCGGCAGCTGAGAGCGGGTAGTCCCGACGGCGGGCGGCAGAGAAGGGATCAAGATGGTAACCGGGGGCTCAGTCTGGTACGGTGTCTTGGTGATGGCAGGCGGCGAGATAGTCACGGTGGTGCAGACGGAGCCGTTGCAAGCAGTGGTGGTGACGGGAGGCCGGGGAATGACAATGACACACTTCTCACAAGGAGGCGCCGGGGTAGGGCAGACGTCGCAAGTCTTGACAATAGTGCAGTTGTCGCCGGTGCAGTCGAACTTCTTGCCGGCATCCGCAAAGGGGCAAGTCTGGAAGGTGCAGGAGCCGTCGGCGCAGACGTACTTCTTGTTGCACAAATCGCCAGTGCAGGCCTCGACCTTGCAGAAGTTTCCGTAGCAGGTGATCTTCTGGTCGTACTCGGCCATGCCAATGGTGACGTACTTGCACTTGCCAGAGGTGCACACAATCTTGCGGCCACAGTCGTAACCGTTGCAGGCCTCGGGGCGCCAGACACCATCGTTGCAAACAAGGCGACGCAAGCAGTCAGGGCCGATGCAAGTGTAGTCGAAGCCACAGAATTCACCGTACCCAACAATGACCTTGTAACAGTCGTCGCCGAAACAGGGAATGTTGCCGCACTTCCCGTTGGCGCAAAGGCCGCCAGTGGGAAGCAAGCCCGTGGGGACAACGGTGGTGACGACAGTCACAGTACCGCTGACGGTGGTAGTGACAACCGAGGTGGTACTACCGGAAGCTCCAGGGACGGTGGCGTTGACGGCAGGGTTGACGTAGATGGTGAAGCGGATGTCGGAAGCGATAACTCCAGGCAACTGGCGCTTGAGAAGAGGAGCAGAAGCACGGCCACCGCAGCGCTGGGCAGAGTTACCAGGGCAAGGAATGTTGCACTGCTCCTCGGGGGCCTTGACCTCGTTGACATCGTCGACAAAGTCGCCGCAGAAGCAGTCGTTGCCAAAGACGGCAGCGTAGCGCTTGCTGACGGTGCAAGCAGCGATACAGCGGTCGATGGTCATGACCTCGGCGGACAGAGTCAGAGTGAAAGTCGGGAAGCTGGAAGGAGATCCGAAGCAGCCAAGGTAAGTGAAGCCACCAACGTTGACAGGGTTGGGAGACACCGAGGCAGTGGAAGAAGAAGTGGCCGAGTCAGTCGTGGTCGAACTCTCGGGAGGGAATTCTCCGCCGCTGCCATCAGTGGTCGTGGTGCTGGCGATGGAGCCAGAGGTGACACTGGTGCTGCCGCTCGAGGTGACGCTGGCGCTGCCGCTCGAGGTGACACTGGTGCTGCCGCTCGAGGTGACGCTGGTGCTGCCACTCGAGGTGCTGGTGCTGCCGCTCGAGGTGCTGGTGCTGGTGGAGATCGAGCTGCTAGAGGAGCTGCTGGAGCTGAAGCTGCTGCTGGAAGTGGACGAGCGCGATGAGCTGGAGCTGGAAGTGGAGGTGATTGAAGTCGAAGATGAAGTGGAAGAGGCACCGGCCGCAGCATTAGCTTGGATGATTTGAGCAGCGCCGTTGCTCGTCTGGCGACGCACTTTGCCAGGGGCAGCTCCAGGACACTGGATCTGCGCCAAGTCCGTTCTCACTGTTGAGCCACAGTAGCACGTAGATCCGATGTAGGAGCTGAATCTGGCAAACCCTGCCAAGCAGGCCGTCACACAGCTCTGATCACTCTGACCGTCGGGGGAGAACGCGCCGGTCGCCACGAACGGAGACTGTCCAGGAGGGACAACCTTGCAGCCCAAAGACGTGAGAAGGAGAGTCTGGTCGCCGAACTGCACGTTGATGGCCTGGCCCGTCGCGATGGTCCTGATGAGGCCGAACGGCACGGTGCCGGAGTAGGCGAGGGTGCCACCCCCCGCGTAGCCGCTGGGAGGAGGAGTCGCCACGGGAGCGGCCGTGGTGGTGGTGTTGGTGAACTGTCCCATGACACCGCCCACGAGGGCCTGGCCCACGAGGGCGCTGAAAGCGATGCTGCGCATGGCTAAACGAGTGACGAAAGCAAGTAATGAATGACTGGACCTCGGGTCGTAAACGAGTGAAACGAGGCAAGAGAGAAGGTGAGGGAGCTAAGGATGCGGAGTGTAATGATGATGAGGGTGAGGAGGGAAAGAAAGACAGACCAGTAGCTGGAGATCCGTCCTTCTCTTATACCTTGTGATGGCCCCCATTGCCTCGCTCAGGATCAGCCCAGAATCATCGATGAGCTGTCTACATTGCAGTCTCTCCCTTTCGCTGACATTGTCTCCCGAGGGACAAGATGAGCTTGCATGCCTGAGACCTGCCCACTTCGTCTCTCAGAAACGCCACCCAACCCATCTCCGTACGTCGACCGCCGTTCTTTCGCTATCGTGTCTCATTACTGTTTGCTCCAGTGAGTTTAGCCAGGCGGTCAAGAATGGATCGCCTGGTCGAGGAGCTCATCCGATGGCAATGTCTCACCTTCTCCGCAATCCAACGAGGGAGACAGCCTCAACAAGGGACCAATCAATAACTCCGACGCAGGAAGAAAAAACAAACCCGCCGCTCCCAACCCTCAATAAGCGTGCATTCCCGTGGGACAAGCTTAGAGCTTGAATCTTGTCTGTGGCGTTCCGCCCGGCGCCCTCCTGAGCTTTCTCGATAACGACAGCATACAGCCTCGACATCCCTGGGCCAAAAATAATGTGCTTGGAATTTGTGAGATTGCCCTTTCGTCATCGGTCCTAAGTCCTCGATGCTCCTTTTCTTCGCCCCTGGCAATACCCGACTCCCACCCGATCTGCCCCTGTCTATCACCATGCGGCTCTCCGTCTCCCGATCCTTTGGGACCGGGAACCGGTGAGCGAGTCATACATGGCAAACGAATGGTCTCGGCCTGTTGGATGCTTGAAGCGGACACACGGACCCGCGGCTCTAATGCACGATTTCCTCCCTAGCAGGTGCACATTTCTTTTTCCTTGCTAAGTCGCACAGCAAGGGAACATCCCGGCGTTAATTGTCCTAATACGGCCACATGCCGACGCAATGGAGAAAGTCCATGTTGACCTTGCCCAAGCGGAACGTTCTAGAGGCTGGTTGCTCTTGTGACATCTCCACATGCGTTGAGGCAACCTCGTTGTCGAGATAAAACCAATTATCATCAATAACGCAAGTGACATAGTTGGGATTCCTGGGTGATATCTCACGCATGCATGCACTGCCAGAGCCCCGTCAACTTAACCAAGTATTGCTACCAGTACTACTCTGACCTGGTAACATCTCAACCGATAGAGAGCAGTAGCTCAACATAGAGTTCACCGTAATTTTGTGCCATTTGGATGCATGTTTAGCTCTGACTCTTGAACAGGAAAACCCACTGCTTGATTTCCGATCATATGGCCAAAGGTTGTGCAGTACTTCTTGCCAGTGACCGACCCGATGTCACGAATGACGTCGATCGCATCATCGTCTTTCTGGCATTTGCCTTTCCCCAAGATCGCTACGATCAACTTCACACCAGGCGGGTAGATATCACTGTGATGGGGGTTTTAAATCTTATCTCATCACCTATGCGTTATCAAACAATGTTTAGCTTTGCATTGATGTAGGGGAGCATGCATTACCTTGTGTTTCTGTGAGAATACGTATTGAGACTATTACTGGTCTCCAGGTAGACAGTCATTGGAATAGCAGTAGTAGTGAACATACCATAGCTTCATTTCACGATAGCATCAGTTGATGGGGTTTCAGGTGCCTAATATTGGTCGTGATCAAGTTTTAGGTCAGTATCGTTTATATTAGTATTGCACGCAAACCGGATTCATATAAGTCTTCGTTCACACTTGAGTTGCAGCCGTGCTGTTTAGCTGCGGCATACCTAACAGCTACAATGGCCCATTTCTCAATCTGTTGGTATCGAGTGATTTCATCTTCAAATCCAGATCCCTCAATTGCCAAAGGCTTTCCAGATGTTGTAAAGTTCCGTCTTTAATCAGCTGAGCTATATCAGTTATTGTTTCAAAATTATGAAAGCGGTCTGTAACTAGCCTTCCAAAATCTGTCAACTATGTTATTGTTTTTTTTAATGATACCGTCTGGCAACATGTGCTACTGCAACTCTAGAAACTATCCTTCGTTTCCCATCTCGATAATCACATATCTAGTGAACGATCTTGTGTTGTGCTAAATGTACAAGACTTTGGTTGAAGTACATCCCGGAAGATTCAAGCATATTCAGAGAATACCAGTGAAAGTATTGGCAAAGAACCATCTTTTCTCGTACGAGTAAGGAAGCAGGGGCATAAAAACGTGGAATTTTGGCTGTTGTAGCTTACCAGAATTCACTATGTACGTCTTCCAATTGAAATGTTTATCCTTCCCCAAGGTAATGGTACCTAAAAACGACGTGGTTGCCAAGCTCAATGAATCCGAAGGCCATGGACCGCCTGAAACGAAAGTTTTGAATCATTTAAATCACTAGATATGCTCAAGCTTTCTAGAATGTTAGCCCAAGCTATTTGGTAACAGCTTAACAAGCTATTTATTTCCTATAATTTGATGCTGTAATGAAGCCGAACGGCATTCTCGCTGCTAAGCTTCTCCATTAATCTTCATGTTTAAATCACATACACCAAACTGTTGAGAGATAATTTGGCCTGTGAAAGGCTCGCATCATAAGTCTTCCGATTACATCTAGAATCCAGAACGGATTTTTGTCGCATATTCCAATCCTGTATCTGTCCTTTAGTAGCGCATCAAGTTATTTCCGATAGACTCGTCCGAAAGAATGGGATTTGCTGATAGAATTGATTTCTACCATTAGATCGGCTGAATGCATTTAAATGGTATATTTCAATCGCAATTTTTCTCAAGCAATTGCCCTTCAAACTTGAAAAGGTACTCAGGAGTAGGTTGAGGTTTGAACCGCTGTAAAATGGCCCTAACTAATATAACCTTGGAAGTCGATTATTGACCTCATTTCCCGTGGCATATCAAGGACAGAATCTTCGTTTCATGCAAAGTCTACCTTTGCAGGTTGGAAGGAAATTTATCATTGAGAAAATACGAATGTCCTCGTGATTTGAGGCAACTTTCCTCACTTTCAAATCTGAGCAGAGCCGGAGTGGCAGATCTGGGATTCTTCACAGCGAAACAATTCCGCTCTGTGCCCCATAGCCCCTCGAAATCTACCTGCTTTGTCTTTGTTTACTGTCTCAATAACCAACTGCAATAATGAAGATGGGTTCTGTTCTTAGACGTACGGCTATCTGACCGTAGGCAAAATGCTATTTAGCCGTATCTAGCCACTTTCATCACCTTCGCCACACAGCCACAATCAGACCCATATTTTCAAAGCATTGCTCCTCAAGAATACAACCTCTTATATCCTATCCATTTACCATGTCCCATACTCTGTCTAACATTCATGCGAAGATCAGGTTAGGGTAAGTGGTTAGGGTTCGCGTAGGTTATTAGTTAGAGTACGGAATATGGTAAATGGATAGGATAGAAGAGGTTGCTGTGAAGCTTTGTATAGATACATCTGAAAGTGTGCACGTATCTGCTGTGTGGCTGTGTTTCACCCGAAGTGGTTAGATGCGGCTAAATGGCATCTTGCACTGATGAAATAGCCGCACTCTGTTCTCAGAGGGTTGTATCATGTTAGTTTTCCAGATGGATGCTAAAACCTCCCTTCACTCGGATCTTTGCAAGTTAATCAGAATCAATCCACGCATGAAAGTCTTTGACATTTACAAAAGTATACGAACTTTCCCTACATCCATCCAAACTACCCAGTTAGGGGTGCTCCTATGTTGTCTCTGTGGTTGAATCCACTTAATTCATCCCTGCCTTGCCCCTGCCCCTTTTCGCCCACTTCACAATGTCTCGGTGAAATATCTAAGGGATGCCACTGATCAGATCGGAGTATACGAGCACGCAGCAAGGGATAGGCTGAAGGTATTAAAGAGAGGCATATCGCCGTTTTGGGCACAGTCAAACCAATTCTTCTTTATCAATCCTTGGACATTCTCATCATGGTATTCACAACTCTCTTCGCCAGCTGTTTCAAGCTTCATGAGGTGTAGTAATGATAGGTGTAACTTCTTGGATAATTAGGAATGTCCACAACATTTGTTCTGTTTTTTCAGGCTTTGGATTCTTGTCATATGCTTGGTCGACTGAGTTTATGCCTTAGACGGCGCACGACGTGGAAAACTTGTGCACGACTATCCCTGAAACCGTCATCAATCGTCAAATACGTCTAGTAGGGTGAACAAAAGATTAGTAGCACTCGAACCTTTTGTCAACCAGCTGTTAGTCTGTCTCATGTTAAAGATTAATTTGACAACGAACCACAATGCCCTGAAAATCTCTTGTAGCTTCTTCGTGCGGTCAAGCGATGACCGGGTACGCGTTGGGACCTTTCAGATGCACTTTGCTATGTAAGTTATAGGTTTGTATGTTGGAAGAATTTGAGGCCATCACAACATGTGGCTGAAGTGTCTAGCACGTGTAGGCCATCTATCAGCGGCGTCTCATCGTAACGCTGTCAAGATATACAACCATGCAATTCCGCGACGCAGTGGAACAAAAAGAGGCAGGTGGAGTAGAGGTTATGTTTTCCACCCTACAATTCGTGCAAGGATGCTTCCTCTCTTCTCTCCCATTATCTGCTTTAGCGACACATAAAACAAGCTCTCACGCGAATGCTGGAATTGAGCGGAATTTCCATGCCCAGCCTGGTGGCTTTCTTCCTTTTTTTAGTGAGCCATCTGGAACTTAAGCTGTCTGAGAAGCATTATGAAGTCTTTGATATACTGCTATCACCAAACCAACAGAGAGAACAATCACTCTTAAACAGATAGCAACAAACTGTCGAAATATCTTTTTGTCATCTAATGAAATATTTATGTGTTCTTGTGACATCTTGCTACCCAATCATAGTGGCCTAGCAATATGTGAGCTATGTATCTGATCTTGCTAATGGAATATGCAATGAGATGTGCTGATTAATTGTCTCTGACAA